TCCTGACCTATTACAGTGACTTTGTCAGCCTTTCTTTAAAAATGGACAGGTAGGGCTTCCCAGGTGGTGCAGTGGTTGAGAGTCCGCCTGCCAATGCAGGGGACACGGGTTTGTGCCCCAGTCCGGGATGATGCCACATGCCGTGGAGCGGCTAGATCCGTGAGCCATGGCCGCTGAGCCTGTGCGTCCGGAGCCTGTGCTCCGCAACGGGAGAGACCACGACAGTGAGAGGCCCGCGTACTGCAAAAAAATAAATAAAAAAGGACAGGTAATAAAATGAATTTAACCTAGAAGCAGCAGCTCAGTAAGGGAAATAAAATCATCAGAAGTTATCTAATCACAGCCACAGCCATCCAGGGCTCTGTCTTATCCGCTGGGGCATAAGAATGGGACCTTCCTAGGCTTGAAGGGCATCCAATCAAATAAGTAAAGGTGTCGCTCACCTCTGGCTCTTGGAGGGATTGCTAGGCAGTCTACCCAGTGTTTACTAACTGCAAAACACTGTCATGGTTTTGAAACACCCATGTTCAAGGAAAGCTTTTTAGGGTACATGAGGAAGGTTTCTTTTTGACATCAAGCAGAAAATAAATCACCAAGCTCTTTGAGCACAGGGGTTCTTAAGAGGGAAGTAGAAGGAAGGAATGGGCAGAAAAGACGATCTCCCCTGAAGTGAAGGTCGTTTTTCCAAAAGAGTAGGATTTAGTCTCAGTTTAAGGAGAACACTTTTAAATAGCTAGGACAGCTCCAAACTGCAGTTTAGGGAACGAGTGTTTCAAAAGAACAGTGCTTTAAAAGTCCTGGCAAGGCAGCAACAGGATGAAGAGTTTGTTTTGCATAGTTTTGAACACAGGAGTAAAGAAGCAGAGGCATCTCTGACTAAAAGGACCTGAGATCCTATGGCATCAATGCGTCACTTGCAGGGGGCATGGGGTGTGGGAGACGATATTTCTCTCTCAACGTTTCCCAGGGCAGCCACCCCTCCCTACCCCACCCCCCTATTCCCTTCACCCTTCCTCCCTCCACTGTAGGGTCCCAAGGGGCAGCACTTCTTAAGCGGGAGCCCTCAGGCACCATCTCTGCAGTCTGGATTCTCCCTGGAGCCTGGAAAGTTCTGGAACAGGAAGCCAGGTCTGCAAGGCCGCTGGGATGAAGTTGGACCTGGAGGCCTGGAGGGGAACTGGAGCCCTGAAGTCCACCCACGTCCTTGAAGCCGAGGGAGGAACACATCCTCCTAACAGTACTTCTCAGGGCTCAGCGTACTCCCTACCGGGCAGTGATCCATACTCACTTGAAGCAGCAAGGACTGCCTCTAACTAGCCCCCTCGATTCCGCCTTGAGGGTCCTCACACATGTGTGAGAGCACAGGCCACAGATCTATTCAGTCAGCTGAGCCAAGTGCTGCCGGGGTCCCTCCAGTCCCATCCCCCAGCCCCTCCCGCTGGGACTGTCCCTAATAGAAGAAAGAGCACAGAGGAATTGGCTGAATCAAGGGACCTGGGAGCCTGGGTATGAGTTTGAAGACCGAGAACCTAAGGCGCAATTACATATTATTGGAAACTCTTGTGGGGTGTGTGTGGGTAGGTTAGGAGGCTGAGAGGCTGAGTCGACCTGGTGAGTCCAGCCCCAGGACGCCACACAACCCCGCCCCACCTTCCCTGCCATCAGACAAGGGGTGCCGCAACTCCAGCCGGGACTCTGCACTTCCCCCTCCCTGATTCTTCTCCAGAAGAGCAGGTGGCACCCCTCTGAGGGCAGCGGTAAGACAACACACCAAGTCTCCCTGCACTAAGGCGCTACTGGAAACTCTTCCTGAACAGCAGTGCTGGCTTGGAGCGAACCCGTGCACCGCCAAAGTTGGTCTTGTCCTGCAGCTGAGAGAATCGGAGTTTAAGTCAGCTGCCCTGGCTTTAAATCAATCAGCCCCCGCTTTAAGTCAAGTGACCCGACTTTAAATCACTCTGTGCCCCTCAAGCCTGCAACTTCAAAAGTTGGGAACTTCACTTTGATCCCAGCAGCTCACCGAGCTGAACGCACACTGTAGTCACCCCCAAGCCTGGCTTAGAGGCAAGATATAAGGTAAGGGGATGGGCGTGCACTCATGGTGATGAGAGTGTACTTCATGTACCAGAAGGGTCTAGGTACTCTGGGGTACAGCAAGCAGTGCACGATACAGCAGCTCCCTGGCAAAGCTGGTGATGCACAGGGAGAGCAGGCACACTCATGCATGCAGAGGGTCCAGGACGGGAGCTGGGGCACAGCCAGCCGGGAGGGTGTGGAAGCAGAGGATGTGAGCCTTCTTGAGAAAGGCAGACACAGAGGATGGATGAGAAACAAAGACCAGATGAAATATGGATTTGAAAAACACACCCTGCTCTTGAAATTGGCGTGGGGGGGCACCCAAGATTTGAGTCTTCTTACTCCCCATTACCTAGTGCTTTGGCCTTTGCCCAAATACTTATAAAATTTACTGATAAGATCTAGCCCATAGAATACTGCATTTGTACTGGTATCGCGTGTTAATGTTTCTATAGTGGAATAATCTTTTCTACAAGAAACATGTACACTATCTGACATAAATTAAAACCCCTCTTTATAAAGTACTATATCGGACTTCCCTGGTGGCACAATGGTTAAGAATCTGCCTACCAACGCAAGAGACATGGGTTCGAGCCCTGGTCAGGGAAGTTCCGACATGCCGCGGAGCAGCTATGCCCATGCGCCACAACTACTGAGGCTGCAGCCCACAACTATTGAAGCTCCCATGCCTAGAGCTGGTGCTCCACAGCAAGCGCAGCAAGAGAAGCCACCGCAATGAGAAGCCCGCGCACCACAACAAAGAGTAGCCCCCGCTAGCCACAACTAGAGATGCCCGTGCATAGCAAAGAAGACCCAACGCAGCCAAAAATTAATTAATTAATTAATTTTTTTAAAGTACTATATCCTTCTGTACAACTTCTCTGGGAAGAACAGAGTGATGGCATGGGAGAGTGAGAAAGACCAATATTTAGTGCACATCTCTCATGCAAGTGCTCTGCTGGCTCAGATACATTTATCCCCACTTTACAAAGGAGGAAATAAGCTCAGAGAGCTTTAGTAATTTTCCCAAAGTCAAATAGCTATTGAGTGGCAGAACCAGGATCTGAACCAAGTCTGTTACCTTCAAAGCCTAAGTCCTCATCACAACAAAACTCAATTAATATTTACATTTATCGAATTACATTGAAGACTGGGGAGTTCTTGGCACAATCCTGAATAAGAGTGAGAAAGAAAGAAATAGCATTGTTCCTACAGTCAACCAAAATTTTTGGAGCAGCTGCTAGATGCCTGGCCCTTTTTGGGGTTCAGCAGTGATCATGACAGGAAGAGTCCTGCTTTCATGGACCACGTAGTGGGGAGGAGAGACGGGTGCAACTTGGGTGAGGGATTTCACCTTGCTGGGCCTCTGTTTTCTCATCTGGAAAATGGGACGGGTGTTCCTCATTTTGTGGGATTGTCCAGCCTTCACATTCTCTGATTCCATAAGAAGCATTTGTTTTCCTGTTTCTTTAAAATTCATTCAGGCCATGAGCCGTGATGAATGTTGTTAGCTGCTCCCCAAATCACTCTATTCCCACCCTTTTCCTGTGACCAGGTTTTTACCGAAACATGACTCACAATCAGTCAAGTCACAGAACCTAAGGGGCACCCAGCAGAAAAATTCCAACCCTTGCTTCTCAGGAGCTCTGAGGTCTACCTGCCAGGTAAACTTAAGTCACCTGGCACAAGGTGGCCATCCCCGGTTTCACATCAACGTGATCTCAGGCACAAACCTCCTTGTTTTTCCATTTTGTCTGTAAGTAACTTGTTGAAACAACTGTACAAATATGACAAAGATATAAAATCAGGCATCTTCTGCCCCCAGTGCCTACTAATAAATGATTTTCTGCCACTTTAATGATAAAAATAGAACATTTCAACATTCTGCTGACCTTATTATTTGTCATTTTTGTTGATATTTCTATTGAATACACCTTTCAATATTTTAACAATGGAACATTTATGTAGGTTGTTGCAGACCCAGCCTTTAGTGGAAAAGGTTTTGTTGTTATATTTCTGTTATGTTTCCTTTAAAAATCATTATCCTATTTAAATGGATTAAGTCAAATCTATAGGCATTTATCTTATGAACATTGATGAAATGAATACATAGAGGGCAGTAGTACAAGTTGATTGGACTTGAGAACCTCTATTAGCATAGTTACGTATAAATATTATCTATATGTAAACCAAACTACATGCTGAATGAGATTCTCTGACTCTTCACTGTCTGCCCCTCAAGCCTGTGAGAAATGGAATATTTCTTGCCATCTCAGTAAACAAAGGGTGTCACAGTCATCAGCACTTGCAGCCCTCCAGTGTGAGCCGCGGGCCCTGAGAAACTCAGGATATGCAAATACAGAATGCAGGCCCCAGAGAGCTGAGGTGCATATGAAAGGAAGGATTTCAGGGAGCCCAGACTCTGGCATCTTCTTATACAAAGAAAAGCGCTACATTCCTCACGTTGGGAGAGCTGGTTTTCCTTAGTTAACAATCACCTTTTAATGTTCCCCATTACCTGCGCCAGGGCCCTGCCCTGTCCCCTCCCCCCATACTTTAGCTCTGGAAGGAAGGAGCTCAGAGGGTCTCGGCTGAATAAGGGGCCTGCGAGCCTCGGGGGCAGTTTTCATTCGCTTTCCCTGCAGTCGGGAGGAGGGGCGCTGACGCTGCAGCCGGACCCTGCTCGTCCCTTGCCCCGTTTCCCCTCCGAACGCTCAGGCCGACCCCCTCCACACGCCCCACAGGCCCCGCGAGCCAGGCCGAGGGCAGGGGGGAGAAGAGGGACGGAAGTTCCCCGGACCAGACGCTGGGGGCCGCTCTTTCTGCACAGCAGTGGCGGGTGGCAGCGAACCCCTACCCCTCAGAAGCTGGTCTTGCGCTGCCGCCCGGGCAGCGGACCAGGCGGAGGGCCGGCGCCCACTTACCCGGCCCGCGGTCCGCACGACTCTCCCAGCTTCGGCCGCCGGGGCCCGTCCAGAACCGGCAGCCTCAGTGAGGCCGCCCTCCCCTCGGCCTCCGGGGAGTTCCGTGACGGCGGAGGGAAGAGACCCCGAGCTGCGGCACTTCCAGCTCTGCGAAAACGCGGGCTCCGTTCTGGGCGTAGGGGGTGGGACCGCTCTGACCCGAGGCCTTCCGGGAGGGAGGGGGCGCCGGGGGAGGGAGCCGCCAGGAGCGCAGGGCCCCGTCGGGGGTCCTGGAGGGGCGGCCCGGCCTGGGGGCCCCGCCCATTGTAGCCGCAGCCCATGCCTTTTTCCTGGAATCCTACACAAAAAAGTTAGAAAGATACACGGTCTATAGTAAATATTCACAAATGATTGTTGCTGCTGTGCTTTCTATCCTATTTAAGGTGTAAAATCCATAAAACACTTTAAGTTCAAAATTAAATATGAATTTTTACCTTTCTAATGATGTCTCTGCTATTCACAATTGTCGTTAATGGATCAGAGACTGTGGCATCACTAGTTAAAAATGAGCTTGTGAAAAAAATAGAACTCAGGCCCACCGGACCTACTGAATCACAATCTACACTTTTACAATCTCCCCAGTGTACTTGTGTACCCACGAATAGTTGAAAGGTACATTTCTACCTCGACATGTCTTTTGTGTCTCAGAAATACACACATTTTATCCAATTTGATATAAATAAAACATTCAAAAATGTATATGCCTGTGTTGAAACCATCATTTTCTCATTTCTTTTCCAGATAAGTATAGTCTCTATACTGGTTTTGTGACTCACATGCCATACTCTTCTTGTAGTTAGAAATAAGGTAGAGAAAGTTACTTTGTAATATATATATATTCGTGATAACTGAAGACACTCTTCTAAATTAAAACCAGTTCTCTTAACTTGCTGTGTTCTTCTTGGGTCACCTTATGAACTCTTCCCGTGGCCACATGGCATGTGTACCTTTAATTTCAGGGACTGCTGACATTCCAGGATATGGCTATAGATTTCTCTCAAGAGGAGTGAGAGTGCCTGGACCAACATCAGTGGAAATTGTACAGGGATGTGATGTTAGAGAAGTATAGGAACCTGCTCTCCTTGGGTGAGGATACCTTCCTTCTAGAATTCCTTATCCAATCACAGCGTTTAGAGTCCTTCATTTGTAGAATGTCTCCTGGAATCTTCTGCTTCCTACAATAGGGTTTCAGATTGCAATGTTTCAGGAAATATTGGGAGTTTGTGGGTATAATTTATCCTATTCTTTTAAAATTGCAGCCTCCCTCAGCGGCATAGCACAGGGAGAGCAGCTGGGTGTTTTGTGACCACCTAGAGGGTTTGGAAAGGGATGGTGGGAGGGAGGGAGATGCAAGAGGGAAGAAATATGGGAACATATGCATATGTATAACTGATACACTTTGTTATAAAGCAGAAAATAACACATCATTGTAAAGCAATTATACTCCAATAAAGATGTTAAAAAAATAATAAAAAACAAAATAAAATTGCAGCCTCCCTTTTAATATACTTTGTAACTGCTTGGGATGTGTCTATATGAACTGTGTACTATATGCTTCTGTTATAGTCCTTACAATATTTTATTGTCTTATTTTCTGTAACAATTTTCCATGGATTCTTTAGGCTTACGGTATATTAAAAGGGAGACAGCGATTCTGGGACTTCCCTGGTGATGCAGTCCTTAAGAATTCGCCTGCCAATGCAGGGGACACGGGTTCGATCCCTAGTCCGGGAAGATACCACGTGCCACGGAGCAACTAAGTCAGTGGGCCACAACTACTGAGCCTGTGCACCACAACTACTGAAGCCGGTGGGCCTTGAGTCTGTGCGCCATTTATGTTTTGGAGAATAAAACCACCTCTGAGTGATTAAAATTTAGACCAGCTAGTCAAAATGCTTTATCACCTGTTCTTAAAAACACTGATCAACGGAACGAGTTTTACTAGGGATAGCAGTGTAATTGTATTCTGGAGTTCATATCGGCAATATGGTTTATGACCTTGATGCTGGATGACGACATTTCAATGGTATAACTGCTATTAATTGTCTGTTTGTTCAATGATTAAAGTCTCACATGATCTGAGTTCAGACGGGAGTCATCCTGGTTGCTTTCTGTCTATTGCAGATTTCTTCCAGTATGAAAGGACAGGAGCAATACGGCTTACTTTACAAAATGTCTGCAAACTAAATGATGATATAATCTACATTCAATTAATTTATACATACCCTACTGTAGAACTGGGTTTGTTACGGTGGCAGAGCCCAGTAATTATGTAAAACTTAAACCTTTATCTGCACTGGTTCAAGTTCTCTTCCTAAGAATATGTTTATAATCAACATTCTTTCACAAATGAACCAATTTAATTCACCATAGCATTCCTCATATTAACTAAATGGAAAATACTAGGCTATATACAAATGCAGAAAGGGCCAAAAATTATCAGCCCCCATGGAATATTACAACCCATTGCTGAGGCATTCAAATTACTTATTAAAGAATCACTATGTCCATCAACATCATCAATTTATATATTATTGCCCCAATGCTAACCTTAACCCTGGCTCTCACAACATGAATTCCTCTTCCCATATCTTATCCATTAATTAATATAAATGTAGGCATATTATTTATATTAGCCATATCACACCTAGCCATTTATTCCATCCTCAGATCTGGATGAGCTTCACATTCAAAATACTCACTCACTGGAGCTCTAGGGACAGTAGCACACACAATCTCATATGAAGTAATGTAGCAGTTATTCCATTCTCAGTCTTACTGATAAATGGATCATTTACAATTTCAACAGTAATTATTACACGAGAACACCTATGACTAATTTTCTCCTGACCCCTACCCAGAACTTGATTATCTCCGCAGTAGCAGAAATCCAATGAAGCCCCACTTGATTTAACAGAAGTAGAATCAAAACCTGTATATGTCTTCAATGTAGAAAATGTAGCAGGCCCATTCAGACCGCCCTTCCTAAAGAATATGTCAATTTCCTTATAATAAACATTTCCACAACAATCTATTTTTAGGAGCATTGGACAATCCCTAGGTGCCAGAATTATATACAGCCCAAGTCATCATTAAAACACATCTAACAATTTCCTTTCTATGAATTTGAGCATCCTACCCAGAATTTTGATATGATCAACGTATACATCTCTTATAAAAAGTTTTTTTACTACTATCGTTAGCCCTATATATATGAGAGTTTTCACTACCTGTCATCATACCAGGCAACCCAACACAAACTTAAGAAATATGTCTGACAAAAGAGTTACTTTGACAGAGTAAATCATAGAGGTTTCAATGCTCTTATTCCTGGAATTGAATTCTTCCTAAGAATTTTACATTCTCCATGCTACCACATTACACCACATGCTATATAGTAAGGTTCTCTAAGTAAGCTTCAGGCCCATACCCCCAAAATGTTGTCGTATGCCCTTCCTGTACTAATAAACTCTCATTGTTTTTACTATCATTTTACTGACCATTTTCTCAGGAAACATAACTGTATAACAAGCTCACACTGGTTAATGGTATCCCCATTCTAATAAAAAACACGAACCCATAAGCTACAGAAGCATCCAACAAATATTTTCTAAAACAATCCACCACATCAGTACTACTTATAATGGCTATTATCATTAATCTAATATACTCTGGTCAAAGAACACAATGAATAACAAAAATCTTTAATCCAGCAGCATCCACCCTCATGACAATCGCCCTTGTCACAAAAGTAGGACTTTCCCCATTTCACTTCTGAGTGCCTGAAGTCACACAAGGTATCCCATGAACAGCAGGCCTGATGCTATCAGCCTGACAAAATTGCACCCCTATCAGTTTTATATCACATGTCACCATCCATCAAGCTAAATATACTATGAATCATAGTGATATTATAAATCATAGCTGGAGGATGAGGCAGACTTAGCCATACTCACCTGGAAAAAATTACACCCTCATCAATTGCCCATATAGGATGAATGACAGCTATTATAAAGTATATTCCAATTATAACAATCCTAAACATACTAATTTATATCATAACAACACTCTCTTCTTCTTATTTATGCCCAGATCATGTACTACAAGAGTATCATTATCACACACATGAGATAAAACACCTCCCATCACAATCCTTTTCCTCACCATTATAGTATCAGTAGGACATCACCCATCACTATCAGGGTTTTTACCCAAATGAGTAATTATCCAAGACATACCAAAAATGATAACATCATTCTACCAACACTAATAGCCATCATAGCAGTCCTCAACATATATTTCTACTTGCAGCTAACATACTCCACATCACTAACTATGTTCCCTTCATTAAACAGCACAAAAATAAAACAATTTGAACATACAAAAAAATAACCTTCCTATCATTATCAATCATAATATCCACACAATTACTACACATAACACCCATTCTATCAGTGCTGGACTACGAATTTAGGTTAGTTCAGACCAAGAGCTTTCATAACCCTAAAGAAGTAAATTTTACTTAATTCCTAAAAATAAGGGTTGCAAGACTTCATCCTACATCAACTGGATGTAAAGCAAACATTGTAATTAAGCCAAATCTTTACAATATTGATGAGTTTTAACCTCAGGAAAGTTTAGTTAACAGGCAAATCCTCTAGTCAACTGGCTTCAGTCTACTTCTGCTTCATTTGAGAAAGAAAAAAAAGGCAGGAAAATCACCGGCAGAAGTTTAAGCTGCTTCTCTGAATTTGTTGATTCACCACAGGGTTTTTGAGAAAGAGGGCTCAATCTCTGTCTTTAGATTTACAGTCGAATGCTAGCTCAGTCTTTTTACCTCTGTTCATACACTGCTGATTATTTTCAACAAGTCACAAAGATATTTTATATTTACTATTTGGTGCTTGAGCTGGAGTAGCAGGCAGCACCTTAAGTATATTAATCCAGGCTGAGCTATGCTAACCTGGAGCGCTACTTGGAGATGCCCAAATCTGTAAGGTAGTCATAACAGTCCCTGCACTTGTAATAATTTTCTTTATAGTTGTACCCATTATATTCATTATATTGTAGGGTTTGAAAATGGACTTGGGCCACTAATAACTCGAACACCTGAGGTAGCATTTCCCAAAAAAATCACGTAAACTTTTGACTACTTCCCCCATCACTCTTGCTCCTACGCATATCACCAATAGTAGAAGCAGGTTCTGGTACCAGTGGAATCCCATATTCAGCTCTAGCCTGCAATCTGGCCCACGCAGGAGCCTCTGTCGACCTAACCATTTTCTTCTTACATTTAGCCCGTGTCTCTGTAACTCTTGGTATTATTACTTTTATTACTATAGTCTTTCATACAAAACCAGCAGTCATATCCCAATACCAAACACCACTATTAGTTTAATCTTCCCCAACTATAGCCATATTACTATAATTACCAGTGTCAGTATGAGCAGCCAGAATTGCTATACTGTTAAGAGATAGAAATCTCAACACTACTTTCTTTGACCCTGCAGGAGGAGACCGAATCCTATACCAACACCTGTTTTGATTCTTTGGTCACCCTGAAGTCTGCACTCATGGCCTACCAGGGTTTGTTATAAACTTACATATCATTACATACTATTTAGGACAAAAAGTGTCTTTCAGCTATTTGGGAATAGAATGAGTCATGTCTACTGGCTTTTAAGGATTTCTCTTGTGGGCCCATCATATGTTTACTATAGGGATAGCTGTCAACTCAGGAGCACACTTTGCATCAGCTACCGTAATTACTTCTATCCCACAGGAGTAAAAGTATCTAGCTGATTAGCAACTCTTTCTTTAAGTTTTGTTTTTTTTTGGCTGCGTTGGGTCTTCGTTGCTGCACATGGGCTTTCTCTGATTGCGATGAGCGGCAGCTACTCTTCGTTGCGGTGTGCGGCCTTTGCATTGCAGTGGCTTCTCTTGTTGCAGAGCACGGCCTCTAGGTGCGTGGGCTTCAGTAGTTGTGGCTTGCGGGCTCTAGAGGGGAGGCTCAGTAGTTGCATCGCACGGGCTTTTTACTCCGCGGCATGTGGAATCTTCCCAGATGAAGGCTCGAACCCGGGTCCCCTGCATTGGCAGGCGAATTCGTAACCACTGCGTCACCAGGGAAGTCCCTGGTTAACAAATGTTCACGGAGGTAATACTGTATGACCTCCCACTATATTATGAGTTTTAGGCTTTAGTTTTTCTTTTTACAGTAGGTGGTTTGACAGGAATTATCTTAGCCAACTCATCCCCAGACATTGTCCTCTAGGATACATACAATGTAGTAGCACACTTCCATGACCTAATGTCCATGGGAGCAGTCTTCACTATTATAGGAGGGTTCCTACACTGATTCCCACTATTCTCAGGTTATACAGTTAACTCAGCATGAGCAAAAATTCACTTAACAAGTATATTTGTAGCAGTAAATATGACTTCCTGCAGCACTTTCTTGGCCTCTCAGGGATGTCACTACGTTAGTCTGAGTACCCTGAGGCACACACAACATGAAGTATTTTGTCTTTAGGCTCATTCATCTCAGTAGCAGCGGTAATGTTAATAATCTTCATACTTTGAAAAGCATTTGCGTCTAAACAAGAAGTCTTAGCAGTGGAAACTGCTACTCCTAACCTAGAATGGTTACACGAATGCCCTCCACCATATCCTATGTTTCAAGATCCTACCTATGTAAATGTAAAATAAGGAAGGACTCAAGTCCTTTTCAACCAGTTTCAAGCCAACACCATAACAATTACGTCTTTCTCAATAAATGAGATAAAAGTAAAAAGTTAAATCATAGGCTAAAATCCTGTATATCACTAAGGCATATCAATTTCATCTAGGCTCTCAAGACACAACATCACCGATTATGGAAGAACTTTTACATTTTTGTCATCTCACAATAGTGATTTTTAAAATAAGTTCTCTAGTCCTCTATATTATTTCACTAATATTGACAACTAAACTAACTCATATATGTACAATAGATGCACAGGTAGAGAAAATGTGAACAATTTACCAGCCATTATTGTAATCTTAGCTGCTCTATCATCATTGTGAATCCTTTACATGATACATGAAATCAATAACTCTTCCCAAACCATAAAAGACTATGGGTCAGTAATGATACTGAAGCTACAAATACACAGATTATGAAGATTTAAATGTTGACTCCTCTGTAATCCCCACATCAGAGCTAAAACCAGGAGAATAATAACTAATAGAAATCAACAACCAAGTAGTTAGAGATAGTCATTGAATATTAGTTAGTTTCATCTGAAATTGTTGTACACCCCTGAGCTGTTCCTTCTCAGGCCCAAAAAGAGCTGCTATACCAGGACGCCAAATTAAAGAATCCTAATACCAACAGGACCAGGCCTATGTTATGAACAAGTTATTCCACCATCCCCTACAGAATTTGTTCTTGTCATTGTTCACATTTGAGCCGTTCTAATGGGTGTCTCCAGCAGCCCAGTGGTGGAGGGGGGTTGGGAAGGATGCAGAACTTCCGGAGGAAACCACAGGACCTGGCATTCTGGGAAATTCATAAGTGCTAGTCAAGTTCTGGCAACCTGAACACTTCCTCCTGAAAGCTGAAGTCTGAGAGACATTCTTCCTCCCTTTGGCCACATGGCTGACAAGAAAAGTAGCTGACCTGCAAAATGAGCACCAGTTCAGGTGGCGGGAGGGGGACACTCCTTACAATTATGCTAAAATGTTGCCATTTCCTCCAAACTCTCAGTATTCACGTCTCATTATTCATGCACAACTGTGTTATTAGGGGTTACCAATGAATCAGTGATGACTCCAGAATTTCTGTAGGAGGGGTTTGGGGCAGGTGAGCAATTCATTCTGGGAAAGAGAGTTTAAAACCAAGTGAATGGCCCTTTATATTAGCATGGGAAAACGTCCCACATCCCAACTTGTCTCAACAGACCCATTAATCTAGAAAAAACTACAGTGTCACTTTTCAGAGGTCTACCCTGTGTGCACACATGGAGAAGATACTTAGAATGTTAAAGTCAGCATGTTAAGTAATTTTCTTGAAATACTGTAACTAGCACCCAGTTTACTTTCTTCACAGGCCTTTTCATAATCTATTTAATTTTAGTCCTTTTTAATTGTCTGTTACACCTTTAACACCTAAATTCCAAGAGAGAAGGATCTTCATCTTATCTCCACTGCCTAGCACATAATGGTTTCTAAATGGAACTGATTCCAAGATTGGCCTCATTTAGGAGTGCATCTCTTGTTATAATCAGGTTTCCAAAATCCTTAGTATCAATAAGGAATCCTTTCCTCTCACATTTCACAGGAAGATAGACTTCTTATAGCCCAAATATGGATATGTTTGAAGTTTCCTTGACTGATTTAAATTGAATTAAAATTAAAATAATAATTTTGTATAGGAAAAACTTTCAATTTTTTTCATTTTTCAGAACATAACCACCTTTTCTTTCTCTACTTTCTTCCCTTCAAAACAAACTTTGCAACATTGGGGTGAGTTAAATAATAAGAAATCTAGCCCCAAATTAAGCTCTCAATGACATGAAACACATTTTTTGCTCCTTTTTAATAAAAATCCTATATGCAGTACATTAATGTTTTCTTTTAGAAATTACGTTGGCAACTTAATCCCTAATTCGAGGTATCTATATAACTGGTTTACAGTAAGGTTCTTTCGCAAAATATTACACAAGATATATATGAGATGTTCAGATCTGGGTAATATACCTTACTTGAAAGGCATGAATACTTTTTAAACAGCGTAGCATAATCACACTTAAGACTATAGTTACTTTGTTCCCAAGTCCCTGAAATTCTATTTGAGGGGAGTTCTAAAAGGCCTGTGTCTTCTCGGTGTCCACAACCGTATACGTACACAGGTGGCCCTCAATCCTGCTCTCCAAACTTCAAATAAGGGGCCAGAGACAAGGCTCGGGACTTGGAAAAGTCCTAGAAATTCCCTGCCTCAAAAGCACTTTCAGAGTTTCACATTTCCCTAAGGAAGACGTAGCTAAGTAGACATGCCTAAATCTTCCAAATCCTGCTGGTTGTTCTGAATTATGGCTACATTGGCTGTGTACCCCTTGAGCTTTTATTTCCACATACTTGAATTAAATCCTGTAGTTCTTCTTCGATTCTAGCATCTGTCACCTGTTCACAGGGTCTATATGCCACAGCTGTTTTACCACTTTCTGAAATAAAGTTAACAAGGATCAATTCAGAGGTTTTCTTGTTCTAAAACTTCCTGTACACAGTGGTAGCACCGAATAATTAGACATTCTTTTGACTTCTAAAAGCAGAAAATAGTAGCATTCTCCTAGAAGTTCCCTCATCTGACACTTCAGTTTTTATCATAATTATTTGTGAAAGCATATATAAGAAGTATCAACTTGGGTTCAAAAACTTTATGATCTTAGAAATAAGAACTAAGGAATAAGGACATAGAAATTAAAAGCTGTGGAAACAAAAATGTTCAATCACAATACAATTAAATAGTAAGGCATTAGGTGGGGGTCAACGTGAGTTCAAACCTGGGAGAGATACCACTGGACTGTAATAGATACTTCCTATTAGAAGCAAGGCAAGTGCCTACTCCTTGGGACAAAAATTCTACCAGATAAAATGAACAAAGCTTTGGAGACAGAGACAGAGAGAGGGAGCATTTGAACATTCTACTGGCAAAAACTGGCCCATGTACCCTTTGGACAATACAGCTTTCCTCAAGGCAAGCTAGAGCCACCAGGCTTTTTGGTCTAAGGAGTGTTGGGTACATATAAGGAGTACCTTGGCACATTAGGCACAAACAACCCTGGCATTTAATTTGGTTCTTAAAGGTTGTTACCCAGAGTTGACAGCTGATGGAGATTCTGTCTGATGACCAGAGAAGTCAAACTTCACTGGAACGACTGCCCAGGTTGGAAGGCTAAGACCAATCCAGGGTCAACTCTTACAAGCAAATAAGCTCTCTGGCAACTTAGCTTGGATTTCTCAGCCTACAGGGCTGTGAAGCAGGGGAGCAATTCTGTTCCGGGAATCTACTAATCATAAAGTTTCCTTTGGGCACAGCCTGTGACATTCTCACCGCTGTATAACTCGATAGGGAACACAATCAACGCTATTCAATAGCATGACCAGTTTCAAGGCTCACAAAAACTTACCGATTATTATATAAGAATCATATTCACCCAATATATCAGAAATGAAAACTGAAATTCAACTGATTCCAAAAAGATAGTCTAATAAACTCTTCAACAAGAAAACAACGGTAATAATAATAGTCAATATACTTTGTCTGCTTACTATGTTTCAGGCATAGCTCTAAGCTTGTTAGGTTCATCATCCCATTTACTCTTACAATATCCCCCATTTGGTGGTAAGCTGAATTACTAACCCTATTTGCAGATAAAGAAATTGCAGCTTAGACATGTTAAATACCTTCAAATGTCTCTGGTTGGAAAAACCTAAAACTACAACAACAAGAACAAAATCTAAGAGACAATGTTAGGACTCAAACACAGGTGTCCAAGGCTTATAATCACTACACTACTCTGTATGAGAAGCAAGCAATTGAGGAAGAAGTGGATCAAACACTTTCTGTATGAACTGAGGCAAGTGATTCTACATCTAAACACTGGGGACAATAATATTTGCTGTCGTTTTTCTCATAAATGCCACAAAGAACAAATGTAAGACTCCTGCTGTGAAAGCATCTGGTGAATGAAAGAATATGTAATGTTTTAGATAACCATTATTTTCATCCAATTCACTTCTCAAAAAAATTTATTTGCTCACTGAAACTGAAGCACTTCAACGACAATCAAAAAGGTCTTACCTAAAACCACAATCAGCAATTTCTGAAATGCATCTGTCATAGCTTTCTGAATAGCAAGCTTCTGGGTTACCTTCCTTTTCATAAGTAATGATAATGACCCTAAATCCCACCAAAACAGATGAATTTAAAATGCCTATATGAATAACTGATTTCTAGATTATATGTTTAAAACTAAAAATGCATCTGTGATTCTTAGATCATTACCTTAGTGATTAAGGGCAGGCACAACACTGGGGTACAGGTGAATGTCTCTGTTGCAGGTATACCCTGGCATGGCACATGTTTACTGCTCGGATCTATTCTGGAAGTTCCTAAAATACTAGACGGGAAATGCAAACCAAAAACGTGGCACAAATCTCATATTACTCACAGATTTCAAATGCACAAGCTGAGGCTGCACTGCTACAGACCCTGCTCTCCTCTGTGTAAAGGGCTGGAATCATACAGTGAGATAGATTTGGTTGCAGTGCAGATGATCCTGCCTCTACTCAACCATCACCCACTCAGGTGGATGGTGGAGCCTCCTCCACCTCATTAGCTAACAGCCCTGCCTCTGACTTAAAACCCTAAGCCCAAGTGCCATGGATTCTAGGAAAACAGTACCAATCGGAATCCCCTTTCTAGGGATCTATATTTACTTTTTCTGCTCAGGCCCTTCTATAAGAGGCAAAGGACTGAACATTTACACAAGAGTTTATTTCAATCTTTAGACAATGATTTTGTTGGGATAACTGAAGGCCAGAAGACATGTGCATTTGAAGGACTATTTTAGCACAAAACAAATTATTAACAAAAAAACCCCCCCAAAAAACAAAACAAAAAAAACTAACTAATTTTCCCTCCTCCTAAGCTTCTTGGCAGGCACTCAGTATTAAAATTCTAAAGTATAAGGTCCTGTGATGTATTGCCTAAGATAAAAACCGATATCGTCAGGCAGAAAACTTCTGCCCAGGGCTTTAGTTGCTTAGAAAAGATGATGATGTATCTGAAAATTTGAGTTTCAGAAAGAAAGGAAAAAAGAGAAATCCCACTGCCTCACCTCCCAACACACACATATACTGGAAAACAGACCTTCCTCCAACTTATCCAAAGGTTCCTCAGCCATGCCAACTCCAGGACTCCTGCACTCGTGGGAGGTCAACACAACCTCTAAAGCACAAAAGAACTTCAGGCTTTGCTTCTGAAGTGGTGTCACAATATCTTCATTTTCCCTTTCTTCAAGGTTATAAAGATCCCGAAGCTGTTAGGATTTTGAATTAAAGGCTAGACTTCAACATATACTGTTGTTAGAAATAAAAACTAAACTCCAGCAATCCCAGGAAATAGTTTAGGTATGCTACCCCTTCAAAATCAACTGAGACTTACAAATGAATGACTAGATATGGGCCACTGTTTTTTTATGATATACCATACAAGTACTGGAAAAAATTATGGACAGCACCATCCAAGTTATTGAGATTATCACTAATTCTAGGTGGCAGGCCAATGCTCAGATACTTCTATGTGGAAGTCTCTCACATCTCCTCCCCATAGCCATGTTCTATTCTTCTCTCTAAAGTCTAGGAGTTCAATGTTGAAAAGAGTCTGGTTAGTCAAAGAAAATCTACAGAGTTTACCTTGATGATACTTTTTGACCACCCATGGAAATCAAAGTAGTAATTTGCCAATTCTTGGCATCTGGAGCTGTTTAGGGCAGGCGTATTATGTTGAACCGCCTTATGTCTGGTGCCGAGATGAACCTAAAGACATAAAAGAGCTAAAAATATCACAACCCTACATAGAGACTTATATTGGATATACCTGAGATTTATCAATACCAATTTTATAGAGTGGTTGTGAAGATTAAGTAGGACATTTTAAGCAATGAGTTCACAGTGAGCCCTAAATAAATGTTATTTATTATTTTTAAGTCAGTACTTTTCTGCATCATTTCCAGGACCCCTGATTAACCGGAAGGTTCCCTGACCTCTGGTGGTGAAAGTGATGGTGAAAACAACCAAGGAAGCCCAGCAGAAGCCTATTATGGGGCTGCGGGTAAGCAAAGGAAGTGAACTGTTTTACTCGTCTCATCCTGTAGCTCCTGCTTGAGAATATAACCTGAAGAGGAGATAAGATGGACCTGCCACTGAATTAGGACCTGAATCTGTAGCACTCCCTCCCCAAGTTACTAACCCCTGTTAGAAGAGGGAATATGTATACCTCTATAAATGTAAATGAAGCAACGAAAAGAATTAGAGGTTCATCTGCATTAACAAGCTTCTTTGAGAGTGCAAATATTTCCAGTCTTAACTCTCTAAAGAACTTCCATATTACTGTGGATTTTTTACATCACTAGTTCCTTCTTAGATGTCCATTTCCATTCTGAACAGGGTATAGTATATAAATATAGTCATAAAAAATCAAATAATACAAATAAAGTCAAAAAAATTGTTAATCTTTATTGATTTGTTTGTGCATCTTCCTCTGTCACTAGTTTATGAGCTCCTTAAGTGCTTGAAGGAACCATATATTATTCTTTCCTTGCTACCAGAAACAAGCATAGGTCCTGTATTATAATAGAGGAGTGATGGTCTGTTGACTGAGTGAATGAATGAGTACATAAGAAAATGAAATTACTTTCTCCAATTGAAGCTGCCTGCTGGGAAGGAGAAATGAAGACTAATTTTTAAATGTTGAGTATCACATGGGAGGCTAGGTCCTGTGCGGTGAGTCATAATGGAGCTGTCCTGGACAATTAGGAAGCTTCAGAAGGGTTCTGAGCCCCTGTGTAGTAAAGACAGGTCACATCTGGGATAACCTTGCCACAGTTCTTGCTGGCAAACATTTCCTTTCATGCTGAGAAAAACTCAGATACATTAGGCCTTTCCTTCATTCTATTTTAAGCTGTTATTCTCTTTTCTGTATTTATAATAAACACAGGGGAAAAAAGCTAAGAAGTATGTATACCTGCCAATGAATAAAAGAACACATAATTGGAACTTCCGTGCTGGTGCAGTGGTTAAGACTCCTTGGTCCCAATGCAGGTGGCCCGGGTTCGAACTCTGGTCAGGGAACTAGGTCTCACATGCATGCTGCAACTAAGAGTTCACACGCCACATTTAAGGAGCCTGCAAGCCATAACTAAAGGAGCCTGCCTGCTGCAACTGGGGAGCCCACATGCAACTGGGGAGCCCTTGAGCCACAACTAAGGACCCCGCCTGCTGCAACTGAGACCCGGTGCAACCAAATAAATAAATAAATAAATAAAATTGAAAAAGAATGCATAAGTAAAGAAGGAAACAATTTCGGGGATGTGGGTAGTAAACTAAGGCTCTGCATTAAATAAAGAAAACTAATACGAATGTCCTTTCCTCTCAACTCTATAGTGACTTGGAGAACATTTTCTTCATTACTCTATCGGTGACGAGTTTTATGCTGAGAAAATCTCACAACCTATGCTTATGGAATGGTCTTAATGTCCAATATAAGAAAAGAACTCATTACTCACAACTGATACAAAGTAACTGTTTCATAATCTTTCCAGGACCATCTGTAATATATGAGTGGTATGTGAAATGGTAGCAGGGTCCGCAAATTAAAAATGTGTGACACAAAATCATTTCAATCCCAGGGAGTACATCCAGGATTGAAGTAGGTGTTAAACAGGTTACAGAAGTGGGAGGTAGTGTACCTGGAGTCTCATCTGAGGAGCGTTCTCAGATTCAATATAGGTGAAATCAGTGAGAAAAGAAATATGGGTGAGAATAGGCAGCAAGGTTAGTAGGAAGTAGCCAGAGCAAGAAGCCAATCAGAGAAGACACACAATTATAAAGGGAAAGGTCTGGGAAATCTAAGCCTCACTCCCTTATTCAGAGGAATTGAAAAGGTCCTTGAAAAAGGAAGGGTGGCTGAATGGAGGCACATAATGAAATGTTAATTCTGGGGAAGTAAAATTGGATGGCATGTTGATATGGAATAAGGTTTCTACAATGCATTAAAGAATATTTTAACCATTTTCTGGAATCTGAAGGGAGTTCTGAATAGGCAGTTTGACAGTAATGATGATGATGAAGCCTCCTTTATGTTACATCTCACAAAAGTTTGTCAAGCTCGGGACTTCCCTGGTGGCACACTTGTTAAGAGTCCGCCTGCCAGTGCAGGGGACACGGGTTCGATCTCTGGTCCAGGAAGATCCCACATGCCGCAGAGCAACTAAGCCCGTGTGCCACAACTACTGAGCCTGTGCTTTGAGCCTGTGAGACACAACTACTGAAGCCCGCGTGCCTAGAACCCGTGATCCGCAACAAGAGAAACCGTCAAGATGAGAAGCCCATGCACGGCAACGAACAGCAACACCCGCTCGCCGCAACTAGAGAAAGCCGGCGCACAGCTACGAGACCCAACGCAGCCATAAATAAATAAATAAATAAATAAATAAAAAATTGTCAACCTCACACATTTAAAATCCACATAAAAGTCAATATAAGGAAGACTCTTGTGAAGATTTCTTAAATTAAGGGGCAGCAGAAAATGACATGGGGTTTAACATCAGTTAAGTTTGGGTTTGGCCTCTAGTTTCCACGTTTACTGTCATGAACCTTAAGTAAGTCACTTAACCATCCTGAGTTTGAGTTTCTTCATCTAAAAAACAGGAAGAAACCACTAGGGAACTGGGGGATCAGTGGAGCAGTGCATCTGAGAGCATTCTGTACACCACAGTGCTGTTGAAACGGTGGCCTTTTTTTTTTTTCCCCTGGTATCTTAGTTCTAAGACCAGGGGTTGAACCTGGGCCCTCAGCAGTGAAAGTGCAGAGTCCTATCCACTGGACAGCCAGGGAATTCCCGATGGCCTATTAGTTTTGAATTCAGCACATCATCCCAGTGGAGCGAGGAATTCCACAGTTGGACCCACCTTCACTGGAGATGTGTGAAAAAGCTGTTTCTGCTCGCATGCCTTTTGGGCTCTGTGGGCATCCATTGCTGAATAAAACTTAATAATGGCATAGAACGCAGGACAGGCCACTGCTGCGTTTGGGAAGACTCAGACAGAATACAGAAGGCCAAACCGGGAGAAGACTGTGAAGAAAGAATGCTGTAGGGCGGTCCCACGCTTAAGTAAGTGCAGTAAATTTCATGCCCAGGAAACAAAACCGCCCATTCCCTTGTATTCCCCCAGCCTTTCGCCACAGGTAACTATGGTGAGTCTGGAACTCCAAACACTTCTCATTTCATAAACAAGGTTCCCTCTGAAATCCTAAGCTTCGAGAAGCATTAGGAGGCAATGCCTTCTGTTGGGAACTATCTCTCAAAAATCTATGGGGGAGAGCTGACTGCTCAGGTCATCTCTAGAACTAAGATTCCTCTCAGTGGAGACCACAGGCAGATGAGGTACTGAAGCAGTAACCCGGAGCGCCCAGTTACTGGGGCGCGGGGCGGCTTCCTCCACCCCTCCCTCCCTTCCGGCTCGTCTCACTTGCAAGGCCTCGGCCGTTTTATCCAGAGTTCAACTCCCACACCAGCAAGGTTTTGTCACCCCCGATGGGAACCGCAAAAGGTACCAAGTGCACCATCCTATCGTCACAGCGCGTGCGCGGCTCAGGGCCGCAAGCAGACTGCGCCAGAGAACGCGTGCCCGCGCTTTTTAAAAAGTTAGTGCCAACAAATCTAATATATAGAAAAATAGTTGAAAGCCCCTGAGTGTTTTGTGGATAGAAAAGCTTGAGATTCAGAGCAAGTTCAGAGCTTGACATTCTAAGAATAAACTAGCTTTCCATTGCATTAGAAGGGCTAGGTAGCAGCTCCTTGTTATGGAACCAGAAACTCTCAGGCTCCAAATAGGACATAAAACAACATCAATTGTACTCTTTATAAAATTGCAGAAACAAACAAAAATATATTTACACTTGGCCTATAAGACAAAGGGTACTTGACACCTAATGTATATAAAATCAGTTTACAAACTGTGAGGCACTATATCAATAAGTTCTCATTTGCAGAGAATACAGCATAGGATATGAGGCCATTAATGTTAATTCCCTTCCCCCTTCCATTCCTTTCTCTTGTTCCTTTATGTATGCGGATCAGGTACATTATTAACCTAACAATGTAACTGAGATATTATTAGCTTAATAATGTAAACAATAATCTGATTTTTAGCAAAGGGGTAATTTTTAGAAACTTAGGGGGCTGGAACTCTGAATGTATGAATTGAAATAATGCAATTACATCATTAATTTTAAAATTTATCATCAGATTAAAAATTAAAATATTAAATTAAAAATTTACTATCCCACAATTGAGACTCACCACGTGTGACGTCTGTCAGGCATTCACTGTCACAACGCAGCTTGACTGTCTTTCAGACAACCTCAATAATATTTTTAAATTGGCAGAGGCAGCAGGCCATACGGCTAGGTAAGATCCTATAAATGGAAACACAGGTAATTAAGTTCGTGGTAAAAGAGTTACTTGAGTAGGTAGAAGAGGTAGGCCAAGGCCACCACAGACCAGTGCAAAAAGGAGTTCTTGGGACACATGGACTGCAGAACTGGATAGGGGCCGGTTGGCCAATTGCTGCTCTTGACTGTTGTAAATAAATATAGAGGAGAAGAGAGGTGCCCAACAGAAGAATTAGAATGGCAGTAGGTATTGCATGCCTAGAAAAAAGGGAATAGGGATTAGAATTGGGTGACACTGATCTGTAATTTAATTCAGAATTATCTCCTTCCAACCCGAAATCCTCACTTTGGGTTGAGAGTACACAGGAAGTAGGCAGACTTCTAAGAAGAGTCTGAATAAGACCGCACCTTCTGGAGTCCCTTTCTCAGTTCCTATTTGTGAGTAGTAATATATTAGAAATTATTCTAGTAATAAAAAAGCATCGTGTGGTTAAACAATAACAGAGATCGCATTGGCCAAATCTGGAAAAAAGGAACATTTGAAAGAATAACTTTATCATTATAATAAGGTATAGAATAGTTAATTGAAAAAAAAGCACATGAGTTCATAATGATACTCAAAATGAAAAGTGGGGGAGCTCTTCTTTATAGAACAATGTCAGCTAATAAATGCAAAAGGAAAGATAGAATTAGGAAAGTGTCATTTTGCATCTATCAATGTAATAATAGATTCAGACTAGGATTATCATTGATGCACAGTTGGGTGAAGAGTTGTTTGAAAGTAGGATCTTCACTGATCCCAAAGTATCACCCCACATATGACTTATCAATTACCAAGTGGAAAAGTAACTTTACAATGGAGAGATATGGAAGATACCACCTTAATCAAGTGATTAAACTTAGCACTGGGACACCTGAAGTGATGAAGTATGAAGAATACATCACCTATATAGTATTCTCCCCCAAAATATTTACTTTGAATTTAATGACAAAACAGACAAATACTGATCGTGGGGTAATTTCACGACAACTGGCTTAGATTCTTCAAAAACGCCAATGTCATAAAAGACCAAAAAAAAAATAGTAGGGAAATATTCCATATTAAAGGAAACAAAGACATGACATTCAATGCCTAGTCTTTAATTGGAACCTGTATCAAAACAAAACAGACTTAAAGAATGTTATTGGCTTCTGGTCAAGATGAAGTTACAAGGACCAATTTAACCTCCCACCTGAAACAATGAAAACATCAGACAGAACATATGAAACAACAGTTTTCAAGAAACTGGACCTCAGGCAATAAAGTTCAGTGATCCCCAGGCAATGGGAAATAAATGAAGTGATCCCTATAAGTGCCGTAACTTACTTCTCTCAGAGAGTGTCCTGGTCATCGTACAGGGAAGAGAAGTCCAGGCAGAGACTGGTGGACTCCCTGACTGAGGAAATGGAGCTGAGAGTCTGGGAATACCAAGGTAACTAGAGTTCACAAAGCAGACTACCAGAGAGAAAAGAAGTGCACAGACCAAGAACTCTGGAGATATGCAGAGGGATCTCTTGAGAATTCAACAAAATATTGGTCAGTACATTTGTGTGAGGAATTGCTTGATGCCAGGAAAAGAACCACATGAAAGGATTAATAATACAAATAACTGGATATCACACAGGGTTGTAGGAATAACAGCTGTTCCTACAAGTCAGACTGGAAAACCTCATGATACTCAGAAAGGACTTGTCTCAGTAGTTGCAGATAATGAGCTCCAGACTAAAGGGTACTTGGACTCCTACCCAACAAATCTTAAAATCTAGACCTAAAAGAATAAAATTGTTTTGAGTAACTAAATTTCACCCAAAACAAAGCCCAGGCATTTTACATGAATATAAATATATATAGTGCATAATAAACTAAAACTCACAACATCTGGGATCATATGAAAAATTGCCAAGCCTGCAAAGAAGTAGGAAAATATGACCCATAGTGAGGAGAAAAGGCAATCAATCAAAACTAACCCATAATCTATACAGATGTTACAACTGGCAGAAAAGAACATTTAAAAAGTTATTATACCTGAAGTAAAGTTACTATAACTGTATTTCATATGTTAAAAAACGTAGACTAAAAACTGAAAATGTTAAGTACAGGCATGGAAAAGGTAAAAGATACCAAAATTGAGCTTCTAGCGATTAAAAACAATGTCTAAATTAAAAATATATTGAACGAGGTTGATGGCTGATTAGACACTGCAGAAGAAAGGGTCACTGAACATTAAGGCATAGTAATAGAAACTATCCAAAATGAAACAAAAAAAGTAACAAAACAAAACAACAACAAAAATGAATAGAGCATCAGTGAGTTGTGCAACAATTTCAAGTCACTTAATACATGTGTACCTAGAGCCCATGAAGGAGAGGAGAAATACAAAAATTTGAAGAAATAATAGCCATAATTTTCCCAAATTGGTAAACAATATAAACTCACAAACTCAAGAAGATCAATGAACTTTAAGCATAAGAAACATGGACAAAACTACACCAAGGCACAAAAAATAATCAAATTGCTCAAAACCAGCAATAAAGAGAAAAATTTAAAAGCAGCCAGAGGAAAAAACTACACAATACATGCAGAGGAAGAAAGAAAACAATGACAGCAGAATTTTTGTTGGAAACAATGTAAATGAGATCTCAGTGGAATAACATCTTTAAAGTAGTGAATTGAATTCTATAAAGCTAGAATTCTATACCCAGATCTGTCAAAACAAAAGCAAAATAAAGACTATCTCAGACATACAACAGCTGAAAGAATTCACTACTAGTAGAATTTCACTATAAGAAATTTTAAAATAAGTATTTTTAAGCAGAAGGAAAATGACACCAGATTGGAATATGGATCTACACAGAAGACTAAGAATACAGGAATAGGGACTTCCCTGGTGGTTCAGTGGTTAAGAATCTGCCTGCCAATGCAGGGGACACGGGTTTGATCCTTGGTCCGGGAAGATCCCACATGCCGTGGAGCAACTGAGTACGTATGCCACAACTACTGAGCCTGCACTCTAAAGCCTGTGTGCCACAACTACTGAAGCCCATGCACCTGGAGACTGTGCTCTGCAACAAAAGAAGTTATCCAATGAGAAGCCAATGCACTGCAACGAAGAGCAGCCCCTGCTTGCTGCAACTAGGGAAAGCCCAGGCAAAGCAACAAAGACCCAATGCAGCAAAATAATAAATTTAAAAAGATACTTAAAAATTTTTTAAAGGATTTTAGTCATTCAATATATGTCTCTGAACACAATGGAATTAAATTAGAAATTAACAAATCTGAAAAAGTTCTAAATATTTGGAAACTAAACAGCACACTTCTGAGTAACTTTGTGGTCAAAGAAGAAATCAAAAGGGAAATCAGAAACTATTTTGAACTCACTGAAACTGAAAACATAATATGACAACATGTGGGATATTGCTAAACCTGTACTCAGCTTCCTCAACTTCCACCTTAATCTGGAAAAACGAGAGCAAATTAATCACAGAGTAAGAGAAGAAAGAACACAATAAAGTTCAAGGTAGAAATAAATAAAATGGAAAACAGAAAAATACTATAGATATTAAAAGGATAATAAGAGAATATTATAGAATACTTTATACCAATAAATTCAAGATGAAATGGACAAATTCCTTGAAAGACATGCACTACTAAAGTTTATTAAAGAATAAAGGTATCAAAGAAATTGGATTTGCAGTTTAAAACCTTCCAACAAAGAAAGCTTCAAGTCCACGTGGCTTAACTGATAAATTCTACCGAATATTTAAGGAATAAAATAATGCCAATTCTACAAAAACTTTACCAGAAAGTTGAAGGGAATATTTCCCAACATTTTTATAAGGCCAACTTTCACCGTATCAAAATTAGACAATGAGATTACAAGAAAACTATAGGCCAATATCTCACATGAACACAGAGACAAAAACTCTTAATAAAATTTTAGCATATCAAATCCAGTAATATATAAAAAGATGATACATCATGACCAAGTGGGGTTTATCTCAGGAAAGAAAGGTTGGTTTAATATTTGAAAATCAATTTACCCAACTTAGTACACTATAAAAAAGAAAAATCAGGACATCTCTGGTGGGGCAGTGGTTAAGAATCCACCTGCCAGTGCAGGGGACATGGGTTTCAGCCCTGGTCCAGGAAGATCCCACATGCCACGGAGCAACTAAGCCCATGCACCACAGCTACTGAGCCTGTGCTCTAGAGCCTGTGAGCCACAAATACTGAGCCCATATGCCACAACTGGTGAAGCGTGTTCACATAGAGCCTGTGCTATACAACAAGAGAAGCCACCGCAATGAGAAGCCTGCATACTGCAACAAAGTTTAGTCCCTGCTCGCCACAACTAGAGAAAGCCTGCATGCAGCAATGAAGACCCAATGCAGCCAAAAATAATAAATTAAGAAAAGAAAAGAAGGGAAAAATCACATAATCATTGCAATAGATGCAAGAATGAAAGAATCTAACATCCATTCCTGATTATAGAAAAAAAAAAACCCTCAGTAGAATAGGAATGGAAGGAGACTTCCTCAACTTGGTAAATGACTTCTACAAAAAACCTAACATCATATTTAATGGTGAAGGACAAAGTACTTTCTCTCCAGGATCAGGACAAAAGCAAGGATGTCTACTCTCATTACTTCTATTTGACATTGCACTGAAGGTTCTAGCCAGTGCAATAGGGCAACAAAAAAAAAAAGAGATATTCAGAATGGAAAGGAAGAAGTAGAACTACTTTATTTGCAGATAACATGATTATGTAGAAAACCTGATAGAATCTACAAAATTGATACTGGAACTAATAAATGAGTTTATCAAGTTTGCAGGGTACAAGATCAACATACAAAAAGATTAATTTATCTCAACCAACAATCAGAGATCAAAGTTTTTAAATACTACTTATAATAGAATCAAACATATAAAATACTTAAATAAATCTCAAAAAAGATGTAAAAGACGCACACTGAAAACTGAAAAATATTGCTGGGGGAAATTAAGGAAGACCTAAATAAATGGAGAGATATAATGTATTCATGGATCAGAAGATTCAATATTGTTAAGACATCAATTCTCCCCAAATTGATTTATACATCAAAATCCAAGTAGGCTTTTCTATAGAAATTGACAAGCTAATTCTAAAATTCATATGGAAATAAAATTTAGAATAACTAAAACAACGTTGAAAAAGAACAAAGTTGAAGAACTAACAGTAACTGATTTCAAGGGTTATGAAGCTACACTTTCAAGACATTCTGATAGTAGGGTAAAGACAGAGAAAAAAAATCAAGGGAACAGAATGGAAAGTTCAAAAGTAGAGAGATGTGGACAACTGACTTTCAGTTTCAAAGGCATTTAAGTGGAGAAACGATAGTCTTTTCACCAAATGATGCTGGAACAATTGAATATCCAGGTGCAAAAAAGAAAAAAGAACTTCCATCCAAACGATATACAGAAATGAACTCAAATTGTTTCAGAGATCTAAATGTAAAACATAAAAGTATAAAGCTTCTAGAACAAAACAGGTGAAAAATTTTATGACCTTGAGTTAGGCAAAATTTCTTACATACAACACCAAAAACAGAATGCATAAAAGAAAGAAAGAGATAAATTAGACACCATCAAAATTAAAAATTTCTGCCCTGCAAAAGACACTCCTGAGGGGACGAAAAGATGAGTCACAGAATGGGAGAAAATACTTAGCAACTTATATACTGGATAAGGACTAATTTCCAGAATATATAAAGAACTCTCAAAACTCCAGAAAAATATAGATAAAAGATTCAAAGATATACACAAGGAAAATAAGCATATGAATAGATGTTTGACATGATTAATCATTAGGGATGCTACAATGAAATACAACTACACACCTATTAAACTACCTGAAATTAAAAATACTGAGCATAGCAAGTGTTGGCCCCAACGTGAAGAAGATGCAACTCTCATACACTGCTGGTAGAGATGTAAAATGATCACACCAGTATGGAGAACAGGTATTTTTTAAAAAATAAAACATACATTTACCAATGATCCAGCCATTCTACTTGCAGGTATTTACCCAAGAGAAATGGAAGTATACATCCATACAAAGACTTGTACACAAATATTCATAGCAACTTTATCTGTAATAGACAAAGACTGAAACAACTCACATGTCTATCCATGGTGAATAGATAAATTGGGGTACATCCATATAATGGAATACTATTCAGCAATAAACAGAAATGAATTACTGATATATACAAAAATATGGATGAAGATTAAAATAATCATGCTGAGTTAGAAGCCAGTTAGAAAAAAGTATACACTGTATGATTCTATTTACATAAAATTTTAGAAAATGCAAACAGAAAGCAGATCAATGGTTGCATCGCGATTGGGAAGGGCAAGAAACAATAGGAAGGAAGAATTCTAAAGAGACGTTAAGAAACTTTCTGAGGTGACGGACATTTTGATTTTGCTGATGTCTTCATGGTGTGTATGTATGTGTGTGTGTGAACACAGATTACTGTATGTCAATTATACCTCAAAAAGCTGTTAAAAGAAATGATATTATATGAGAGAGACAATTGGGGAAATTTGAATAGCAACTCTTTATTACGTAATATTATTGTGTAGGAATTTAATTTCTTCAATACTGTGTGTTAACAGTATTGTAGTGACATAGGGAAATAATTTTTAATATCCAGAGAGGAGGGCATCTACCTGACAAGAGAGGGATCGCAACTGTGGCAGATGCGGTGGGGGTCTGAGGAAGATGAGGCTAGAGCAGTGACCAATGTGTGATGGCGTGGTGAAGACACTCATTTGTCAGCTGACCTAAGATGGTTGGAATAGAGTGCTAAATGCAGGACCCTTTCCACATACTAATCTCATGCAATCACCTCAACTAGCCTTGGCATAACAGAAAGTTTCTATTAGCTTGCCATACTGGAGGGGGGATGGCACAACTTAAGGTGCAGTAAGTTGTGTAATAAACTGTCACAATAGGGTCCTACAGAAAGTTTTTTTTAAATGGCAAAGAAAAGAAACTTGACCCTTCCCCCACAACATATATGAAAATTAACTCAAAATGAATCATAGACCTAAATGGAACTATACAACTTCTGGAAGAAAACACAGGAGAAAATTGTTGTGATTTTGGGTTAGACAATGGGGTCTCAGACAAAGATTTCTTAGATAAGACACAAAAAAGCACAAACCATCTAAGAAAAATTGCTAAGGGACTTCCCTGGTGGTTAAGACTCCGAGTTCCCAATGCAGGAACCCGGGTTTGATCCCTGATCAGGGAACGAGATCCCACATGCACACCGCAACTAAGAGTTCAAATGCCACAACTAAGAAGCCCATGAGCCACAACTAAGGAGTCCATCTGCTGCAACTAAGACAAAGAACATGCAAAGAAATAAATTAAATAAATATGAAAAAAAGAAAAATTGCTAAATTAGAGTTCATCAAACATTTAAAACTTCTAGTCTTCAGAGACACTTTAATATAATGAAGATAAGTCACAATCTGGGAGAAGATATTTACTAAACACATATCTCAGAGAAAGGACTTTTCCCATTGCTTTTTATATAAAGCACTCTTAAAACTCAATATAAATATCCAATTAAAAATGGATTTGAACAGACACTTCATTTAAAAAGATGTCTTCACATGAATAGACACTCAACATCATCAGCTATTACAGAAATGCAAAATGTGGCAAAAAACATGAGATGCAACTACGCACATACTAGAAATGCTAATTTTTTTTAAAAAACATATATAAGGATCAGGTGATGATGTGGAGAAACTGCAACTCTCATAGACTGCTAGTGGGAAAGCAAAATGGCACAGGCACTTTAGAAAACAGTTTAGCAGTTTCTTAAAAAGTTAAATATGCACTTAGCATATGATGAAGTAATCCCACCCTTAGGTATTTTACCCCAAAGAAATGAAAACATATGATCGCACAGAATATATGCTCACACACACATGTGAGTGTTTTCACTGGCTTTGTTCATAATAGCCAAAAAACTAGAAAAAACTCAAATGTTCATCAAACGATGAATGTGTAAACAAACTGTGTATCCACACAACTAGAATACTACTCAGCAATAAAAAGGAATGAACTACTGACAGGTGCAGCAAAACAGATGAATCTCCAAAGAGACTGGTAAGTGAAAGAAGCCAAAAACAAAAGGCTATATAACACATGCTTTCAGTTATAAGATATTCTGGAAAAGACAACATTATACGGACTAAAATCAGATTGGTGGTTGCCAGGGGCTGGTAGTGGGAGGAGGATGGATTGACTACAAAGGGACATGAGGGGTCTTTTGGGAGTGCAGAAGTTTTCTTTACCTCAAATGTGGTGGTGGCTACAGAACTGTATGGTTGTCAAAACACATCACACTGTATATTTAAAAATAGTGAATTTTGTGAAATGAAAATTATACATAAATAAACCTGACTTAAGAAAATAATAAAGCAAACCTAAAAAAACAATTGAGTGAAAATAAATGTCAGAGAAATCAACTTACAGTTTTTCCAATTCAAGGGTCATCATGAGGATGCCTTCAATTGTTGTAAGTGACACTTGTGTTGTTCCCATGTCTCTGAAGGAGAAGCCCAAACATGCTTGATATAAAACCCAAAGACAAAAAATCTAAACTTAAAAAGATACTTAACATGTGATTACTTCAATTCTGGCTTCTCACTTGCCATAGATGATAATTCCAAAGAGCTCTTATTCAAGAAATTTAAATTTGCATCATCAAATGAATGACCTTGGTGCTGAACAGCAAAATCATTTTTTATTATCCTAACTTCTCATTTTCAATTGCATCTACCTCTTTGCTTACTCATTTAAAAAAAAATAATGTACCCCTTATTCCTTTTGGCTTTCTGGGATAAATAATATTCCTACACGCATCTACATCTTCATAACTATATGTGTTCTTCAACACTGTCCTCATTCTCTGCTGGCTGTCTTACCCGTATATGTTCTTTCTTAATCCTTTTCTTTGCCAATAACTCTTATTTTCAATAACCCAGTTAAAATTTAAATTATGACATTTCAGCCAAAGTACTCAGTCTTTGACGAAAGCAAAAAAGAGCACAAATTATTTCATGAGCCATGAAACTGTTGCAATACTTACAAATATTTTAATGCTGGCAATTTAAAAAGATAAGAATCTTCAACTGTTGTCAAAGGATTACGATTGAGAATTCTGAAAAATGGAATGGAATTAAAATTATCTGTATTTTCAATTACTTCCATGAAAGCTTATATTCATTTATTTTGGTATGGAACTTGAAGGTTAAAAAAAATCATTTTCTGTCTTTACCTCTAAATCACCCTTAGAATCTGTAAAACACTCTTTCATTGGGAACCACCCAGGTCTCTAGATGATAAAGTGGAGAAGAGAAACAAACAATCAAAGAAAAAAATAGAAAAAAAAGTGGCTAGCAAAGAAAAAATATGCCAAAGAACTTTTCAGGTTCAAAACCCTCAAAGTGACTATGCTGGTAGGAAGCCCTTGCTCTGTAAAAAAGTACTATTTCTAGTGTCCTCCATAATTCAAGGGGTTTTTCCTTCATCTCTACAATTTTTTTAAAATTTAGTGATTTAAACTACCCAGTTAAAGACAAAAATAGGGCTAATTCCTTGGTTCTGGAGCAAAAGAAGAAGAGATAAATCCAACAGCAACTGGTGAAAGCCATACTCCCATCACATAGTACCATGTGCATTCTTCTATCATAGCCTTTGTTACTGTGTATATAATCACCTGTTTACTTGTCAGTCTCTTAGATTGTCAGCAACATGAGAGCAGGGATCACACTTTATTGTCATTATTATTCCTCTGCCTGACACAGTGCCTAATATTTACTAGGTATTTACTAATTGTTTCCCGAATAAATAAATAACATTTTCTTTATATATCAATAAAATAAACAAATTAATTTTGGGGAGCAGAATTTTATTCCAAAATGCTGGGATGGATTTTCTTCTTAGTACTTTCTTTCTTTCTTTTTTTCTTAATTCTTTAAAACAAATAAGGGGGGAAAAATACCCCAAAAGAAACAGGAAAAAAGAAAAGAATATCTGACTTTAGGTTAACTCTACTCAAGAATTATTAGCATATTTTTGCAGAATATTAGAAAGATAACTATCAAAACTAATATCTTTTAGGTTGCCAGGCTTCTGTGATCAGCATTTAACAGTTAATCCTCACAGTAACCTTATGTGATATATTACCCCATTGTACAAATGAGGAAACTGAGGCACAGAGAAGCTTCATAACTTGTCCTAATTCATCAAGCCAGTAAGAAGCAGAGATGGAATTTGAACTCAGTTCTGACTCTAAAGCCTGTGTTTGACCTGAATGAAAAAAGAAGTGGGCGTGTTTTAAACATCTGTCACTTGAACCTTAATTTTGAGAGCACTAAATATATAAATACCTTTTCAAACTTCATCTACCCATCTGGGAAATCCTCTATGATAATTATATTTTCTCTTTTTATTTTTTTATTTATTTCTCTTTTTATTTATTTTTTCCTTAATCATCTCCCATTACAAATATTTAATTAGCCTATGGTCATTGAGACTTTAGATATTTTAAAAAACATTGCAGGAAAATCAGTAAAAATGATGGAGGAAGGACATCTGAAAATTCATCCCTCCATAGAAGCAACAATACCAATAACAACAACAACAACAACAACAAAACTGGCAAAAATCGTCAGAATCAACTTCTTCTGAACTCTGGAAATTTATCCAACAGGTTGCTGCACATTGGGGAGCAATTTATTCAAGGAAAACAAATTAATTTCTGTAAGAACAATGAGATCTGTGTTGCTTGAACTTGTCCTTGACCTTTGCTCTCCATGCCAGGGGTAGCCTTGAAAAACAGCCCGCATCCCTGGTACCAAAAGGAGCAGCATGGACTGGGAGGGCCTTCAAAGCCTCATTACCAAAGAACTATCAAGCCGCTTCTCAGGTGGCATTACTGGAAAACATTTTCAAGCAAATATTTTAACATGGCGGTTGCATGAGGCAATGGATAACAGTTTGGGGCAAAAAACAGCCCAACGAAAAAGCTTAAAAAGAAAAGCTGAGGAATGAGATGTCCACAGACACTTTTAAATGTTCCAATGTATTCCTGGGAAACTGGAAGACCACAAGACATATTCCTGGGAATCTAGGAAAATAACTGTTAGCATTAATAAATGAATTCAGGAAGGTTGTAGGATGTAAGATCAATATTATTTCTAGACACCAGCAATGAGAAATCCAGAAATGAAATTAAGGAAACAATTCCATGTATAATAGCATCAAAAGACATAAAATACTTAGGGAAAAATTTAACCAAGTAAGTGCAAGATTCACACTGAAAAGTACAAAACTGATGAAAGAAATTGAAAAGGATCTAAATAAATATAAAGACATGCTGGATTCATGGACTGGAAGATAATCTTATTAAAATGTCACTACTTCCCAAATCGACCTATGGTTCCACTGCAATTCCTATCAAAATCCCAGCTGATTTCTTTCCAGAAATTGCCAAGCTAATTCTAAAATTCATATGGCAATTCAAGGAAACAGAATAACCAAAACAATGTTCGTAAAGAACAAAGTGGGGGACTCACACATCCTGGTTTCAAAACTCCATTCAAAGCAACTGCAATCACAGTGTGGTACTGGAATAAGAACAGACATGTAAATCAATGGAACAGAATAGACATTATAGAAATAAACCCTCATATATATGGTCTATCGAGTTTCAACAAGCATGCCAAAACAATTCCATGTGGAAAGAACAGTCTTTTCAAATGATCCTGGGACAACTGTACATCCACACACAAAATAATGAAGCTGGACTCCTACACTTCACACCATATATGAAAATTAACTTCAAATGGATCAAATATCCAAACTTAAGAGCTAAAGCTATAAAACTCTTAGAAGAAAACACAGGAGTAAATCTTTATGACCTTGCTTTAGACAACAGTTTCTTAGATATTATACCAGAAGCACAAAGAACCAAAGGAAAAATACATGAATGGGATTTTATAACATTTAGAAAGTTTGTGCTTCAAAGGACACTATCAAGAAAGTGAAAAAACATATAGAATGGGAGACAATACTACAGGTGGGAAAAATAAGATGCAGTTGGGATAAGAAAAGTATGGTAGTTTCTAGGTGTGACAATCTCAAAATTTTGAACTATTACAAATAAAACAGCCACCCTGAATCACCCCAAAGGGCAGACCCAAGTTTTTTTTTGTTTTTAGCGTTTATGCCTTTCTGAGAAGCTGCCAGGATTCTAGTACATAGCAAAAAGTGATGACAGCACCCTGAAGTGTGTCAGCTTTTGTGTGTACATAGCTATCTAAAGGAAACCAATGATAGTTGACTGGGGGAGCATTAGGGTTGCTCTGTGATGACAGCTCAATTTGCCTTCATAGTGTGGCCACACCTCCCTCATTGATATTCTCAACAATGGGGTAAATAATTCAATATGGATAAGGCTTTGATTTTCCTCTTATTCTCTCTTAGTCCTTTTGTTCTTGGTACAATATTGATGTACCACAGACAAGGCAGCATGTGAATGTTCTCTGTCTCCTTAAGTTATATAGCCTTTGTACAATGTAGAGTCCTTCAGTTTCTAAAATCTAGGAGCTTGTATTGTTAGAGCCAAAGAAGTGACTAAAAGAATTTTAAAAATAAGCCATCAGTCTGGACCTGCATAGGTGAATGAAGGAGAAACACTTTAAAGTCAGAAAAAAAAGTATACTTAACCTTTAGGATTATCAACCACTGCTGGTTTTCCATAATATATTTCACTCCTGATTTTATCTGAAAGAGATGTGATTACTACCAACATTCAAAAAGTTGCACTTTATTAATTAATAAGCTCTTGGCTCATTTTTGAAGTAGATTTCGGATTTAAAATAGACTACCACACTGCTAACTACTTCACCTGATATTTGTCAATAACATAGAGGCTTCATTCAAGAAATCTGCTGACCTATAATTACCTGAAACCCGGTGATGACTCAAAGTTTTCTGGGGTCTGAAGCTCATCTACTTTGGGAAATCCTATCTAATAAAAACATGCAAAGTTATGAATACAAAAATCGCTAGGACCCTTCTCAAGACCTTGGAAGGGACCTATGCAAGTCAGGAGCCCTGAACCCTAAGCTTCATTGAATTCATGATAAATCTACCTAAGCTAGGGCCCTTTTCCAAACTTATTTAATGCAGGCAAATTATAAATACCCCAGTAATATGTCATAATAGGTAGTAAAATGACTTAACTTGAGGGTGGTGTCTTCCCTTGGTGGCTTGCCTTTGGAAAGAGATGCAATAAAGCTTACGTCTCACCATGGCAAATGTTTCCTGAAGCAAATTACCTTTGCCTATTAGAAAGAGTTAGCCCAAAACAAAGACTTACTATACTGTGACAATCTTTTGAAAGTAACTGTGAACGAGTTTTAGGAGTACAGTACTAATTTATTTACAACACCAGATAGTTCTGATTCTTTCACTAACTTTTTCTGTCATTTAAGAGGAACACAAATTCAAAAGGAATGAGTTGGTGCCTCTTCCATTACAAATCTTTTCTAAAATACCACCCATTTTCTACTTCATCACCCCCCTCCCTCACCTTGTTACCCCGCTGCATAGATGCTAGAATGGCTCTCATATATGTTTTCCCATCAACATCCATCTTTCTCCTCCCAGTATGAAAGTTTCTTGGGGAGAAAGTCCCTGCCCTATGCGCCTCTGTATCCCCAGCACTCAGTACAGTGCTGACACACAGTGGGCATGGCACTCAGTGAATGTTTTTGAATGAATTCATTAACTTTTAAACTGCGATTTATTTATTTATTCATTTCCACAATGTATTGTCCTGTGTTGCCTACATAACTATAGTGAAACTCTGATTCTTATAAGGAACTCTTGCTGTTATAGGATGTTTAGGAAAGTTGGTGAGTTTCAGACGTTTTATTGACTTTACTAAAACCTCCTGGTGAAGGGACCTCATGAGCCTGCTCTCCGGTGTGCAGGCAAAAGAACAACTGACCCTTGGTGCTCTCTCCCCAAGGTAGGCATCAGCAAACTAACAAGGGAAAGGATGGAGGCCGCTAAAAATAGGCATCTGCAGGAATTGCTAATCCAGTTCCAGACACAGCCTCAACACCTTCATTAACCCAAAATGTGTGAACTGTGTGAAACTGGATTTCTGAACCACAAGACAGGTAAGAGAGTCTTTTCCAAAGCCAGGTGTAGAAGCGTTCTTTTTACCTTGAGTCTGAAATCACCTTTGGGTCATTGAACGTACCCACTATCATTTCCTTGTGTCAAGAGAAATCGCAGAATTCTTGAGCTGAAGGGGTGTAAAACCCACACTTCTTATTGAAGAGTAGGCAGCAAAGAGAGTATATTGAATTAGGCTACAGCAATGTATTTTCTATATATTTTTCACACTACAGCTGAACACAAACAACATCTTTTTCCATACCTCAAAGGTTCCTATTGGCCACAGATAATTCACTTCAGAGATACATGCTCTTTGAAAAATAATGTTCTGGGTGGCTGGGGAGAGCCCTGTGGTGGGTGTTCAGGAATTCTTTCTGCTTTACCATTTAAAAGAGCTAATAATGCTTGGGGAAGCACCCACACCTTTTGCTCCCTGAAGAATTCGGTGCTAAACTTAGTTCTTTGCAGCTCTGTGTTGCATACATTTTATGCAGTTAGGAACTTTGCACATGAGCAGGAATCAAAGTTAAATTCAAAAGTGGAACTTCATGGACCATTTGCATATTGGAAAGGCATCAGTGGGATCCCATGACAATGCTAATTTGAGTGTTTTTGCTTGGTGCCTTTTATTGCCCGTGCCAAAGATCAGTACTATGGAAAGCAGAGCGTTTCATATATATGAGTTAAACAAGTCTCTTGGCCTCGTTGTTCCTTACTTTCCTCATTTGAAAAAAAAAAAATAAATGGCTCTCAAGAAATGCTTTCCAGAGTTCATACTGGTCTTACACCCAGCTAACCAATAACTGCATGATGTTTTTACACACAGTTTTTTACATTTATTCATCTTCTGTTTTACTTACTACTTGTGTAAAAAGTGCATTCCATGCTGGGCCTGAAACGTTCCAAAGCTCATTTCTGTGAGTAAATTGCAACCCAGATTTCTACAAAAAAAGACACAAGCAAAAGAAGAAGAAAAATATATATTCTTTCAGAACATTTATCCTTTGGCAATAATTCTAATTTATATATGATGAAACATAACATCACTACTCCATACACTAAAGAAATCTCACTGTGGAAGTTATTATGGTTTATACTTTCATGATTATATATGTGGTGCATTATATACAAAATAGTAAATACTTATTAAATACTCGTGTTAAGTGATCTTTATTTCTCTAGAAAGGCAGCACTATTGACATTTTGGGCTGGATAATTCTTTGCTGTGGGAGGCTCTCCTGTACAGTGTTGGATGTTTTGTAGCATCTCTGGCCTCTGTCCACTAGATGCCAGGAGCATATACAGTTCTGACAAGCAAAAATATCTCCAGACACTACCAAATGTCACCGGTGTGCAAAATCACCCTGGGTGAGAACCACTGCTCTATAATGATTCACTCTGATCTGTGTAATAATTCTCACACTAATCTTTGCTGGAGACAAAAAGGATTTGCTACAAAATTTTAGTAGTAATTTTTACATTTAAAAATGAGTAACAAATTAATTTTATAAAAAATTAAGCTTTATAAAATTTGCAAACATAATGAATTATATTTGTAACTTACATACTGCAAAAAAGGTAGTGGTTCAAATGTACATCTTTCGATAGACGGTATTTTATTGCAGGATAAATCTCTAGGAAAAGTAAAAGGAAAATATTGCCTCGATTAGCTATTAGATATCAAATTAGTAGGGATAACTAGTAGAAGTTGGAATGATAATAATAAATAAGAAGCTTTGGTCTAATCTCCAAACCTTAGGAATTACTATTTGAAACTTCCAGAGCCCCTAACCCTGCCTTCACCTCTCTTAAGAGTCTCACCTTCAGGATCTTCATAAATTAAATATACAACTATAGATCAATAGATTTTGGAGGTAACTTTTTCTGAGGGCAGAAGCACTGATTAGATTCCACCTTTTGTGGTCTCATCAAATTCTAGATTATGAGCTCAAAGTTTTTATCTCTATATATCATTATAATTTCTAATATTAAAAGGAATATTATATTTACACACTCCCCAGTATAGTTCTGTTTTTCTAGGCCAATTCATTACTAGAAGAAATAAAAGATAACGTTTCACACAATTTGAAAGGAGGTTACTCCTATCATTAATATGTAATGTTAATTCAGGATTACACCTTCTACCATATTGGCTTTTATTCGAAAATACCTACTCTTGACGATAGCTGACTATCATATTTCCATTGATTCCAGCTTAGTCTCTCATTTCACCTGGATGGGTATAACTGTCTTCTGACTGGTTTTTCCATCTCTACCCTCTCCTTTTCTAAGCCATCCTCCACGCGATCACCAGATTAACTCTTTGGAAGCGGTTCTCAAATACCAGCATCACTTGTGAGCTTATTGAATATACAAATATTCAACCTACTCTGGACCTCTTGAATTAGTAACTACGGGGGTGGAACTTGTGTTTTCACAAGCCCTCCAAGTGGTTGGTTCTGATGCAGGCTAATGCTTGTCCTAAAGCACTGCTGTGGTAACATGCTAGCTTGGCATGCTATCCTTGGCTTGGCCTCCAAAGCCCTAGATGATCTGGCGCTAATCTCTTACTCTTCCCACTTGTACTCTACAGGTACTGAGTATTTCTTCTGTGTTTTGCCTTTCTCCCACTTTCCTTTTGCAACCTTATTCTTCCCAAGATGTCTGTCATTGATACCCAATGGCCCTTCGTGCTCCCATTTAAACAGCATTGCTCTAATAACATCTTCCCTGATCCAATTTGAAGTCTTTTTTTCCCTCTTTTGTGCTCTAATACCAACTTACAGCTCTCCTTCCCCATATTCATTTCTTTCTTTAAATATAGCTCTTTTTGCAACCCATTTCCTCTGAGCATAAACTCCTTCAAAGTATGGACTAGATTCTGCTTATGTGCATCATCTATCATGTTTAAAGCCAACGCGTGGACATGAAGCAAACTCAAATATTTATAAAATCAGCAAATAGCTGGGGAGTGAACAGAAGGAGGAAATGACTGTTTTTTAAAAGAAGTGTAGATTTATTACTTCATGGTGCCTCCATAGCACTTTGTCATTATGGTTTGAGCTTATTATATGTTTATTTTACCTATGAGATCATGAGTTGCTAAAAGGAATCCTGTCTTACCCATCTTCATGTTTACAACACTAGGCATAGTGCGTATTAGCATATTCTTTTTTTGCTTTTTTATTGATTGGCATTTTTTTTAAAGAATGAGAATACTTATGCTAACATAAAATAATCAGATTATAAAGTATTTCATAGTAGAAGTAATGAAGGGCCTAGTCCACTGAGCAGTTATCTTATTTGTTTTTCTGCAAACTGTGTTTGTAAGGTTTGGAGCCCAGATGGCAGAGAAGAGACTAATATAAAGGTGATTGTCCCTTAATGTTTGGAAGGTTTGATAATTAAAAGAACTATTTTTCGGGTCATGTGAGGCTCTTTATACCCATTTCCCTTAAGCCTTTTATATTTGCAAGAAGAATCTATTTGCTAAAGAGGATCATTAATTGGCCTAATAAGGAATAATGACATATACAGCTTTGGATGCCATGGACAAAGGACAAAAACTGAGCTTTTATAGCAAAAAACACAGTTATCTCCTTATCCCCAAATAAAAAGAAATACTAGGCAATCATTTCCTCTTTGATAAAGAAGCTGGAGAGGGAATTCCCGGCGATCCAGGGGTTAGGACTCGGCGCTTCCACTGCTGGGGACCTGGGTTCAATCCCTGGTCAGGGAACTAAGATCCTGCAAGTCGTGTGGCATGGCCCTAAAAACAAAACAAACAAACAAACAAAAAAAACAGAAAACAAAAGGCTGGAGAGATTTTTGTTAGGGGCATTTCTGATATGCTTATTTAGTGTGAACATTTCTAAATATACCACTTAACCATCATTTTAAACATTCGTAATTATCAGTATCACAGTTTATGCACTGAAATCCTTAACAACAGTTTGTTCTTGTGGTAACTTAATGTGTTCCTGACAGTACTGATTTTTTTTTGATGTGGACCATTTTTAAAGTCTATACTGAATTTGTTACAATATTGCTTCTTTTTTTTTTCATGTTTTGGTTTTTTGGACATGAGGCATGTGAGATCTTAGCTCCCTGACGAGGGATTGAACCCACACCCCCTGCATTGGAAGGCAAAGTCTTAACCAGTAGGCCACGAGGGAAGTCCCTTTACAATACTGTTTATATAATTCATCTGCTTAAATATTTAACACTTAAATGTTAATTTAATTTAGATTAAATTATCAAAGCTATGAGTTAATGGCATTCATATTAATGTAAGTGTGCTATATTTTCTTGTCCTGCAGGTGACAATTTGAGGTTAACTTTAATTCCTCTCATTTCACTAAACCAACTTTTTCAATCCTTTTCTGTAAAGACCAGATAAGTAAATATTTTAGGCTTTGCAGGCCACATACAGTCTCTGTCACATATTTTTTGTCTTTTTTCTTTTTTCTCATTTACAGCCCTTTAAAAATCACTTTTAAGTTATGGGCTGTATAAAAATGGACTGTGGGCCAGATTTGATCCATAGGTCATAAACAAAATGTAAATACAGATGGAGACTATATGAACACTTATATAACAAGGTTCATATGGGAGTCTATAATGGCTGAGACCTCATTACCACTTTTCCTCTACAACTAAAGGGTATTTTTCTATCTATACCTTGTCTATATAGTTAAAAAATTAAAAATGAATAGGAAATATTTAGTGCTAGTGATGGGCTGGGGGCCTACACAGACTCACAGAATTGTAGAATTTAATTGCTAGAAGAAATTGAAGACATTATCTCACTTGAACCCCTTAATTACTGTATATATAATCTACTTTATAGATAAGAACTCATAAATAAATATGATTAACTTACAAATATTAGAGGGGTAGCAAGCCTTCAAATGAGTTCTTATGTAATTCAGTCAAATAATTTTCACTGAGAATTCTGAAAAATGAAAAGGTTATTTCTGGATCAAAATGCAAAATAACTACAACTATATACTACATAGGACTAACTCCTATATGTGGAGGAAAGCTGGGTAAAGGTGCCACCTAAACAACATAATTCTTATTTAATTTAGGGATGGTGATTTCTGCTCTGTTTCCATTTAAACCTTCTTTTCACGTCCTCCTTTGTGTCCATCTCTCTCCATCACACATGTGCTTACATGCACACACACACACACACCACGCACTCTTCCCACCAAATCATATAGTTAATGCCTACTCTCTAGATCAGGAAGTCTCGGTTAGAACCCTGCAGTTGCAGTGATTCCCTTCCTTACTCTCTTTCCCCAAACCTTATTGGGAAGTCCCACACAGAACTGTATCAGGGCAAATGAAGCCATCTGATTTTTTCCCCCATTACAAACTTTTTGAAAACTACAATCTGCATAAAATATACATAACTGTTCAATAATTCAATTGAACAACTGTTCAACTATTTAATAATTACAAAACATATGCCCAAGTAACACCATTCATGTCAAGAAAGAATCCTGCCAGCATCCCAGAAGCCCCCCGTGTGCCCTTTTCCAATCACAACGCTCTCTCTGACTTCCTAGAGGTAACAACTATCCTGACTTTAGTAATAATTTCCTTGCTTTTTAAATGTGGTTTTGCCTTTTCGCTATCAGCCATAAACAACACAGTTTAGTCTTGCTTCTTCTTGAACTTTATATGAGTGGAATCATATTATATGTATTATTTTCCACATGGATCTTTTCATTCAACATTATTTTGTAAAATTATTTTATTTTTGCCTGTAATATGTAGTGTTGCATGTCCAACTACATGAGGATTCTGAGTATTTGAAAGTGGCTAATGTGACTAAGGAGTTGAATTTTTAATTTAATTAATTTCAATTATTTTAAAATTAAAACTGATACTCAATGTAATTATTGGAAAATGTTTATGTTATCAAAATTTTCATATGTGATACATTTTCGACTGTAAATCTTACGAAATCTAAATACCAATCAAGTATTTGTAATAAAATTTAGCAACCAAATTGGGATTTCAAAGAGTTAGTATGGGCAAAAAATGTAGATCCTCTCATTAGTTTTTATATTGATTACATGTAGATATGATAATACCTTGGATATTTAAAAATACTTAGTATGAAAAAAGCATAGAATATCTTATTAATAATGTATATAATGATTACATGTTAAAATGATAATATTTTGGATATAAGGGTTAAATAAAAAATATTAACATATATTTCATCTGTTTCATTTTACTTTTATTTTTAAGTGGCTATCAGAAAACTTAAGATTACTTATGTGGCTTGCATTATATTTCTGATGAAGTGTATGACTTCTAAGTATGATTATACCATAGTTTACTCATTCAACTGTTGGTGTATACTGAGATTTTTTCTAGTTTTTATTTATTAAAGACAATACTGCTTTGAAACTTCTTGTATTTGTATCCTGATACATATTTGCCTGAGTTTGTCTAGTATGTAATAGGGATACAAAATTGTTTCCTAAGAAGTTGTGCTATTTCAAGTTGGCAGATTGAAGCATGTCAAGTCTCCACCCCTTCAACTTCCACCAAAATCCTTAAGAATGATAGAAAAGATATAACTTAAAAATCACAACCTTAGCTCAATGTGTGGGAGCACCTCCCCTACCAGAAACGTCCCGGAGCTGCCTACAGGGTGATCAGTTGGAATAGTGCGGTAGGAGCAGCCGACAGCACACATCAACCCCACATCTTCCCTCCTTGATCAAGGCAGCAAAAGGTGTTTTCTTCTAGGCAGAGCAATTGGTGTTAGAAAGGGGGCAAGGTCCCAGAACCCTGAAAGAAAGGTATGCACTCCCTGACTAGCCACAAGAAGTCACCTTCCACCTCTACCTTATTACCAGGGGAACCCATTGGGTGTAATAAGCCCCAACAGCTCATTTCACTTCTCCCCTTAAGCTAGGAAAGAAACGCTGTAGAATCTCAACTACAAAGATGAATTACACTCAGGAATGACCAAACAATGTGAGAAAGTCAACTCCATTAAGGACAGAAAACAAAAACAAACATAAGAGCTTATAGCCGATGAATCAGTTAACAAAGCACAAGAGGACCTTAGGATAGCACAATTATTACCCTCAGACAGATGTAAGCAGATAGTGCCTCCATTAATCAAGAATATACAAATGAAAAGTGTTAGCAATAATAAAAAAAAACTCAGTATATGAGCAGCAGAAGTGACAGTTAAAGAATAAATTAGGAAACTGAGAGATGCAGCCAATGACTTCTCCAGAATGCAGAATGAAGGGAGCAGGAACGATTCACAGTCAAGCCTGACGCCTGGGTCTGCATGAAGAATGTTAAGCCCTTTGCTTCTGCTGGTCTCAAAATAAAGTCTAGTAACATGCTGCGGGGAGGAGGGCGTGGTGTTTTGCACCTGTTTCTTATGTCTGATAAGCAGGAAGGAACATAACCAGTATCCCAAGAGTGGAGTGAGGGAGTGGTAGAGAGAGCCAGTACAGAAGAAACTCTGTAAGATGTCAAAGGTAGGTTTCTCTTGCCTGGAAGTATCCCCTTCCTTGCAGGTAATACTAACAGTGGTACATCCTTCAGGAGCCTTGGGGATCTGAGCACAAGCTATGTTGCCTTGTGAAGCTATTTCCACTGAGTTCTGCATTTAAAACGTTCTGCTTTTCACTCACAGTGTCTCTTGGTCACACATTTATATTAATTCCATCTCATAGCTTAATTCCAGCTCAAAAATTAATTCTTTACTCATAGCTTATGAGAATTAAAATATTACTACCTGGAAACTCTGCAACTCAGTTATTAAGGTGGTTCATATTATACAGAATATAGTCACACACATTTGTATAAGATCACTAAAACAAAAACACAAAAGACTTCAATTCCCACAAAGAACTCTTGGAGCCCTGAGCATGCTTCAAAGACCCTGACCTCAATTTGAAATTCACCATTTTAGAAGGAATCGCAGTGATTGTCAGAATACATGCTAGGGGGCAGGGTCAACAGATGGTGCTAAGATTGATTGTTTTCTCACTTCTAAGTAGTGGTTTCATATTTTCATGGAAATGATCCAAAAAGAAAAAAAACAAATCAATATGTCCAACGACATTTATGGTAACCCTTTCCATACCTTCAAAGGTAGGAAAAAACTCTACCTCCCCATATGGCGTAAAACTGTATGTATACACCATACATGATATACAAACGTCACAGGAAATGATGGTATATGAAAAAAAGCTACATAAAAGTGGAACTCATATATACTAATTATAACTTTGAACCTTGGCAAGAATTCAGTAAGTACAGCAAAGAGATGATCCTCAACTGTTTATGGCACTGTCTTCTCTGACTGGCTGATGCCCATATCAGACTGGTTACAGTTTGAATATCATGGTAGGACAGGGCGTAACCAAACAGTATGTATTTCAAATTAATGGGGTTTCTTTCTCTGGAGTTGTTTGGATGACAGGATAGTAGAAATTTTTAAAATAACAACGGTAAATTCAGCCTAGAAGTAAACTTGAGATTGAGAATGAGTTAAGTCACCGAAAATTTACCCAAAAAGGAGCTTCAAATAAGCAATAACTGAATAACTGAAACAAAATACATTAATCTGTAAAATTCCAAATATTCATTTTGACTGAAGAAGAAAATTTTTAAACTATGGGGAATCAGAGTTAAAGCCAGATCTAAAACTTTCTCACACCATGAAAATATCAAACCAGGCATGAAGTAACATTTAGGAAAGATCCATGTCTAACTTTTGACCAGGGTTCTAGTCTAAGGCAATCTTCTGAATTTCACATTCATTCTTGATTCTGTATTACTGACAATTATCCTTCTTTCCACCTCTGTAACTTCTAGGAAATTGAGAGATCTCAGGGTTTCTTTGTTTCATTGATTTAACTATATCAATCAACTATATATATATATAATGCAAACAATAGGCATTTCTGGAACTGATCTACTCTCCTTCCCCTGCTTTCTTTCTCCACAAAGTACTTAGCAATGCTTGAAATTATATCTATTTATTATACTTATATACTTATTTCTATATATTTGCAAACCCCCTGAGAACTGGTATACTTGGTCTGTTTCATTCTTGGGCCTGTAACCCTAGCATGTAAAAGAGTTCCTGGCATATAGTAGATATTCGAAAAATATTTTTTGAATGAATTCAGAAAGTGACAAGTTATCAACTATCAGATACTTTTATTTAAAACAAATTATCCATTTATCGTCACTCATGAGGATAAGTACAGGAAAAGAAATGTCTTTCTTCTCCCCTACATTTGTGACTCAATCTTTTGAGACAAGAATCCTTTGAGAATTTCATAAAAGCAATGGTTCTTTTCCCTAAAAAACTGCACTTTCTTGAACACACGCAAAAGTGTGCATGCAATTTCGACTTGTGGATCATCCTTTTAGGGCAGAGGTCTGTGAATCGAGAGGACTGAATCCAGAGTGCCAAACTTGGATGGGAAATAAAAGTACATCTCAGTTTTCACAAATCTCTAACTAAAATCAGCACTTCCTTCCATTATGAATGTAGGCAACAAACCACAGTAGATCAGCAGTACAGTTAATTTGGGCCTAACAAAAATCACAGGTCATTTCATATCACGTATATGTTGCAGATACCTCGAAATATCATTTATTCTCATCACTACCCTGGAGTTATAATATTTATTAGACCTACCACTGTATCTTGTTTTTTAATGTGTTAAGAGAAGCATATTTATTACTATTTCACTAATTTTAAAAATATTCTGAAAACTATTTCAATATAGCTGGTTTCCTTTGTTTTTCTATATAGTTGGGCTTATTATACATTTTAAAACATTATCCCAAGAACATAAGCTTCTGCAGCTTGCCGAAGAGGTATACGCTGGGGAGCAGGAGGGAGGTTAAGGAATTCTGCTTTGGGGAACCACTGACCTCAAGTTAGGAACCCCTGCTTATAAGGTATAAACTTCAAGCTGACTTAGAACTCTTCAAACCTTACCAGACTCATGTTATAGTGTATCACCTCCCAAACACATGCTTTTTAAAAATTAACTTTTAATTTCAATTTATTTTTTAAAAATATGTAATATATATTCACATCTCAAAATTCCAAAAATATGTAGCACACAATTCAAACTTTTTCTCTTACCTCTGTCCCTCTGCCTACCACTCCCCTCCACTCCCAGAGGAAATTAAGTTATCTATTTCTTGTGCCAAATGATTTTCATTTTTCTTACAAGTTTGGGAAATAAAATCTCCAAGTTAGATACTATCATGGGAAAGGTAAACTACATATAATATTTAGGAAATCTGTAAATTAAAAAACATTGCCTGGTTCTAGCAGTTTTTTCCTTACCAATAAGATATCAGACTAAGGAGGCATCTCTTTAAGGGTGGTCACAATACCTGTTTTTAGATTGACTGTTATGTCTTTTATTATTAATTTAGAAGTCATTTATGACTTGTCTATTCAAGTTGAACTACGGATATGACCACAGACTGTTATGAAAAATTACTTTGAATGTTTTTTTTCCAAAATCACTAAACTGACATTTTCTACAAATCTATAAAAAAAAATAGTAACAGAAAAATGGGCAAAGGACAGACAATTCAGAGATAAAATACAAATGTACAGTAAAAATATAAAGATATTAAATTCACAAGTAATAAGAAAAATTCAAATTCAGATGGGCCTCCTTTTATTCACCCGTCAGATTAGCAGAAAAAAAAAAAAAGGGAGAATATCCAGTGGTGGTGGAAGGGTGTGGGGAAATGAATGTCATCACAGCATGATGACTGGAGTATAAGTTGGCACAACTTTTTTGAGGGCAATTAAAATTTTATGTCTAAATAGTCTTCACCCCAACAATCTCATTTCTAGATAACTATTCTATAGAAATTAATGACCAGGCTCACAAAAATGCATGCACAAGGATATTCATTGCAGCAATGCAAGTAACAAGAAAACTGGACATAATCTAAACATCCTTCAATAGGGGCATTATTAAACTGTGATACATTCATACTATGGAATATTAGGCAAGAGTTTAAATGAATGGGGTAAAGCTCTATGTACTGGGAAGGAAAGAAATCTAAGACATATCATGAAATGAAGGAATCAAGTTGCAGGATGTTACTTATGTATAAAAAAGATAAGAAAAACACACAAACCTATTTTGCTATCTGTAAATATGTATGTACTCACACGTATGGAAAAGAGTCTGGAAGGATTAATACAAAACTCAAAGTAGTGGGTGGGGGATTAGGGCACAAGGAGGGTTTTCACTATATCTGTTATTTCATTGTTATATATTGAGAATACAATCATGTATTACTTGTATAATGGAAAATAAGTTTAAATTGTCTCTTACTGATTTTAAAGAGGTCCTGCCAAATTTAATTTTTAAAATAAACACAGAATTTCAATCATTAGGTTGCTTTGGGATATGGAAGGGGAAATACCTTTTCTCACAGGTATTGACCTCAAAATTCTGGACCAAGAAAGATCTTACAATGCAGTTAGCTTTTTGTATTGATATTTGGGGAGAGTATACTCACAGCTTCTAAGCCCAGCAGTATGCCTTCCATATACTTTCATCAATGTAAGAAATAAAGTTTCCTTGGAAATTTCTGTGAAGAAACACAGTTCATATCCTTTTATAGGTAGGAAGAGAATGCAGAGAATAAGGAAAAGAATAGTGGCCACCGAGTGGGAAATACTCAAATGCAGAAAAGACCAGCTTTCCAGTTCCCACAGCTTATCAGCTTATCAGTGTGCACAATTAATAAAAACATACCGTGAGGCCACTGGCGCAAACAATGAAGCATCTCCTCAGAACCTGAACTTCCTATCTGTCCAATTTCTTGGATACACGCCAATTACTTTTTTTCCAAAATCACTTATGTGTCTAAAATGACTCCTACAAATCAATGAGAAAAATGGCAAACATTTATCAATATCAGAAAATAAATATAAAGAAATCCTATGCCAGGAAACATCAAGGCTTTGGCTCAGTCCACTCAGAATCTCTCCATGTGTTAGAAGGATACAGGCAATTAGAAATCATAGGGAGTAATACGAAAATATCTCTTCAACATATTGCATAGGGAAAAGCACAAGTCACTGAGCAAGGAATAAAGTTATTACCTCATTAGGGGAACAAAATACAAAGGAAAGAGATCGGAAGGAAGGACACACATCAAAACAGTAACAGGAGTTACCTTATTGGTGGTAGGGAAGGTGGGGTGCAATTTTCACATTTTATCCTATATACTTCTGTGACATTTCTTTTTTTAAACAGTGAGAATGTATCCAGGAATTAGACATGTTTAAGACAAGCTGTTAAATGCCTGAGGTTCAGTTTCAACCACTAACTCAGTGGTTGACTTTGAATCTTTCGCTTTAGCTTTGCCCTCTTCCCTCAGCAACAATGTAACTATTCAGTTTATACGCACATTTTTCACGGGAGTCAGAAAGAAGTCAAAATGGATACCTGTCTGCCCATCTGCCTGAGGGACATTTTCACTCAAACAGAGCCTTCTGCTTGCTTTATACTCACCAATAAAAGATGCCTAAGACTGAAGTCATCTCCCTCAAACTGACCCTGCTTCCCAACTGCTGTATTTCCACCTGTTATACCACCATCATTCTTCCCATCAACACATACGAGTTTTCTCTTTCCTGTACTACAATCCCCCAACTCTAGTCAATTACTGCTTCTTACAAGTTTTTCCTCTGTAGTACTCTCAGGTTTTTCTTTCTACTTCCATCACAACCACTCTAATTCGGCCCCTTCTCACTTTACTCCTAGATTTTGCTAAAGCATTCTGTCTGGTCTCCCTGAAGCAAGCTTTCCTCTCTAGATCCCTCTACATATGAAATCTAAAATAAGCATCTTATATTAATCATTTATCTCTCTTGCTTGAAAACTTGCAGTGGCTCCCCATATCTTATAGCATAATTTTCAAACACCCATTGCCGATAGCCAATGTATTTTTATAATCCTACCTTTCATTGTTGCCTAACCCAATTCTTTTCAGCCAGACTAATATATAAAATTCTGCTCAGTCCTGCAGTCACACTTTTGCCTAGACGGTACTGCCTCTTATTTTTCTGACAAATCACAGCCAATCTTTAAAGTCCCAGCTAAAGATTTAGGTTATCCATGCAGCCTTCTGTGACCTCCACACCCCTGTTATTACAGGTTCTGGTGAATTACAGCACCTATCTGTATTTCTCTTAATACTTAATTATATATTACCTCCCTTTTAAGGCATATCCCCTTTCTTCCCACTTGTCATTGTCATGTTCTGGAGACAATGCCATATACTTCTGTGGCTCCTAAAGTACTTAGCCCTGGGTTGGGCACAAAATGGGTGCTACATATAGAAAGCCAGGGGACAAAGATGACTTCTAGATATAACTGAGGGATGGAATAATAATAATAGCTAACACTAAAATATATGCTAGGCACTGACAGACGAGCTTTACCTATATTAACTCATCTAAATCACCCAATGAGATTGGAGTCATTGGGAGATTTAGGAGTCATAGGAGTCACCCTATGAGATGATGACTACCATAATCCCCATTTTACAGATGAGGAAATTGAGTCATAAAGCTAATAAATGACAGACCTGGGTTCAAACCCAGGTAGTCTGGCTCCAGAATCTCTACTCTTAACCACTTTGCTGTATTACCACAAATGAGATGGGGAGAGGGACAAGTTGCTGTAAAGAGGATGGAATAAAGATGGAAGAAGAGTAGATGTTAAGGAATTAAATAATGGGGTAAAAAATGGAGAAGGAAAAAATAAGGGCAATTAAAAGTAAAAGACTGGAGGAGAGGGAAAAATAGTAAGAAAGAGAAGGAAGATAAGGAATCATTGACAAACAAAAGGTGAAAACAGGAAGTCAGTCACTGTGGATTGGTGAGATAAGGAGGACCCAGGAATACCTGAAGAAAGGCTGCCATGTCAGGCAGGATGCAGAGAACAAATGAGGAGAGGCGATTCTTACATGATGGTGAAGGTGCCGTTATAGGTGTTAGGCTCTGGCTCAGGCACTCTGTGGAGCTTCTGCTTTGGGCTGAGACCATTACATGACAGCGTCTCATTTTTGCAGGTACAGAGCTCACATATGCTGATGTTTGTGGTGGCATTCTGTTCCGGCTGCTTCTTTTCTGGGGTATATTTTACACCAGGAAGACCTGTGGATACTGAATACTGAGTCGAAGGAAAAAGAACTGTCTCAGATGCCTTGGTTGCAGAGATATGTTAACTCACAGGTCCACAGGTGGAACTGTGACTTGAGTCAGGTTTGGTTGTGCAAGTGTCACCTCAGGGTGTTTTGGCTGGGGAGCTGTAGTCTGCTGTAGGGATGTAGAATGTCCAGCCTCCATAGTGGGCTCTGGAATTGTGGTTTGCTCTAGGTCCACATGATGAACTGTGATGCTGGATGATGCTGAACACTGACCTTGATCCTTGCTTCAAGTTGGAACTGTCACCTCCTGCTGGAATGGAGATTGAATTACTACATCCTGAGGTGCCTCTGGAGGCTGAGTTGTGGTCTCCTGCATGATTGGAGAAGGTACAGTCTCCATATTGCATCCTGCAGTAATGGTAAGTTGCACATCCATAGGTTGAATTGTGATTGAGTCAGGTTTGGCTGTGCAAGTGTCATCTCAGGGTGTTTTGGAGGGGAGCTGTAGTCTGCTGCCGGGCTGTAGAATGTTCAGACTCCGTAGTAGGTGCTGGAGTTTTGCTAAGCTCCAGATCCAAAGGTTTAACTGTGATACTGGGTGATGTTCGATGCTCAGCATGATCCTGATCTGGGGCTGGAACTGGCACCTCGGGATACAATGGAGACTGAGCTACAACTTCCTTAATGAGCTCTGGAGGCTGAGCTTGGGTCTGCTGCATTGCTGGAGAAGGTTCAACCTCCCTACTGGATTCCAGAATTAATGTAAGTTCCAGGTCGAAAGGTTGAACTGTGACCTCAGTCAAGGTTGGATGCTGAGCCTGAACTTGCTCTGGGTTTAGAAGTGCCACCTCGGGGTATGTTGGAGGATCTACACTCTCCTGCAGGGGTGTGGAATGTTCACCTCCATAGTAGGTTCTGGAGTTGTGGTAAGCCCCTGGTCAAAAGGTTGAACTGTGACACCAGGTGATGTTGGAAGCTCGGTGTGATCCTGATCTGGTGTTGGAACGATTGGGTCCTGATATACTGGAGGATGAGCTACAAAAACCTCCTTAGGTGGTTATGGAGGCTGTGTTAAGTTATCCTACATGGATGGAGAAGGTTCATCTTCCTTAGTGGGTTCTGGCCTTATCGTCAGTTTAAGGTCCAAAGGTTGAATAGTGACCTCAGTCAAGGTTGGATGATGAGCCTGAACTTGCTCTGCATTTGGAAATGTCACCTCGGGGTATGTTGGAGGAACTGCAGTTTGCTGCATGGCTGCAGAACGTTCAGCCTCCGCTGTAGGTTCTGGAGCTCTGGGAACTGCCAGGTGCAAAGGTTTAACCCTGACCCTGGGCAAGTTTAAATGCTGAGCTTGGTCCTGCCCTAGTGTTGGAACTGTTATCTGATAATGCACTGGAATTTGTGCTACAACCTCCTTAGGTGGCGCTGGAGGCTGAGATGGGGCCTTCTGCTCGGCTGGAGAAGGGTCTGTCTATTTAATGGGTTCCAGAGGTAGGTGTGGGAACTCCTGCTGGACTGGAGAAGATTCCATATTCTCAGGGAGCTGTAGAAGCTGAGGAAGGGTCTCTTGAGGGACTGGAAATGGTTCCACCTTTGCAGGGAGCTCTGATGACTGAGCCTGAAGCTGCTGCTGTGTGGGAGAAAGTACCACCCATCCATAGGGGCCTCAGGAGATATATCTGAGCCCCACTACGGAACTGGAGATTGAGCTGGAGCCTCTTCCTGGGTTAAAGAAAGCTCTATCCCTCCAGGGGGTTCTGGAGTCTGAGAAGGGTCCTCCTGCTGCACTGGAGGATGTTCAACCTCATTAGTGGGCTCTAGAGTTAAGACAACTGCAAGATCCATGGGTTTAACTGTGGTATTAGGCAACACTGGATGTTCAACTTCACCTGGACCTAGAGGTGAGAATGTCACTTCATTATGTACTGAAGGTTGAGCTGCACCATCTGTAGAGGCCCCTGGAGGCTGAGTTGGGTGCTGATGCTGGACTGGAGAAGGTCCAACTCACTCAGTGGGCTTTGGATGCTGAGCTGAGCTCTCCTGCTGGCTGGGAGAAGGGTCAGTTTCCTCAGGAAGCTCTTCAGGTTGAGTTGGGGCTGCCTGCTGAACTGCAAAAGATTCATCATTTTCAGAGGGGGTTGGATGCTGATCTGAAATCTCTTGCTGGACTGACAAAGGTTCCAACTCCTGAGGGGAGACTGTAGACTGAGCCGAGGTTTCTTGTTGGGGTGGAGAAGTTTCAACCTCATTAGTGAACGCTGGAGTTACGATAAGTGCAAGATCCACAGGTTTAACAGTGACATCGGGCCACTGCAGAAGCTGAGCTTGATCCTGACCTAGAGGAGAAACTGTTGTCACAGGATGCTCTGGAGAGAAAACTACAGTCACATTAGAGAGCTCTGGAGACTGAGTTGGAGAGGATTCCACCTCACCATGGGACTCTGGATGCTGAGCTGTGGCTTCCTGCTGAGGTGGAGAAGGTACAAACTCAGGAGCCTTTGGAAGCTGATCTAGAGTCTCCTGCTGGTATAATTTCTTCTCCAGAATACTTTGGATACTGAGCTGGGGTCTCCTCTTGTACTGAAGGTTATTATGTGTACCAGCTTCTGGAGATTGGGCTGGAACCTCCTCTTGAACTGGCAAAGGTTCAACCTCCTCAGGTGGCTGTGAAGGCAGCGTGTGGGCCTCATGCTGGATTGTAGAAAATTCTGCATTAGCAAGGGCCCCTAAGGGCTGAGCTGAAGGACTGTGCTGATTTGGAGAAGGTCCCACCTCCGGAGTGGGTTATTTTCTTATGGTAAGCTCCACATCTGCAGATTTGACAGCAACACTGGATAAGTCTGAATGCTGAGCATAAGGGTGACTTGGAGGTGAACCTGTCATTTCATGATGCTCTGGAGGTTGAGCTGGCTGTTCCTTTTGAGTTGGAGAAGGTTCCACCTCCCCTGAAGAAGGCTCTGGAGGCTGATCTGGTTGCTCCTGCAGTGTTGCAGAAGGTTCTCTGTCTGCTGGAGAAACAGCTGGGATCTCCTGCTAGGTTGGAGAAGATTCTGCTTAATAGGGGTCTCTGGAGACTGAGCTGTGGCTTTCTCTTTTGTTGCAGAAGTTTCAGCTTCTCCAAAAGACTCTGAAAGCTGAGCTGGAATGTCCTGCTGGGTTGCTGTTTTCACCTCCTCAGGAGGCTCTGTAGGCTAAGAAGGCTGAGCTGGTTGATCCTGTTCACTTGGAGAAGGCTCAGCTTCCACAAGAGGCCCTGGGGGCTGACCTGTGGGCTCCTGCTGGGTTGGAGAAGGTTCAACTTCCCCAGGAGGCTCAGAAGGCTGAGCTGGTTGCTCCTGCTCCCTTGAAGGCTCAACCTCTCCGGGAGGCTCTGGAGGCTTAGCTGAGGTCTCTTGTACGGTTGGAGAAAATTCTGCTGCTCAGGATGCTCCAGAGATGGAGCCAGGTCGTCCTGCTGAGCTGTAGGAAATTCAGCTTCTGTAGTGGGCTCTGGAGTGATGATAAGTTCCAAGTTCAGAGGTTGAAGTGTAACACTGGGCAAGTTGGAATGAGCATGACGCTGAACGCCAGGTAGAGATACTACCACATCACTCACTGGAATCTGATGTAAATACTCAGTAGGAAACCCTGGAGCCTGAATTGGGGACTCTTGATGGAGTAGAGAAGGTTCAATCGTCTCAGGGTGCTCTGGAGCCTGAGATGGGGCATGCTGCTGGATTGGCAGAGGTGCAACCTCCTCAGGGCTCTCTGGAGGCTGAGATGGGGTCTCCTGCTGGACTGGAGAAGGATCAACCTATTTAGTGACCTGTGGAGTTATGGTAAGTGCCAGATCCAGAGTTTTATCAGTGACATTGTACAAGTTTGACTGCTGAGCTTCATTTACCCCATGATGTGCTACTCGTCAAACTACAACCTCCTTAAGTGTCTGCAAAGGCCGGGCGAGGGCCTCCTGAGAACTTGAAGTTTCTAGTTCCTCAGGGGCCTCTGAAGGCTGAGATGGAGCCTCCTGCTGAAGTGGAGGTGGTTCTACCTCTTCAGTGGGCTCTGGATGCTGAGTCTGGGCCTCTGCCTGGGGTGAAAAAGATTCAACCTCCTCGGGGTCTGTGGATGCTGAGCAGGGGCCTCCTGGGGAAAAGATTCAGCCTCCTCAGTGAGCTCTGGATGACGAGTTTGGGCCTTCTTCTGGGATGGAGAAATATCTCATCCTCATCAGAAGACTCCCTGTCGTGTAGCTTTTGTGCCATGTTTTCCTTGCGTGTGGTGTTGAGAGGCCTATATGTATCCCTAAGCCAAAGTGGCCGCCTTCTCCCAAAAAAGCCTTCCTAGAACACAGAAAGGGAAATATTAATTCTGCATCTCTCCTGCTGTCTCTGGTCACAGTACTTTATCCTCCTCAAATTTTCCTGACTCTCACCTCCCCTGAGCTTCTCTTACGCAGCAGAAATCGAAAAAAGCCCCTTGGAGGAAAACACACACAGTTAGTGTTACATGTCATTTTTCATCTGTCTCACAATGTGTTATCTCTGGTCTTATTAGGACTAAATGGGTACCTCAGTCCATAATCACAATGAGCAAAATCACAACAGACCCGGGATCTTGAAAATCATTCCATGCATGCTGGCCTTCCAGAAGTTCTCTGTGTCTGTCCAAAATGGCCCCCTAGTGTCTCTGGGGAGACCTGTGCATGTGGCTTAGCATGGAGTATAGGCAGGATTTTCAGCCCCATTCACCTTTCTTGGCCCCCTGCCAAGTGCCATTGTGCAGAGAAAACACTGCACAACAGCTCTGGGCAGAAACACGTTAGTTACTCTCTAGATGTGCTTCACACCAGTCCGTTTCGGACTCAGTCACACATGCAGCATTTGCTGGGGGTGTGGGTGTGGGGAGAAGGTGCTTTTATTTTCCTGGCTACTCTATCCTATAAGTTGAACCACACCAAGTAGCACCTGAACCCAATGTGCAAAGTTATCTATAACTCTCTGACTTTCGTACTGCAGGCTGTCACTAAGGTGACAGTGAATTGTGGAATCAGTTTAAAGGCCATGACCAGCAGAGAAACACAAAATACTCTTTCTGAATACAAATAGAAGAGAAAAGCATCAGAGTGCACAATAAGTTTGTTTCAGAAACTACTCATGTCCATATAGTACGTGTATACTGAATCGTGGCATAAAACGAAGCTCACAGCCCAAGCACAGTGTGATCAGTAGAGAAGTCCTCAGTGGAAAGGGACAATCTTCTTTTTGATAATCACTAGCAGTATGACCATGGGGCAAGATATTTTCCCTTTCTGTTTCTCCAGTTCCTTATTATAAAAGGAAGAGACAAACTAATGTCTAAAGCTTCTCCCGGTTAAAATTCTATGAGCTTCGGATAAAGGGAATAGAGAGTAGGGGTCTGAAAAACAGTAGGATGAGAAGGGAAGTTTTCTTGCCACTTTACAGAAGGGACTCATATATTCTACCTTTCATCAGCTTTGAGTGAGGCCAGCCCCTAAATCCCCAACCATGTGGACCTCCTACCCCAGAGCCTCCTAGAAGGCCTCTGGCGTGGCCTGATGTCTAGGAACCAGACATCAGGCCAGCAGGAACAGGTACAAAAAAAACCTCTCCCCGTTCACCCTCTTTCCTTAAAGGACTAGTGAAAGCAGATGAACCTGTGCCAGTCTTGTTCTAACTCACCTCGGCTGGGGAGCTAATTCTGCTGATAAATAAATTAGGGTAAACCATTAGGGTAATTAAACATTCTTCCTGCCTTTGGTGAGGAAATTGAAATAGATGAGTTCTAAGTTTCCTCTAGTTGTAAAATTCTGCTTTAAAAGACCAATATTTACCTTCTGCTTCTTTTTTTCACTTCCTCTTTTGCAATTCTATGAGAATAAATCTGTTTTGAAAGAAAACATGATCATGATTATCCATTACAACTATTTCCAAATCCTTATTCATTCCTTTTTACTTTAAATCTTATCTACCCAGTGAGATGACAACTTTTTTAAGGAAAGGAATTCTACCCTGTTTAATAATCCTTTGACTCTTCCACAGTACCTAACTTAGGGTCTTGCATGCAGCCGGTGATATATTTTATTGACTGTTTTAGATAACGTTCAACAGATCATTCTTAATAAAAACTCTTAAAAGTAGGAAGAGAAAATAAAAGTTTCTAGCAGAAACCTAAGCATTGTTTTAAAGTCAAGAACAAGAGTAGGATGTCCATGATTACTGCTACTATTGATCATTGTGAAGGAGGTCTCAATCAGTACGACAAGAAAAATGAAGTATTGGAAAGGAAGAGACAAACATATTTGCCTAGGAAATGAGGGACCTAAAAAGACCAAAAGAATCAACCGAAATTTTATTGGAAGTAAAATGAGTAAGATGGCTCCATACAAAATCAAGAGATCAACATATAAGCCTCAATAGCTTTCCCATATAACACAAATAACTAACTGAAAAACAGAAGACACATCCCATTTAATATATCAATAGAAATGCATAAAGTACCTAGGAATAAACTTACCCAAAAATTTGTAAGACCTATGTGATGAAAATATTAAAAATTTTCTGAATGACATTAAGAAGCAGTACTTACATGGCATGAGATACCATCCTCCTAGAAGGTTGTAAAGACATCTATTCTCCTCACATTAACCTACAAATTCAATGCAATCCATTTATATCCAAAATAATTTTTTAAAAAAACCTGGCCAGCTGACATTTGGTCCGAATATATGTAAGAATAGTTATGAAATTTATGAAAAAGATGGTCAAAGAGTAGGACCTTGCCCTACCAGATATAACATATGTTATAGAGCAACTGGAATTAAGCAGTGTGATATTGGTACTGGTACAGGATGAGATAACTGGATCACAGAATAGAGTCCAGATGAAGAGAGTATATTAGACCAGGGAAGAAAGAATAAATCATTTAGTGAAAGATTTGAAAACAATTAGATCTTCATGTAGGAGGAAAAAGTTAGATCCCCTACCTCAAACACACGATAAAACAAATACAACAAATTCTAGACAGATTATTAAAGTACTTGAAGAAAATATTAAAGATTATTTTTACATCATGAGGTGACAAAGGCCTGGCTAACAAAACCCACCACATAAGAGCCATGAGGAGAGGACGGGCAGATATGGTGGCTGACTGTCAACACACATCCTACTCTTCACAGCCCTTGCCCCCTTTTTCCCTGGACTGTTTGTCTTCTTCTTGTTGACTTATGAAACTCTTGGGAGTTCCCTGGTGGTCCAGTGGTTAGGCCTTGGCGCTTTCACTGCTGTGGCCCGAGGTTCAGTCCCTGGTCAGGGAACTAAGATCCCGCAAGCTGCACAGCATGGCCAAACCCCCCACGCCCAAACAACCAAAAAAACAAACAACAAACTCCTTATAGTAAAGAAATACTGGCTTTCATTGAATTTCAGTGTTTCGAATCTTTCCAGTTTTTTTGTCTCTGAGGAGACAAGACAAAAGAGTGGAGTAGGGAGCACAAGCTTTGCAGTCGGGTGAAACTGGCTTCTGCTTTTGGTTTGGCCACTGGGGCCTTACATTGATCTCCTTCATCTATGAAGAAGGGGTAGTAATATCAACCTTACAGGACTGTGGGCATTAAATCAGACAATATATGGAAAACTCTTCCTCTTACGCTTGGCATGAATCAGTGCTAAGCTGGTGTCACAGACAAGATGGTGGAATATATCAAAGGCTCTGCTCGTGGCATCAGGCTCTGAAGGCTCTTTCCCACCATAAGATTATAAAAATATTGCTTTATTTTCTCTAATACCTTTATGTGGTCTTTCTTCACATTTATGGAAATATGTTTATTTAAGATGAAAAATGGGGATCTGCTATTATTTACCCCCCAAATAGTTAGGCAGCTATTCTATCACCATTAATTCATTTTTCTTCACTGATTCGAATCTTAGAACATGACATTTCAAATGTCTTAAGAAAACATGGGTCTACTGCTTGACTCTATGCTACTTCAGATAAATATTCGGCTGCATTTTTCCTCACTGTGGAATTAACATAATGCCTCATCTCTCTTCCGTTGAACGGCATTATTGGCTACCATAGGAAGAGCACTGCATGGCCCCTGTCCTCAAAGCTTATCATGTAAGTGGGGAGAGGAAATAGCGGTTAGGACTCCTCGCTTTCACTGCTGAGGGTACAGGTTTAATCCCTACTTGGGGAACTAAGATCCCACAGGCCTAAACAAAACAAAACAAAACAAATGCAAAACAAAAGGTTACACTACATAGAAGTTAAAAACAATAAAAAGGGTACTTTACAGAAATCGTAAAAAAGCAAAAGGCCATATGTCAGCTGGAGATGTAGAGGGTACAGTCTGGGCAATGGCCAATGACTAGCAAGCTGACCCCATGCTAGTCCCCAGCCTCCTAGGCTCAGAAATCATACTCTTCCTCACCAAGAGAGAACTCATGTCTTCCTGTTGTGGCGGTCTCACTTTATCAATATCACAGGATTGATCAAAAATCAGAATGCCAAATTATTACTGGACAATGAGAAATACATCTGTTCTACAAACAGGGCATCCGTGTCTGCACAATCAGTGAATTACCTTTTGTAGATACAGGCCTCAGTGTCACACTCAAACACAGTCACAAAATCGAAGGCTACTTGGTGAGAACAGAATTAGAAAAGGAGTCAGCTGAATCGAGAATTTAATGGGAAGGCCTGAGGTAGCTGGATCCGTCCATCTCCTCAACAGGCACAGCCTAGCTAGTGGGCCTGACTCTTCAGTTATGCTGCCTAAGGTGCCATCTCTACTCTCGGGCAATGTGAGGATGGGCACTGTCCATGTTGGTCTCTCCTCACCTTTTCTATGCTTTCACTACTGACCAACCCTCCTGCAGATAGACACATTTCTCTTGAGAAGTTAGTACATCATGTCAGGTTTTATTCAAGTCTGATAGGCCAGGAAGCCATTGGTCCTTACACATCTCTGCTCAGCTCCGTGATGTGCTAACATTGGTGTTTCTCTCTTGGGGGGCTGCCTTTTAAAAACTGCTTACCACTGTTGTCAGTTCTGAGGGGAGGGGACTGCTTTGCTATGGCCCCTAAGAAATGGTGACAAACCTCACAGGACAAGGATCAGGAGGGCTGGAGTATTCAGGGAACGCTTTATGAAGAAAGATATCTGAACTTGAGCTGCTTTGTGAGAGATTCATAGGACTTCCACAGGCAAAGCAAAGTAAAGGAATTTTCGATGGGTAAAGGCACAGACAAAGTAGGAATGGGTTTGGTGTAACTAGCGTATAGTGAGGAGCTGCTTTGGCTGGAATGGGGGACTGCCATTACAAGAGAAAAGGTAAATAAAGTAGGTTGGGTTGGTAGGGCAGAATCAAGATTGTCAGCTTATTAAAGTCACTCTTTTAATGTTAGCAACTGCCTGTTGGGAAAAGTAATAAACCATTATGTAACTGAACAAAACGTAAACAGGCTAGCTCCAGGAATAGGCTACTATAAATATGACATACTTTAGGGTAGCCTGCTGCAGGATTTTACTTGCAGTGTTTTAATGGAAGATATCTACACAATTCCTAATACACCGGAGAAGAAAGCTGCTTAGTAAACCTGAGGAATTGAAGAGATCACACTTTTGTCTTTTAGGCACGTCCTTTTAGCCCTCCCAGTGTGACTGATAGCTCCATGAGTATGGAGATCCTATATCTCTCATCACTTCAGCCAACAAGGAAAGAAATCAACAGTAGAATGTGTGTGACTGGTGAGTACATCAAATAAGCATAGTTTTTTGAGTTGAAGAAATTTTACTATCATGTCAACTCTGGCTGTCTTATAAACTTAACTTGTCAAAATAGTCCAATGACTTGTTATCATGGATCCAATTCCACAGAGATCTCCTGAGAGTAGAGTTCCTTTAAATTCTGTGGTGACTTCCCTGGTGGCGCAGTTGTTAAGAATCCGCCTGCCAGTGCAGGGGACGCGGGTTTAATCCCTGGTCTGGGAAGGTCCCACACGCTGCGGATTAACTAAGTCCGTGCGCCTCAACGCCTGAGCCTGCGCGCCTAGAGCCTGTATTCCACAACAAGAGTAGCCACCACAATGAGAAGCCTGCGCACTGCAATGAAGACCCAACACACCCAAACAAACAAACAAACAAACAAAAAAAACAAAATCCTGGGAATATACTTTTCAGTAAAAGAACAAAATGTATTCAGTCCTCATGACTAAGAGAAAAATCAAGTAGTAGTAGGTGGAAAGGTGGCTTTCATTCTCAGTTTGTGGGTTCTGAATCTGAATTAATTATTGTCCTTACCTCAGTGAGACAGAATTGTAACCAAAATCGTCACTACTACAATTACAGATATTGCCAAGATGACTTTGTTGTTATAGCCATATCCTGGAACTTCTTCTGTGAGCTAAAAAAATAAACAACAATTTTTTAAAAACAAGGAGATGGAAGGGATGAAAGCTAACTATTCTTAAACCTATTCTAAACGATAGCTAACTATTCTTAAAATAATATAAAAGGCAATCCTTTCAGGCGAGTAGGTTCTATAAGAACAAGCCAAATTTAATGTTATTAATCTTATCATTAGCATTTTCTTCTACAATTTATTTATCTTGTGTTATGTCCTTTTCTCGTCTACCCTAGGAATAGTGGCACACTCTCTAAACGAGCAAAGTGGGAGATCACTGTCTTAGCCAGTTTCATGGCTGAAGATAAGGTACAGACTACGACCCCGTGGTATTCCTGCTTGGGCACGTTAATGGCATGTCCTAAACTGAGTAAAAGTCCAGCTCCCATGTGTCAGGGGTTATCCTCACCTCACTTGACTCCTGCTCTTTCTGCTCACTCTGGGCTTCTGTGCTCTCACTGATATAGTTGTCAGTTTTCCACTGGTCCGTATGCCATTCCGCTTTGGAAACACTTACTTCTTGCTGCTTTCTGAGAAGCTTCATCAGGAGGCCTGTTTTAGAGATGAGGTTGGCACAGGCCAGTGCACGTGGGTCTCTGAGCAGTCCATTTTCAAAGTCTGGATAACATGAGAAATGAGCTTTCGCATGTCATTGTTGGGGACGAGGGACCAGAGCTGCTGGTTTAGCTGAGTTTCAACTTGATCACCTGGGGATGTGAGCCCTGGGAAAGTGAAGCCTGTGGGCTTGGGGATAATTCAGTGCCCGTGTTGTGGTACTCCCATTGTGTTTTGTTGGTGTGTTGAACAGTTGGCATACTGTTATCTGCAGCAACAGTAGAATGTGCAGTGGAGACGTTCCTAAGAGTAGTGTTTCCAGGGCCGGTTCCTCCTGGCAGAGTAGAGTTTCCTGTAGAAAAAATTTCTTCAGAAACATTTTGTGCAGTATTGTTTTCTGAAGTAGTGTTTTCTGCAGAAGTGTCTGTAAAAGAAAATAATGCTGGAAAAGGATTTTCCTGAGAAGTCACCTCACTTGAAGGTGAAACAGCCTTTCGTGGAGGGGAATTTGAGAGGCTCCTCACTACAGAGAACGGAGAGCTTGCAAGCATCATTCTATTGAGTGAACTTTTCTTTCTGCACTTTCTACTCCTTTTGACTTTGGTTTTCTGTGGACCCGATGAGACTGAGTTTTATGGAAGATGTATTTTTTCCCAGAATGTGAGATTAGTTCAGGAGCCTTAATATTTCTAACTCTAGCCTTTACAGCTTCTAAAACAAAAATAGTGTGGGATAAGTCTTTTGATTTGCTTTTAACCTCAGATGGGGATTTTGGAGGGATGGAGGCAGAAGGCCTGCCCTTGAAGGACTGTTTCAGGGAAGAGGAGCCTGCTGCCTTGTGTTCCTTTGTGAATGAAGACTCTGCATTGGACGACTTTCCTACCAGCTTTCTGGGCCTCTGCACCATGAGAAGCTGTTTCAGCTTTCTTGGGGATGGCCTCCTGAGCCTTCTTTCTTCGGCAGTGTTCGCCACAGATTGCTGGGCATTCTGTTTCCTCCTGACGCTCTCATCTCCCACTGCTTTGAGGTGCATTTTCTGTATGCCCCTTGGGCCCCTGAGGCCCCTGTTCACTCTCAGCAGGTGTTTCTCTGTAATCTCAGTCTTTGCTAGGCTGTCTTTCTCTGGTTGGGCAGCTTCCAATTTCTTTTCAAAGATGTAGAGTTTAAACATGGCACTTAAATGGTTGGAACGCATATGCGTGGCAGGTTTATCTTCCTTTTTAACCTCATCAAATTTTTCTTCGGTTTCTGCATCTACCAAATTTTCCAGAATGTGAAGTTTCTTCAATTTATTTTTATTAGTTGAATTGTTGGGTACAGCTTTAACAGAAGGGCTCCTTGTATTGATTTTCAAAATGCCCAGTGGCATATCTCCATCTTGTGTATTGAATGAAAGGTAATAATATTGATTCCATATCTCCTAGATTTCCCTCTGAGATAAAAGGCAGTATGTAATTCATGCACTGATAATATCACTTTTATTATTAAAGTCCAGCTGCTCATTCATGAAGCCTGACAAGCTGACAGCACTTTATCTGAGGATGCCCTCTCTGACTCAATAGTCAGCTCGCTGCTGTTCTTCTTCCAGGCTTGTAACACCTTCATCAACGATGCTTCTGCATTCCCTATAGATGTTTCTTCATCTGTCAAAAATAACTGTTTTTGATCATTGAAGACTGATGGGACAGCTTTTAGTCAGTCCACAGCCAAATAAATTAGGAATCAGTCAACGTTTGAGTGACAGGAGAAAAAGAAACACACACTTAAACCTATAACTGGCAACAGCAAAATGCGAAAAGATATCTCTTGAAAAAGTGGCTATCTACTCAGAAAATTCTGTAGCGTGAAATATACTAACTATATTCAGGATTACTCCACTGGTTCACAGGGGCCAGTACTGAAGAAAAGCCAAGGCTGGAAGACAAATATTCCCCTACTCAGCTGGACTCTCTGCAGATCTACTGGGACTCCTCACATTCATATACCCCATCCTGTCCCTCCTCAGAGGCAGAGGAGTGTGAGCCTTCCTCTATCCACCTCTTTAGTGTGCTTGTGTCCTTGCTACTATCACAGATGACCACGACAACAACCGCTGTTAACAGATCGTCATCTGGACATTTTCTTCTCCACCCACCCACCAAGTCCTTTGCTCAGTCCCTGCTTCCATATATCCCAGCCCTCATAACAGAAGGCTCTATACACACAAAAAAAACACTATGTCCACCCAAGCTCTTTGCTAAAATTTGGGCAGGGATCTGGGGTATAAGTTAAGAGATTTGCCCAATTGTATGCCAATGTGGAATGTTCAACAAATCAATGGAATAATACTTGAGGTCCAAAATGCAGAAGGGAAAAAGCAACTTCTGTCAGATGGCTACTTTGCTTTCATTTCATTTTACTTCTAATATTTCCAGCTTTACTTGGGGAACCATCCAAAGCTTCTGACTGTGTGAAGGTAATGTGTACCATTGTGTAGCTAGGCTTCTCTTCCAAAAGGATTAAAAGTATTTTTCCTAAGGGTCAAAGGAGGAGGGAAGGGTCATGAGAAAGGAGGAGCATGGGCTTGCAGAGAGCCCAAACTGGAGAGAAGAGATCGGGGCACTAAGGTCATAGCACTTAACATCTCTGATCTTGTTTCTCCTCACCTCTAAAAGGAGATTAAAAATGACTTTTCTGCCCACTTCTGGGGTAGAAGGGAGTAATACAACTAGTAAAAAAATTGTTTCGGGGAGTTCCCTGGTGGTCTAGTGGTTAGGACCCGGCACTTTCCCTGCTGTGTCCCGGGTTCAATTCCTGGTTGTGGAGCTAAGATCCCACAAGCTGTGTGTCACAGACAAAAACAAATTGTGTTGAAAAATCAGCGATATTGTCTTTATATAAGTAGCAAAGTATTATTATTTATGATGTGCTCTAGATCAGTGATAGAGACCTGTATTCAAGCTACGTGGGCATGAAAGCACATTTTGGAAGTCACCAAGTTAGTGTCAATAAATCTAATATATAGAAAAATAGTTGAAAGCCCCTGTTTTGTGGATAGAAAAGCTTGAGATTCAGAGCAAGTTCAGAGCTGGACAGTCTAAGAATAAACTAGCTCTCCATTCCATTAGAAAGGCTAAGCAGCAGCTTCTGGTTATGGAACCAGAAATCTCAGGCTCCAAATAGGACATAAAACAGCATCACTTGTACTCTTTATACAATTGCAGAAACAAACAAAATAAACAAAAACATATTTACACCTGTCCTATAACACAAATGGCACTTGAGACCTAATGTATATAAAATCAGTTTACAAACTGTGATGCACTCTATCAGTAAGTTCTCATTTGCAGAGAGCATAGCATAGGATATGTGGCCATTAATGTTAATTCCCTTCCCGCTTCCATTCCTTTCTCTTGTCCCTTTATGTATGTGGATCAGTAACATTATTAAGCTAACAATGTAACTGAGCAACTATTAGCTTAATAATGTAACCAAGACTCTGATTCTTACCAAGGGGGTAGTTCTTAGAAACTTAGGGAGCTGGAACTCTGAATGAATGAATTAAAATAATGAAATTACATCATTAATTTTAATTTTAAATTAATTTTTAAAATTATCATCATTGATTAAAAATAAAATTAAATTAAAAATTTATTATTCCACAGTTGAGACTCACCACAATGTGTGAAGTCTGTCAGGCATCCACTGTCAGAACACAGCTTGACTCTCTTACAGACAACCTCAATGATATTTTTAAATTGGCAGAGGCAGCAGGCCATATGGTTAGGTAAGATCCTGTAAATGGAAACACAGATAATTAAATTCTTAGTAAAAGAGTTACTTGAGTAGGTAGAAGAGGTAGGCCAAGGCCACCACAGACCAGTTAAAAAAGGAGTTCTTTGGGCATATGGACTGGAGAACTGAATAGGGGCCGGTTAGCCAATTGCTGCTCTTGACTGTTGTAAATAAATATAGAGGAGGATAGATGTGCCCAAGAGAAGGAATAGAATGGCAGTAGGTATGGTATGCCTAGAAAAAAGGGAATAGGGATTAGAATTGGGTGACAATGATCTGTACTTTAATTCAGAAGTATCTCCTTCCAACCCAAAAGCCTCACTTTGGGTTCAGAGTACACAGGAAGAAGGCAGACTTGTAAGAAGAGTCTGAATAAGACTGCACCTTCTGGAATCCCTTTCTCATTTCCTATTTGTGAGTAGTAATATATTAGAAGTTATTCTAGTAATAAAAAAGCATCGTGTGGTTAAACAATAACAGAGATCGCATTGGCCAAATCTAGACAAAAGGAACATTCCAAAGAATAACATTATCATTATAATAAGGTATAACATAGTTAATTTCAAAAAAAGGTCATGAGTTCACAGTGATACTCAAAATGAAGTGGGGGAGTTCTCCTGTATAGAATAATGTCAGCTAATAAATGCAAAATGGATGATAGAATAGGAAAGTGTCATTTTTCAACTATCAATGTTATAATCCATATAGACAAAGATTATGACTGATGCACAGTTGGGTGAAGAGTTGTTTGAAAGTAGAACCTTCACTGATCCCAAAGTATCACCCCACAGATTATTTATCAATTACCAAGGGGATAAATAACTTTACAATGGAGAGATATGGAAGAAACCACCTTAATCAAGTGATCAAACTTAGCACTGGGCCATCCTGCTGGGATGGAGAAATTTCAGCTTCCTCAGGGGGTTCCGTAGGTTCATCTGGGTGCCCCAAAAATTCCCTAGGTAGGCTGTCCTCAGGATAAATGGCATCCATACTGGGATCTAAATAATCACCCTGCAACTGTTGTTCTAGACCCTGAGTGTTTTTTTGAAATTGGCCTATAGTTCCAACAATAATTTTGTCAAGCCGTTGATGCTGAACTAGATGTTTCTTCAGGTTTGGGGGTGAAACAATAAACTTCATTTGTTTTGAGCTGTTACTACCCAGAGGTGGAACAAGTATGAACAAATGACTGGTGGCCTTCAGCCTCATCTAGACCTATGTGTTTAGTCTTACTTTTGTGTCGAGAAAGGAGAACCAAGGGCTGATTCTGATCCCAGTCTAGCACTGGAACTGCCTCTGGGAGCTTTTGATGTTGGGTTTGCTTGTTATTCAGATCCTGATGTGGAACAGCAAACTGATCTGGCCCTGTAGGCAGCTCTCCAACCGAATCCGTGTCCGGGTATGGAACCCCATTCTCAGTCAACTCCTGATGAGGCCGGGCCAACATCTGGACTGGAGACAAGGACGTTAAGTAATTAAAGCCCCCGGCTTCTGCCAGAGGTGTAAGGGCATGGGGCAATTTGGGAGGAGGGTCTGAGGCCTGTGAAGACCAAGCCTCTGTCAGCCGCGGGGGGTTGGGGGTCACCTGGACGGGGCCCAGGGCCCACTCCGGAGGCTAAACTGCCTGGACTAGAAGCCACCGTCCTTGCCATGTGAGGAAGAGCCGTGGCAACCAATGGCACAGCCGGGACATAACATGTGGCGGCTCCAGGGGCAGTGACCCAGGCCAGTGAGGAGCCGGAGCCACATCCTGCGTCCGAGCTGAACCGCTATGCCAGCGCCAAAGCGAGGGCTCACGTTAGCAACCGCGGGCCCCGCCCCCGCCTAACGTCCCTCCCGTTATTTATGACGTCTTTAGTTACGCCACCGTTATTAGGCTCGTGTGGAGATCCAATCCGCGCCACCAGAGTGGGCCTTTCTGCCAGAGTCCCCAGGGCGCAAGTCATCCTTCCCCTTGCAAAGGCGACAATTACCTCCTGCCGGGCCCTCTTCCCAACCCCGCCCTGCCCTCCCTGGCCCCAAACAATGAGGCGGGATTTGGGCTGCAGACCCGAGTGGCCCCAAACTCCAGCAGCCCAGGGGTTGAGGGGGGAGGGAAGGATGCAGAGCTTCCCGTGGAAACCAAAGGACCTGGCATTCTGGGAAATTCAAAAGTGCTAGTCCAGTTCTGGCAATCTGAACTCTTCTTCCTCAAAGCTGAAGTCTGAGAGACATTCCTGCTCCCTTTGGCCACACGGCTGACAAGAAAAGTAGCTGACCTGCAAAATGAGCACCAGTTAGGGTGGCGGGAGGGGAACACACCTTACAATTATGCGAAAATGTTGACATTTCCTGCAAACTCTCAGTATTCACGTCTCATTATTCATACACCACTCTGTTAACAGGGGTCACCACTGAATCAGGGATGACTCCAGAACTTCTGAAGGAGGAGTTTGGGCAGGTGAGCAATTCATTCTGGGAAAGAGAGTCTAAAACCACGGCCCTTTACATTAGTATGGAAAACATCCCCCATCCCAACTATTCAAAACAGAGCCATTAATCTAGAAAAAAACTACAGTGCCACTTTTCAGAGGTCTACCCTGTGTGCACATATAGAGAAGACACTTAGAATATTAAAGTCAGCATGTTAAGTAATTTTCTTCAAATACTGTAACTAGCACTCAGTTTAATTTCTTCACAGGCCTTTTCATAATCTATTTAATTTTACTCCCTTTTAATTTTCTGGTACCCCTTTAACACCTAAACTCCAAGAGAGAAGGAGCTTCACCTTATTTCCAATGCCTAGCACATAATGGTTTCTAAATGGAACTGATTCCAAGATTGGCCTCATTTAGGAGTGGATCTGTTGTTATAATCAGGTTTCCAGAATCTTTAGTATCAATACGGAACCCTTTCCTGTCACATTTCATAGGAAGCTAGACTTCTTAAAGCCCAAACATGGGTACGTTTTAAGTTTCCTTGACTGATTTAAATTGAATTAAAATAATTATTTTGTACAGGAAAAAACTTTCAAAATTTTTACATTTTTCAGAACATAACCACCTTTTCTTTCTCTTTCTTCCCTTCAAAACAAGCTTTGCCACACTGGGGTTAGTTAAATAATCAGAAATCTAGCCAAAAATTAAGCTCTCAATGACATGAAACACACTTTTGCTCCTTTTTAATAAAACTCCTATATGCAGTACATTAATGTTTTCTTTCAGAAATTACGTTGACAACTTAATCCCTAATTCGACGCATCCATATAACTGGTTTACAGAAAGGTTCTTTGGCAAACTATTTAACACAAGATATATATGAGATTCTGAGATCTGGGTAATATACTTTACTTGAAAAGCATGAATAGTTTTTAAACAGTGTAGCATAATCACACTTAAGACTATAGTTACTTTGTTCCCAAATCCCTGCAATTCTATTTGAGGGGAGTTCTAAAAGGCCTGTGTATTCTCCTGTGTCCACAATCGTAGACATACACTGGTGGCCCTCAATCCTGCTCTCCAAACTTCAAATAAGGGGCCAGAGACAAGGCCCGGGACTTGGAAAACTCCTAGAAATTCCCTGCCTCAAAAGCAGTTTCACCTTTTCCTAAGGAAGACAGAACTGAGTAGATACGCTGAAGTCTTCCAAATCCTGCTGGGTGTTTTGAATTATGGCTACACTGGCTGTGTACCCCTTGAGCTTTTATCTCCACATACTTGAATTAAATCCTGTAGTTCCTCTTCGGTTCTAGCATCTGTGACCTCTTCACAGGGTCTATATGCCACAGCTGTTTTACCACTTTCTGTAATAAAGTTAACAAGGATCAATTCAGAAGTTTTCTTGTTCTAAAACTTCCTATATACAATGGTACCACCGAATAATTAGACATTCTTTTGACTTCTAAAAACAGAAAATAAGAGCATTTTCCTAGAAGTTCCCTCATCTGACACTTCAGTTTTTATTATAATTATTTGTGAAGACATATATAAGAAGTATCAACTTTATGATAAATTTTTGAAAAACTTTATGATCTTAGAAATAAGAACTAAGGGGACTTCCCTGGTGGCACAGTGGTTGGGAATCCGCCTGTCAGTGCAGGGGACATGGGTTCGAGCCCTGGTCTGGGAAGATCCCACATGCCGCGGAGCAACTGGGCCCGTGCGCCACAACTACTGAGCCTGTGCTCTACGGCTAATGAGCCGCAACTACTGAAGCCCACGTGCCACAACTACTGAAACCCCAGCACCTAGAGCCCGTGCTCCACAACGAGAGAGGCCTCAGCAATGAGGAGCCCGCACACCACAATGCAGAGTAGCCCCCACTCGCCCCAACTAGAGAAAGCCCATGTGCAGCAACAAAGACCCAACAGAGCCAAAAAAAACAATAAATTTATAAAAAAAAGAAATAAGAACTAAGGAATAAGGACATAGAAATTAAAAGCTGTGGAAACAAAAATGTTCAATCAAAATACAATTAAATAGGAAGGCATTAGGTGGGGGTCAAAGTGAGTTCCAACCTGGGAGAGATACCAGGACTATAATACATACTTCCTATTAGAAGCAAGGCAAGTGCCTACTCCTTGGGACAAAAATTCTACCAGATAAAATGAACAAAGCTTTGGAGACAGAGACAGAGAGAGGGAGAATTTGAACATTCTACTGGCAGAAACTGGCCCATGTACCCTTTGAACAATACAGCTTTCCTCAAGGCAAGCTAGAGCCACCAGGCTTTTTGGTCTAAGGAGTTTTGGGTACATATAAGGAGTACCTTGGCATATTAGGCACAAACAACCCTGGCATTTAATTTGGTTCTTAAAGGTTTTTACCCAGAGTTGACAGCTGATGGAGATTCTGCCTGACGACCAGGGAAGTCGAACTTCACTGGAAGGACTGCCCAGGCTGGAAGGCCAAGACCAATCGAGGGTCAACTCTTACAAGCAAATAAGGTCTCTGACAACTTAGCTAGGATTTCTCAGTCTCTAAGCCTGCAGGGCTGTGAAGCAGGGGAGCAATTCTGTTCCGGGAATCTACTAATCATAAAGTTTCCTTTGGGCACAGCCTGTGACATTCTCACTGCTGTATAACTCGATAGGGAACACAATCAACGCTATTCAATAGCATGACCAGTTTCAAGGCTCACAAAAACGTAGCCGATTATTATATAAGAATCATATTCACCCAATATATTAGAAATGAAAACTGAAATTCAACTGATTCCAAAAAGATAGTCTAATAAACTCTTCAACAAGAAAACAACGGTAATAATAATAGTCAATATGTTTTGTCTGCTTACTATGTTTCAGGCATAGTTCTAACCTTTTTACATTCATCATCTCATTTACTCTTACAGTATCCCCCATTTGGTGGTAAGCTGAATTACTAACCCTATTTGCAGATAAAGAAATTGCAGCTTAGAGATACTAAATACCTTCAAATGTCTCTGGCTAGAAAAACCTACAATTGGGACAACAACAACAAAATCTAAGAGACAATGTTAGGACTCAAACACAGGTGTCCAAGGCTTATAATCACTACACTACTCTGTATGAGAAGCAAGCAATTGAGGAAGAAGTGGATCAAACACTTTCTGTATGAACTGAGGCAAGTGACTCTACATCTAAACACTGGGGACAATAATATTTGCTGTCGTTTTTCTCATAAATGCCACAAAGAACAAATGTAAGACTCCTGCTGTGAAAGCATCTGGTGAATGAAAGAATATGTAATGTTTTAGATAACCATTATTTTCATCCAATTCACTTCTCAAAAAAATTTATTTGCTCACTGAAACTGAAGCACTTCAACGACAATCAAAAAGGTCTTACCTAAAACCACAATCAGCAATTTCTGAAATGCATCTGTCATAGCTTTCTGAATAGCAAGCTTCTGGGTTACCTTCCTTCTCATAAGGAATGATAATGACCCTAAATCCCACCAAAACAGATGAATTTAAAATGCCTATATGAATAATTGATTTCTAGATTATATGTTTAAAACTAAAAATGCATCTGTGATTCTTAGATCATTACCTTAGTGATTAAGGGCAGGCACAACACGGGTACGGGTGAATGTCTCCGTTGCAGGTATACACTGGCATGGCATATTTTTACTGCTCAGATCTATTCTGGAAGTTCCTAAAATATTAGACGGGAAATGCAAACCAAAAACGTGGCAGAAATCTCATATTACTCACAGATTTCAAATGCACAAGCTGAGGCTGCACTGCTACAGACCCTGCTCTCCTCTGCGTAAAGGGCTGGAATCATACAGTGAGATAGATTTGGTTTTAGTGCAGATGATCCTGCCTCTACTCAACCATCACCCACTCACGTGAATGGTGGAGCCTCCTCCACCCCATTCGATAACAGGCCTGCCTCTGACTTAAAACCCTAAGCCCAAGTGCCATGGATTCTAGGAAAAAACTCAGTATCAATAAGAATCCCCTTTCTCGGGATCTACATTTACTTTTTCCGCTCAGGCCATTTTATAGGAGGCAAAGGACTGAACATTTACACATGAGTTTATTTCAATCTTCAGACAATGATTTTGTTGAGATAACTGAAGGCCAGATTACATGTGTATTTGAAGAATTATTTTAGCACAAAACAAATTATTAACCAAACAAATAATAATAATAACTAATTTTCCCCCCTCCTAAGCTTCTTGGCAGGCAGTGAGTTCTAAAATTCTAAAGTTTAAGGTGCTGTCAGGTATTGCCTAAGATAAAAACCTATATTGTCGGGCAGAATAATTCTGCCCAGGGCTTTAGTTGCTTAGAAAAGGTGATGATGTATCTGAAAAGTTGAGTTTCAGAAAGAAAGGAAAAAAGAGAAATCCCACTGCCTCACCTCCCCACGCACACACATACTGGAAAACAGACTTTCCTCCAACTTATCCAAAGGTTCCTCAGCCATGCCAACTCCAGGACTCCTGCACTCGTGGGAGGGCAACACCACCTCTAAAGCACAGAAGACCTTCAGGCTTTGCTTCTGAAGTGGTGTCACAATATCTTCATTTTCCCTTTCTTCAAGGTTAGAAAGATCCTGAAGCTGTTAGGATTTTGAATTAAAGGCTAGACTTCAACATATTCTTTTGTTAGAAATAAAAGATAAACTCCAGCAATCCCAGGTAATAGTTTAGGTATGCTATCCCTTCAAAATCAACTGAGACTTGCAAATGAATGACTAGATATGGACAACTATTTTTTATGATATACCATACAAATACTGGAGAAAATTGTGGACACCACCATCCAAGTCATTGAGATTATCACTAATTCTAGGTGGAAGGCCAATGCTCAGATACTTCCATGTGGAAGTCTCTCACATCTCCTCCCCATAGCCATGTTCTATTCTGCTCTCTAAAGTCTAGGAGTTCAATGTTGAAAGGAGTCTGGTTAGTCAAAGAAAGTCTACAGAGTTTACCTTGATGATCCTTTTTGACCACTCATGGAAAACAAAAATGTAATTTGCCAATTCTTGGCATCTGGAGCTGTTTAGGGCAGGCGTATTATGATGAACCGCCTTATATCTGGTGCCAAGACGAACGTAAAGACATAAAAGACTTAAAACTATCACAACCCTACATAGAGATTTATTTTGGATATACCTGAGATTTATTAATTCCAATTTCATAGAGTGTTTGTGAAGATTAAGTAGGACATTTTAAGCAATGAGTTCACAGTGAGCCCTAAATAAATGTTATTTATTATTTTTCAGTCAGTACTTTTCTGCATCATTTCCAGGGCCCCTGATTAACAGAAGGTTCCCTGACATCCGGTGGTGAAAGTGATGATGAAAGCATCCAAGGAAGCCCAGCAGAAGCCTATTATGGGGCTGGGGGTAAGCAAAGGAATGGACTGTTTTACTCATCTCATCCTGTAGATACTGCTTCAGAATATGAACTGAAGAGGAGACAAGATGTACCTGCCACTGAATTTGGACCTTAATCTGTAGCACTCCCTCCCCAAATTACTAACCCCTGTAAGAAGAGGGAATATGTATACCTCTATAAATGTAAATAAAGCAACGAAAAGAATTAGAGATTCATCTGCATTAACAAGCTTCTTTGAGAGTGCAAATATTTCCAGTCTTAACTCTCTAAATAACTTACATATTACTGTGGATTTTATACATCATTACTTCTTTCTGAAACGTCTATTTCCATTTGAACAGGGTGTAGTATATAAATTTAGTCATAAAAATTCAAATAATACAAATAAAATCAAAGCATTGTTAATTCTTTGTTGATGTGTTTGTGCATCTTCCTCTCTCACTAGTTTATGAGCTCCTTAAGTGCTTGAAGGAACCATATATTGTTCTTTCCTTGTTACCAGAAATAATACATATTGGCATATAATAGAGGAGTGATGGTCCGTTGACTGAGTGAATGAATGAGTACATAAGAAAATGAAATTACTTTCTCCAACTGAAGCTGCCTGCAGGGAAGGAGAAATGAAGACTAATTTTTAAATATTGAGTGTCACATGGGAGGCTAGGTCCTGTGCGGTGAGTCATAATGGAGCTGTCCTGGACAATTACGAAGCTTCAGAAGGGCTCTGAGCCACTGGGTAGTAGAGACAGTTGACATCTGGGATAACCTTGCCACAGTTCTTGCTGGCAAAACTTTCCCTTCGTGCTACTGAGAAAGACTCAGATACATTACGCCTTTCCTTCATTCTATTTTAAGATGTTATTCTCTTTTCTGTATTTATAAAAAACACCGGGGAAAAAAGATCGGAAGATACCTGACAATGAATAAAAGAACACATAGTTGGAACTTCCTTGCTGGTGCAGTGGTTAAGATTCCGTTAGTCCAATGAAGGGGGCCAAGGTTCGATCCCTGGTCAGGGAACTAGGTCTCACATTCATGCTGCAACTAAGAGTTCGCACGCCACATTTAAGGAGCCTGCCTGCTGCAAACGGGGAGCCCTTGAGCCACAACTAAGGAGACCACCTGCTGCAACTGAGACCCGGTGCAAGCAAATAAATAAATAAATAAATAAAATTGAAAAAGAACGCATAAGTAGGGAAAAATTTTGGGGTTGTGGGTAGTAAACTAACGCTCTGCATTAAATAAAGAAATCTAATACGAATCCCCTTTCCTCTCAACTCTATAGTGACTTGGAGAACATTTTCTTCATTACGCCATCAGTGACGGGCTATATGCTGTGAAAATCTCACAGCCTACGCTTATGGAATGGTCTTTATGTCAAATATAAGAAAAGAACTCATTACTCACAACTGATACTAAGTAACTGTTTCATAATCTTTCCAGGACCATCTGTCATATCTGAGTGGTACGTGAAATGGTCGCAGGGTCCTCAAATAAAAGCATGTCTGACAAAGATCATTTCAATCCCAGGGAGTACTGCCACGATTGAAGAGGGTGTTAAACAGGGTACAGAACTGAGAGGTAGTGTACCTGGAGTCACATCTGAGGAGAGTTCTCAGATTCAATAAAGGTGAAATCAGTGAGTAAAGAAATATGGGTGAGAAGAGGCAGCAAGGTCAGTAGGAAGTAGCCAGAGCAAGAAGCCAATCAGAGAAGACACACAATTATAAAGGGAAAGGTCTGGGAAATCTAAGCCTCACTCCCTTATTCAGAGGAATTGAAAAGGCCCTTAACATAATGAAATGTTAATTCTGGGGAGGTAAAACTGGATGGCATGTTAATATGGAATAAGGTTTCTACAATGCATTAAAGAATATTTACCCATTTTCTGGAATCTGAAGGGAGTTCTGAATAGGCAGTTTGAGAGTGATGATGATGATGAAGCCTCCTTTATGTTACATCTGACAAAAGTTTGTCAAGCTCGGGACTTCCCTGTTGGCACACTGGTTAAGAGTCTGGGTGCCAATGCAGGGGACACGGGTTCGATCCTTGTCCGGAAAAATCTCACATGCCGCAGAGCAACTAAGCCCGTGTGCCACAACTACTGGGCCTGTGCTCTAGAGCCCGTGAGGCACAACTATTGAAGCCCGTGTGCCTAGAACCCGTGCTCCGCAACAAAAGCAGCCGTCGCGATGAGAAGCCCACGCACTGCAACGAAGAACAATCTCCCCTCGCCGCAAATAGAGAAAGCCGGCACGCAGCAACAAGACCCAACGCAGACAAAAATAAATAAATAAATTCATTAATTAATTAGAAAAATTTTTGTCAACTTCACACATTTAAAATCCACATAAATGTATATATAAGGAATATTCTTGTGAAGATTTCTTAAATTAAGGGGCAGCAGAAAATGACATGGGGTTTAACATCAGTTAAGTTTGGGTTTGGCCTCTAGTTTCCACGTTTACTGTCATGAACCTCAAGTAAGTCACTTAAGTATCCTGAGTTCGAGTTTCTTCATCTAAAAGAAAGAAAGAAACAACTGGGGAACTGGGGGATCAGTGGAGCAGTGCATCTGATAGCATTCTGTACCCCACGGTGCTGTACAAACGCTGGCCGTTATTTTTGTTTGTCGGTTTGTTTGTTTTTTCCCTGGGATCTTAGTTCCCAGACCAGGGGTTGAACCCGGGCCTTCAGCAGTGAAAGTGCAGAGTCCTAACCAGTGGACCACCAGGGAATTCCCGATGGCCTATTAGTTTTAAATTCAGCACTTCATCCCAGTAGAGTGAGGAATTCCACATTTGGACCCACCTTCACTGGAGACGTGTGAAAAAGCTGCTTCTGGTCGCATGCCTTTTGGGCTCTGTGGGCATCCCTTGCTGAGTAAAACTTGATGATGGCAGAGAACCCAGGACTGCCCACTGCTGCGTTTGGGAAGAGTCGGACCGAATACAGAAGGCCAAACTGGAGAAGACTGTAAACAGAGAATGCTTTAGGGTGGTCTCACACTAAGAAAGTGCAGTAAATTTCAGGCCCAGGAAACCAAATCGCCCATTCCCTTATATTCCCCCAGCCCTTCACCACAGGCAACTGTGGTGAGCCTGTAACTCCAAACACTTCTCATTTCATAAACAAGGTTCCCTCTGAAATCCTAAGCTTCGAGAAGCATTAGGAGGCAATTCCTTCTTTTGGGGACTAACTCTCAAAAATCTATGGGGGAGAGCTGACTGCTCAGGTCGTCTCTAGAACTAAGATTCCTCTCAGCAGAGACCACAGGCAGATGAGGTACTCAAGCAGTACCCCGGGGCGCCCAGTTACTGGGGCACGGGGTGTCTTCCTCCACCCTTCCCTCCCCTCCAGCTCGGCTCAATTGCAAAGCCTCGGGGGTGGGTCCAGAGCTCAGCTCCCACACCAGCAATGTTTTGTCACCCTCGATGGGAACCGCAAAAGGTACCAACTGCACCATCCCACCGTCACCGCACGTGCGCTGCTCGGGGAGCAAGCGGACTACGCTTGCGCACGTGCACCCGCGCTTTTTAAATACTTAGTGCCAATAAATCTAATATATAGAAAAATAGTTCAAAGCCCCTGAGTGTTTTGTGAATAGAAAAGCTTGAGATTCAGAGCAAGTTCAGAGCTTGACAGTCTAAGAATAAATTAGCTCTCCATTCCATTAGAAGGGCTAGGTAGCAGCTTCTGGTTATGGAATCTGAAACTCTCAGGCTCCAAATAGGACATAAAACAGCATCACTTGTACTCTTTATAAAACTGCAGAAACAAACAAAATAAACAAAACTATATTTACACCTGTCCTATAAGACAAAGGGTACTTGAGACCTAATGTATATAAAATCAGTTTACAAACTGTGATGCACTATATCAATAAGTTCTCATTTGCAGAGAGCACAGCATAGGATATGAGGCCATTAATGTTAATTCCCTTCTGTAGTGGGATAACTGAGGACATGGAAAGGAGACGTGACCCATGAGCCCCCCCGCAGCAAACTGAGAGCTGGCGAATAAGCCAGAACTGCAAACAGTCCTGATTGCTTTGAGCCGCGCGCCCCGCCCCCCCCCCCCCCCCCCCCCCCCCCCCCCCGGCAAACCGGGGTCTTGCAAATAAGCCAGAGTTGTGAACAGTTCTGAATGCTTCGAGCGCCCCCCCCGGCAAACCGGGTGCCTGCAAAAGAAGCATTGAGTGCTTTGGGCACTGATCCATGAGATGTCCTCAGTATAATCAGAGTGGCGGGAACGCAAGGATATGTCCTTGTGCTACTTCAGTATAATCAAAATAATGGTGGGAACTTTGTGCTGTTCTTGCGCTCAAGGACGAAGCACGGCAGGTGCTCACGAAAGCCAATTATTGCTTGTATAATTAATAAAAACATAGGTTGCTGCTTTGGCACTTCTGAAATGTTAAGAAAACAAGTCTTAAAGTGTAAATCTAGATAATGCTTTAATAAAAGTTACCACAGCAAGACAGACGGCGCTGTTTTGCCTGAGCGAGCGGCAGCCCTCTCCTGCTGTGCTTTGGCACAATTCATCTCGTGTGATGAGCTTACTTTCGGCCCTGTCCTAAGAAACTACAACATTTGGCGCCCGAACAGGGACCTGAAGGTAAGTAAGTAATCGCGTGATCGCGGGACCGAAGGGGAAATTGGTCCGCTCAGAGTAAGCGAAACCTTCGGCAACAGTAGAGTAACTGTAATGGGGAATTCCCATTCAGTAGAATTCCAATATATTAAACTCCTGAAACAGTTATTATGGAGTTCAGGAGTAAAAGTGAAACAGGAATCTTTTGATGAATTGTTTGCACTGGTACGTAAACATTGTTACTGGTTTCAACCTACTGGTCATAACCAGTTAATTTAAAAGTTTGGAAACAGGTTATGCGAGCCTTAAGAAGAGCTCATCAGCATGGAGACCCTATATCTGTCCATGTTTTGTCTCTTTGTAAATTAATTTCCCTTGCCCTGAAACCATTACAATCTGAAACGAAAAGTGACAATGGGGCACATCCTCAGCGTCCGAATTCTGCTCCCCATCATTCTGCTGCTTTTCGTACTTTGTTTCGTGAGTCTCCTATAGAGGACCTTCCTCCGCCCCCTCCTCCCCTTGTGTCTGAGACGAGAGAATTTTTCGGATTCCAGTGATGAAGGGGCTTTTTATGATGGTAATAAAGATCGGAAGCAGGTTAGCAAACAAAATGAAATGCCACTTTCTCAACAGAATGAGATTTCTGACATACTTTCAAAGTTAAAAAATTTGATGACTAAACTGGGAGAAAATAAAAGCAATACTACTACTTCATATCAGGAGCCATGTCCTACTATTCCTTCGGCTCCTCCTTTAGAATTAGCAGCTTATCCTGTTGGAGCCTCTCGTCAGTTTCACTTTCCTCTAAAACCTGAATCTAATAGAATATTGTTGGAAGAAGAGATGAATAAACAAGAAAAGCAATATTCTAAATCATTTTTTGCTGTCCCTATTTTTAGACAAGCTATGCCTGCTAATGATCAATTTCCGAAAGGATATGTAAATGTTGATTATAACCATCAGGATATAAAAATTTTTTAAATGTTAAAAGAAGCCATTAATGTGTATGGGATGCATTCTAATTATGTTCAAGGACTTTTCTCTGGGTATGCTACTGAAAACATGTTAATTCCTCATGATTGGGAAGCGATTGCCAAAACTGTTCTTGAACCTGGACAATATATGCAGTTTAAAACTTGGTGGAGAGCGGAAACTGAAACCATGGCAAGGACTAATGCGGTCCGCAATCCTCCAGGGCCACTTCTAGATGAATTAATAGGAGCAGGTGCATTTAGTAATCTACAAGCTCAAACTCAATTTGATGATTTACGAATCATTCAAATACGTATGTGTTGTTTACGAGCATGGTTACGAGTGGAACCCCCTGGAAAAACAGCACAATCTTTTACTAAGTTAATGCAAGGGCCTAGTAAGCCTTACACTGATTTCTTGTTTAGACTGCGTGCAGCCATTCAAAGAGCTGTAGCACAAATAGACATGCAAGATTTATTATTACAATCTTTGGCTTTTGAGAATACAAATTCTAAATGCCAGAAGGCACTGTGGCCTTTACAGGCTGTAAACGCTCCAGTTGAGGAGTATATAAAAGCTTGCCATGATATTGGATCTCCTACTTACCAGGCCAATTTACTTGCAGCTGCCATAAATGAAGGGTTGAAAGATAATCGTATTAAATGTTACAATTGTGGAAAGTATGGACATGTGATGCGAGATTGTCGAAAAGGGCAAGGCCAGATATCAAAACAGGTTAAGAATGAGCAGCTACCTGGTATGTGTCGCCAATGTGGTAAAGGACGACACTGGGCTAATAAATGCCGTTCAAAAAGGGATAAGTTAGGAAATCTTTTGCCTCCACGAGATAATGTCTCGGGAAACGGGAAGCTAGGCCCAACCCGGGGCCACAACAACAATACGGGAAAAGTGACAGTAAACTCTCAACAGTATCCAGTAAGCAATGCCAGCTTTTATCAGACATTACAGGACAGTCTCAACCTCGGCTCTTAGTTACTGATCTCATGCACGCTACCAGCGGCAATGCTGCCGTTGACCTAATTGCTCCTCGAGATTGTATCCTTACGCCAGCAGGAGGAGTACACAAATTAGCTACAGGAATTTATGGCCCTATACCTGCAGGAACTGTGGGACTATTATTAGGACGAAGTAGTTTGACTCTGCAGGGTGTAACAGTTCATACTGGAGTTATTGATGAGGATTATAATGGAGAAATTTCTATTATGATTTCTGTTTCAAATCTATAGAATTTAATAAGGGACAAAGAATTGCTCAATTGTTATTGTTACCATATGTAAAACAAGCAGCCGCCCCCATAAAACATACAGGGGGGTTCGGCAGCACGGGAAAAAATGTTTTTTGGCAATCCTTTCTCAATGACCAACGTCCTCAATTAATGATTACTTTTAACAATAATGTAAAATTTATGGGCCTTGTTGATACGGGAGCTGATGTGTCTATAATAAAACAATCTGAATGGCCTTCATATTGGCCTTTAGAAAAGGTGGAAGTTACTTTTACAGGAATAGGAACATTGCGTATGATTTGGCGCAGTAAGGAACTGTTGGGATGTAAAGGCCCGGAAGGACAAAAAGCTGTGTTGCAACCATATGTGGCCAATATTGGAATTAATTTATGGAGAAGAGATATACTACAACAATGGGGAACCTCTGTCTCCATACCAACAATTTCCCCTGAAACAATGCAAATGATATCAAATAAGGAATATGATTATTCGCAATTAAATGCTACTGAACCCCAATATGTAACTAAAATGGGAAAAGATTATACTGGGCTTGGATATCCAAATTTAGTGTAGGGGCCACTGCTCAAAAATTTGCATTACCATTAAAATGGTTGAAAGATAACCCTATATGGACACAGCAGTGGCCCTTAACTCAAGAAAAATTACAAGCATTACACCAATTAATACAAAAACAATTAATAGCAGGACATATTAAAATATCCACTAGCCCTTGGAATTCACCTGTTTTTATAATTAAGAAAAAATCAGGTAAATGGAGAATGTTGACAGATTTACAAAAAATTAATGAGATTATTCAACCTATAAGGGCATTGCAATCTAGAATTCCATCTGCTGCAATGCTCCCTCGCAATTGGGAACTTATAATTATAGATTTAAAAGACTGTTTTTTTACTATACCATTACAATCTCAAGATTGTGAAAGATTTGCATTTACTGTACCAGCCTTAAATCAAGAACATCCAGCTCAAAGATTTCAATGGAAAGTTCTCCCTCAGGAGATGTTAAATAGTCCAACTATATGCCAATTTTTTGTTAATCAGCCTCTGGAGGAATTACGTCACATGTATCCTGAGGCACGTATTCTTCATTATATGGATGACATTTTATTTGCTCATCCTCATCAACAAACATTACAGCAGATGTTACAACAAGCAGAGTTAAAATTTAAAGAATGGGGTTTACAGATAGCTCCTGAAAAAAATTCAAAAATGTGCTCCCTGACAATATCTCGGACAAATTGTAACCAATACTCAGATTATTCCTCAAAAAGTACAAATTAGACAAGATTCTCTTGTAACATTAAATAATTTTCAAAAATTATTAGGAGATATTAATTGGTTACATCCTAGGAATTCCTAGTAGGAATTCCTACTTATAAGTTACAAAATTTATTTCACACCTTAGAGGGCGATCCAACATTAAATAGTTACCGCAAACTTTCTCCCCAGGCTGAACAAGAACTTAAATGGATAGAAAAACATATACATGATGCACAACTGGATCGGATTGAGTCTCTGGATCATTTACGACTTATTGTATTTCATACTCCTCATTCTCCTACTGGTTTACTACAACAACAAGATCTCATAAAATGGATATTTTTAGCTCATAAAGCTCAAAAGAAATTGCAATCTTATGTACAAAAAATAGCTGATATTATTATTAAAGGTAGGTTACGATTAAGGCAACTATGTGGTCAGGACCCACATAAACTTATAGTCCCAACAAAAAAATACAAACTCTTTCAACTAGAGGATAACTGACAAGTTGCCTGTGCTCATTATATAGGTAAAATACATAATCATTATCCTTCTGATAAACGTTTACAGTTTTTGAAAAAGACTAATTGGATTTTGAAAAAAATAGTTCAATTAGATCCTGTTATAGGACCAACTTTTTTTACTGATGCCAATAAAACGGGAAAAACAGGATATGCTAACAGTCATGATCATAAGGTGTTACAATCTCCATGTTTCAATTCAAAAAACAGAACTATTTGCTATAATACTATTGTTATAAGATTATCCAATTGCTCTTAATATAACTACAGATTCTCAATATATGAAATTTACAGTTAAAAATATTAAAACCGCTTTTATCCCAGATAATGGATCAGAACCACATTCTTTATTTTTACAAATACAACATATAATTAGACTACGTACTACACCACTTTATATTACTCATATTCGTGCTCATACTCATTTACCCGGTCCATTGGTAGATGGAAATGATTTTATTGATACTTTAGTGAGTGCTATACAATTAGCTACAGCAGAACATCATAGATATCATACTAATGCCAGAGAATTAAAAAATAAATTTAATCTTACATGGAAACAAACAAAAACTATTCTCCGTACATGCCTGGAATGTGCTGCTATTAATCAACCTTATTTGAATACTGGAGTTAACCCTAAAGGCTTATCTGCTAATACTATCTGACAAATGGATGTAACTCAATATCGTGGTTTTGGAAAGTTAAAATATATTCATCATTCTGTAGATACCTACTCTCATTTCTCATGGGCAACTCCATTATCTTCTGAAAGCTGATGCTGTAATAACTCATTTATTAGAAGCTTTTGCTGTTATGGGAATTCCCGACAGCATAAAAACTGATAATGCTTCTGCATATTATTCTCAAAAATGTCAGACATTTTTGCCACACATAATATACAACATGTTACAGGTATCCCAGGAAACAGTACGGGACAAACGGTTATTGAACGACAAAACCACACTTTGAAAAAAATGCTTATAAAACAAAAAGGGGGAGATGAGGTACAAAGTCTTGCTTTATTTACTCTTAATTTTTTAAATCATGGAGAAGATGATCTTAGTGCAGCTGACAGACATTGGACAAAAACAAGTACACAAGAACTTAGACAGCCTGTTTTTATATTAAATGAAAATACTAACACTTGGGAACCTGGCGAGGTTCTTCGTTGGGGTCGAGGATATGCTTTTGTTTCTGCAGGAGCTAAATCCTATTGGGTGCCGGCTAAGATAAAGCTTCGGCATGGCAACTAAGCGTAGCCTTGATGTGACGGGAATGACAAAGGGATTTGCAGAGATGGATTTGAGCAAGAGAACACTCCGTGTGCCATTGGATCAAACAAAGAGGGCGTCTCAATTGACTTGGGGGCAAATGAAAAAGTTTGCAGGCACTGCTGAGAATCTTGTCATTTCACAGGGTAAACCCCTCACTAGCACCAGTCTTTTTATGGCCATGATGGCAATGTTGTCTGCACAGGTAATAAGCATATCAGCCAATGAGATAAATTGTACTAACCATACTTATTGGACTTATATTCCTAACCTGCCTCTTAATATGGGGGTTACCTGGTGGGATGCCCCAATTCTTGTATATGTCAATGAGTCTGGATGGTTGCCTGGTCCTTTTGATGATAGAGGCACTTTGAAGCCAAAAGAAGAAGGAAGGATAATAGAAAATTACACTGTGGGTGTTAACGGACCTCCTATTTATATGGGAAAAGGAGATCATTGCCTTAAAATGAATTATCAGGCATGGTTAAGTGTTGTCAAAAATAAAAGCAGATATCATGGGTTATATCTTTCAAGTGCTTATAGTTTTAAAAGTTTTAATTCCACTCTTAATGAAAATGTTTCTGCACCTTATTTGCCTCCATGCCAGGTGCCTCTTGTGGGTCGATTATCGGATTGGGTCCACTGGACTCAATGCCGAGGAGAAATGGCTCAGGTTCTTGTTAATACTTCTAGGGGAAGCGTCATTGATTGGAGCCCTTTTGGCTCCGCCCGAGGAAAAAAGGGTTTGAAGGATTTATACTGGCATAAAGAAGATAACACTATTTATAGCGATACTATTAATGATACCATAGTATGACATCCTGGAGGGTTTTCTCCTCCTGGTCCTCATTTAAATGGATATCCTATCCAAAAGGACTCGTGGAAGCTTATGGCAGCTCTGAGAAAGATTAATGCCTGGGTAGGACATATGGTTAATAAATCTGAAAATCATAGTTTGATTTTTCATAAAGATGTTACTCGGTATACTCGTAGTTGTGTGAAATTACCTTATATATTGTTAAAGGGACCAGCTGTATGGAATGAGACTCAAGGTATTATAATGTGTAAAAATTGCTCTCTGTATACCTGTATTAACTCTAGTATATCTTTTAACATATATACTGAAAGTTTGTATATCTTAGGAGCTCGGACAGGTCTTTGGCTTCCTGTCAATCTTGGAAGGGAATGGCAAAAATCTCTTCCTATGGCTGTTTTGCAATATTTAGTTGATGCATTAAAAAGAAGTAAAAGATCTGTAGGAATGTTGATTGCAGCTGTCATGGGTATTATAGCCATGACAGCTTCTACTGGAGGATTGTTAATGCTCATTATAATAATAATCATATGTTTAATTGTAGTTCGACAACGAGTGAAAGCTACCCGCCATGCAACATCGCAACAAGCTGCTGTGTTTTCCTTGATGCTGCACAAGCTGCAAAATAATTCCATGTAGTTTAGTACCGAGAGTAATGCTGCCGTGTTCTCCTTGATGCTACAAAAATTATAAAACAAAAAGGGGGAAATGTAGTGGGATAACTGAGGACATGGAAAGGAGACATGACCCATAAGCCGCCCCCCCCCAGCAAACTGAGGGCCGGCGAATAAGCCAGAACTGCAAACAGTCCTGATTGCTTTGAGCCGCGCGCCCCGCCCCCCCGCCCCCCCACCCCGGCAAACCGGGGGCATGCAAATAAGCCAGAGTTGTGAACAGTTCTGAATGCTTCGAGCGCGCCTCCGGCAAACCGGGTGCCTGCAAAAGAAGCATTGAGTGCTTTGGGCACTGATCCATGAGATGTCCTCAGTATAATCAGAGTGGTGGGAACGCAAGGATATGTCCTTGTGCTACTTCAGTATAATCAAAATAATGGTGGGAACTTTGTGCTGTTCTTGCGCTCAAGGACGAAGCACGGCAGGTGCTCACGAAAGCCAATTATTGCTTGTATAATTAATAAAAACATAGGTTGCTGCTTTGGCACTTCTGAAATGTTAAGAAAACAAGTCTTAAAGTGTAAATCTAGATAATGCTTTAATAAAAGTTACCACAGCAAGACAGACGGCGCTGTTTTGCCTGAGCGAGCGGCAGCCCTCTCCTGCTGTGCTTTGGCACAATTCATCTCCTGTGATGAGCTTACTTTCGGCCCTGTCCTAAGAAACTACAACACCCTTCCCGCTTCCATTCCTTTCTCTTGTTCCTTTATGTATGCGGTCAGTTACATTACTAAGCTAACAATGTAACTGAGCTATTATTAGCTTAATAATGTAAACAAGAATCTGATTTTTAGCAAGGTGGTAGTTCTTAGAAACTTAGGGAGCTGGAACTCTGAATGTATGAATTAAAATAATGCAATTACATCATGAATTTTAAAATTTATCATCATTGATTAAAAATTAAAATATTAAATTAAAAATTTATTATCCCACAATGGAGACTCACCACAACGTGTGACGTCTGTCAGGCATCCACTATCACAACGCAGCCTGACTGTCTTTCAGACAACCTCAATAATATTTTTAAATTAGTAGAGGCAGCAGGCCATACGGCTAGGTAAGAACCTATAAATGGAAACACAGGTAATTAAATTCGTGGTAAAAGAGTTACTTGGGTAGGTAGAAGAGGTCGGCCAAGACCACCACAGACCAGTGCAAAAAGGAGTTCTTGGGGCATATGGACTGCAGAACTGGATAGGGGCCGGTTGGCCAATTGCTGCTCCTGACTGTTGTAAATAAATATAGAGGAGGAGAGAGGTGCCCAACAGAAGGACTAAGATGGTAGTACATATAGTATGCCTAGAAAAAAGGGAATAGGGATTAGAATTGGGTGACACTGATCTGTAGTTTAAATCCAAAGTATTTCCTTCCAACCTAAAAGCCTCACTTTGGGTTGAGAGTACGCAGGAAGAAGGCAGACTTCTAAGAAGAGTCTGAATACGACCGTTCCTTTTGGAATCCCTTTCTCAGTTCCTATTTGTGAGTAGTAATATATTAGAAATTGTTCTAGTAATAAAACAGCATCGTGTGGTTAAACAATAACAGAGGTCACTTTGGCCAAATCTGGACAAAAGGAACATTCCAAAGAATAACATTATCATTATAATAAGTTATAATATAGTTAATTAAAAAAAAGCACATGAGTTCATAATCATACTCAAAATGAAAGTGGGGGGTGCTCTTCTTTATAAAATAATGTCAGCTAATAAATGCAAAAGGAATGATAGAATTTGAAAGTGTCATTTTGCATCTAATAATGTAATAATCGATTCAGACAAGGATTATGATTGATGCACAGCTGGGTGAAGAGTTGTTTGAAAGTAGGATCTTCAGTGATCCCAAAGTATCATGCCACATATTATTTTTCAATTACCAAGGGGAAAAATAACTTTACAATGGAGAGATATGGAAGATACCACCTTAATCAAGTGATCAAACTTAGCACTGGGCCACCTGAAGTGATGAAGTATGAAGACTACATCACCTATATAGTATTTTTCCCCAAAAAGTTTACTTTGAATCTAATGAGGAAACGGACAAATCCAGATTTCGGGGCAATTTACAAGACAACTGGCTTAGACTCTTCAAGAATGCCAATGTCATAAAAGACCAAGAAAAAAAATAGCAGGGAAATATTGTAGATTAAAGGAAACAAAGACAAGACATGAAATGCCTAATCTTATTTGGATCCTGTTTCAAAGCAAAACACACTTAAAGAACATTATTGGATTCTTGCCAAGAAGAAGTAACAAGGACCAATTTAACCTTGCACCTGAAGCAATGAAAAAATAAGACAACATATGATAACACAGTTTTCAAGAAACTGGACCTCAGGCAATAAAGTTCAGTAATCCCCATGAGATGGGAAATAAATGAAGTGATCCCTATAATTGCCCTAATTTACTTCTCTGAGAGAGTTTCCAGGTCACGGTACAGGGAAGAGAAGTCCAAGCAGAGATGGGTGGACACCCTGACTGAGGAAATGGACCTGAGATTCTGGGAAAACCAAGGTAACTAGAGTTCAAAAAGCAGAGTATCAGAGACAAAAGAAGTGCACAGTCAAAGAACTCTGGAGATATGCAGAGGGATCTCTTGAGAGTTCAACAAAGTATTTGTCAGTACATTTGTGTGAGGAATTACTTGAGGCCAGGAAAAGAACCATATGAAAGGATTAATAATAAGAATAACTGGATATCACACAGGGTTGTAGGAATAGTACCTGTTCTTACAAGTCAGACTGGAAAACCTCATGATACTCAGAAAGGACTTGTCTCAGTAGTTGCAAATAATGAGCTCCAGACTAAAGGGTACTTGGACTCCTACCCAACGAATCTTAAAATCTAGACCTAAAAGAATAAAATTGTTTTGAGTAACTTAATTTCACCTAAAACAAATCCCAAGCATTTTACAGGAATATAAATATATATAGCACACAATAAACTAAAACTCACAATATCCGGGATCATATGAAAAATTGCCAGCCATGCAAAGAAGTAGGAAAATATGACCCATAGTGAGGAGAAAAGGCAATCAATCAAAACTAACCCATAATCTATACAGATGTTAGAATTGGCAGAGAAGAACATTTAAAATGTTATTATACCTGAAGTAAAGTTATTATAACTGTATTTCATATGTTAAAAAACATAGACTAAAAACTGAAAATGTTAAATAAGTACAGGCATGGAAAAGGTAAAAGATACCAAAATTAAGCTTCTAGCGATTAAAAACAATGTCTAAATTAAAAATATATTGAACGAGGTTGATGGCTGATTAGACACTGCAGAAGAAAGGGTCACTGAACATTAAGGCATAGTAATAGAAACTATCCAAAATGAAACAAAAACAGTAACAAAACTAAACACCAACAAAACTGAATAAAGCATCAGTGAGCTGTGGAACAACTTCAAGTGGCCTAATACATGTGTACTTAGAGTCCATGAAGGAGAGGAGAAATGCAAAAATTTGAAGAAATAATAGCCAAAATTTTTCCAAATTGGTAAACACTATAAAGCCTCAAAGTCAAGAAGATCAATGAACTTTAAGCATAAGAAACATGGACAAAACTACACCAAGGCACAAAAAATAATCAAATTGCTCAAAACCAGCAATAAAGAGAAAAATTTAAAAGCAGCCAGAGGAAAAAACTATACACTACATACAGAGGAAGAAAGAAAACAATGACAGCAGAATTTTTGTTGGAAACAATGTAAATGAGAACACAGTGAAATAACATCTTTAAAGTAGTGAATTGAATTCTATCAAGCTAGAATTCTATACCCAAATCTGTCAAAACAAAAGCAAAATAAAGACTATCGCAGACATACAAAAGCTGAAAGAATTCATTACTAGTAGACTTTCACTTTAAGAAATGTTAAAAGAAGTATTTTCAAGCAGAAGGAAAATGACACCAGATTGGAATATGGATCTACACAAAAGATTAAGAATACAGGAATAGGGACTTCACTGGTTGTTCAGTGTTTAAAAATCTGCCTGCCAATGCAGGGGTCAAGGGTTCAATCCCTGTTCCGGGAATATCCCACATGCCATGGAGCAACTAAGCCTGTATGTCACAACTACTGAGCCTGCACTCTAGAGCCTGTGTGCCACAATTACTGAAGCCCATGCACCTAGAGTCTGTGCTCTGCAACAAGAGAAGACATCCAGTGAGAAGCCAGTGCACTGCAACGAAGAGTAGGCCCTGCTCGCTGCAACTGGAGAAAGCCCCGGCAAAGCAAAAAAGACCCAACGCAGCAAAAAAATAAATTAAAAAAATACTTAAAAATTTTTTAACAGGATTTTAGTCATTCAATATATGTCTCTGAACACAATGGAAATAAATTAGAAATTAACAAATCTGAAAAAGCTCCAAATATTTGGAAACTAAACAACACACTTTTGAGTAAATTGTGGTCAAAGAAGAAATCAAAGGGGAAATCAGAAACTATTTTGAACTCACTGAAACTGAAAACATAATATGTCAACATGTGGGATATTGCTAAATCTGTACTCAGCTTCCTCAACTTCCACCTTAATCTGGGAAAACGAGAGCAAATTAATCACAGAGTAAGAGAAGGAAGAACACAATAAAGATCAAAGTAGAAATAAATAAAATGGAAAACAGAAAAATACTATAGATATTAAAAGGATAATAAGAGAATATATAGAATAAACCAATAAATTCAAGATGAAATGGACAAACTCCTTGAAAGACAAGCACTACTAAAGTTTATTCAAGAATATAAATATTAGGGCTTCCCTGGTGGCACAGTGTTTGAGAGTCCGCCTGCCGATGCAGGGGACACGGGTTCGTGCTCCGGTCTGTGAAGATCCCACATGCCGCACAGTGGCTAGGCCCGTAAGCCATGGCCGATGAGCCTGCGCGTCCGGAGCCTGTGCTCTGCAACGGGAGAGGCCACAACAGTGAGAGGCCCGCAAAAAAAAAAAAAAAAAAAAGAATACAGCTATTAAAGAAATTGGATGTGCAGTTTAAAACCTTCCAACAAAGAAAGCTTCAAATCCAAGTGGCTTAACTGATAAATTCTACCGAACATTTAAGGAATAAAATAATGTCAATTCTACACAAACTCTACCAGAAAGTTGAAGAGAAGGGAATATTTCCCAACTTATTTATAAGGCCAACTTTCACCGTATCAAAAATAGACAATAACATTACAAGAAAACTATAGACCAATATCTCTCATGAACACAGAGGCAAAAAGTTTTAACAAAATTTTAACATATCAAATGCAGTATTGTATAAAAAGATGATACATCATGACCAACTGGGTTTATCTCAAGAATGAAAGGTTGGTTTAATATTTGAAAATCAATTTACCCAACTTAGTACACTAAAAAAGAAAAATCAGGACATCTCTGGTGGGGTAGTGGTTAAGAATCCACCTGCCAGTGCAGGGGACATGGGTTTCAGCCCTGGTCCGGGAAGATCCCACATGCCACGGAGCAACTAAGCCCGTGCACCACAACTAATGAACCTACGCTCTAGAGCCTGTGAGCCACAACTACTGAAGCCCGTTCACCTAGAGACTGTGCCCTGCAACAACGGAAGCCACCGCAATGAGAAGCCTGCATACTGCAACGAAGTTTAGTCCCTGCTCGCCACAACTAGAGAAAGCCTGCGTGCAGCAATGAAGACCTAAAGCAGCCAAAAAAAAATAAACAAATTAAGAAAAGAAAAGAAGGGAAAAATCACATAATCATTGCAATAGATGCAGGAAAAGAATGAAATAATCTAACATTCATTCCTGATTAAAGAAAATAACAGCCCTCAGTACACTAGGAATGGAAGGAGACTTCCTCAACTTGATAAATGACTTCTACAAAAAACTTAACATCATATTTAATGCTGAAGGACAAAGTACTTTCTCTCCAGAATCACGACAAAAGCAAGGATGTCTACTCCCAATACTTCTATTTGACATTGCACTGAAGGTTCTGGCCAGTGCAATAGGGAAACAAAAAAAAGAGATATTCAGAATGGAAAGGAAGAAGTAAAACGATCTTTATTTGCAGATAACGTGATTATGTAGAAAACCTGATAGAATCTATAAAATGCTACTGGAACTAATAAATGAGTTTATCAAGTTTGCAGGGTACAAGATCAACATTCAAAAAGATTAATTTATCTCAACAAACAATCAGAGATCAAAGTTTTAAAATACTACTTATAATAGAATCAAACATATAAAATACTTAGAATAAATCTGATAAAATATGTAAAAGACTTGCACAGTGAAAACTGTAAAATATTGCTGGGGGAAATTAAAGAAGACCTAAATAAATGGAGAGATATAATGTATTCATGGATCTGAAGATTCAATATTGATAAGATATCAATTCTCCCCAAATTGATTTGTAGATCAAAATCCCAGTAGGCTTTTCTATAGAAATAGACAAGCTAATTCTAAATTTTATATGGAAATAAAATTTAGAATAACTAAAACAACATTGAAAAAGAACAAAGTTGAAGAACTAACAGTAACTGATTTCAAGGCTTATGAAGCTACACTTTCAAGACATTGTGATAGTAGCGTAAAGATACACAAAAAATCAAAAGAACAAAATAGAAAGTTCGGAGACGTGGACAACTGACTTTCACGTTCAAAGGCATTTGAGAGGAGAAACGATAGTCTTTTCAGCAAATGATGCTGGAACAATTGAATATCCAGGTGCAAAAACCAAAAACCAAAAACAAAAAAAAAAAAAAAAAAAAAGAACTTCCATCCAAACCATATACAGAAATGAACTGAAACTGGTTCAAAGATCTAAATGTAAAATATAAAAGTATAAAACTTCTAGAGAAAAACAAGTGAAAAATTTTATGACCTTGACTTACGCATGATTTCTTAGATACAACACCAAAAGCATAATCCATAAAAGAAAAACATAGATAAATTAGCCACCATCAAAATTAAGAATTTCTGCCTTGCAAAAGACACTACGGAGAGAATGAAAAGATGAGTCCCAGAATGGGAGAAAATACTTAGCAACTTACACATTGGATAAAGGACTAATTTCAAGAATATATAAAGAACTCTCAAAACTCCAGGAAAATATAGATAAAAGATTCAAAGATATACATATGGAAAATAAGCATATGAAAAGATGTTTGACAAGATTAATCATTAGGGATGCTAGAGTGAGAAAAAAGTACATACCTATTAAACTATCTAAAATTAAAAATATTGGGCATAGCAAGTGTTGGCCGCAACGTGAAGAAGATGCAACTCTCATACACTGCTGGTAAGAGATGTAAAATGATCAAACCACTATGGAAAATAGGTATTTTTTAAAAACTTAAACATACACTTACCAGTGATCCAGCCAATCTACTTGCAGGTATTTACACAAGAGAAATGGAAGTATACATCCATACAAAGACTTATACACAAATATTCATAGCAACTTTATCTGTAATAGACAAAGACTGAAACAACTCACATGTCCATCAATGGTGAACAGATAAATTGGGGTACATCCGTATAATGGAATAATATTCAACAACAAACAGAAATGAATTACTGATAAATACAAAAATATGGATGAAGATTAAAATAATCATGCTGAGCTTAGAAGCCAGTTAGAAAAAAGTATACACTGCATGATTTCATTTACATAAAATTCTAGAAAATTAAAACAGAAAGCACATCAATGGTTGCATGGCGATTGGAAAGGGCAAGGAACAATGGGAAGCAATAATTACGAAGAAACGTTAAGAAACTTTCTGAGGTGATGGACATTTTGATTTTGCTGATGTCTTCATGGTGTGTATGTATGTGTGTGTGTGAACACAGATTACTGTATGTCAATTATACCTCAAAAAGCTGTTAAAAGACATGATATCATATGAGAGAGACACTTGGGGAAAATTGAACAGCAACTCTTTATTAGGTAATATTATTGTGCAGGAATTTAATTTCTTCAATACTGTGTGTTAACAGTATTGTAGTTACATAGGGAAATAATTTTTTTTTTTTTTGCGGTACACAGGCCTCTCACTGCTGTGGCCTCTCCCATTGCAGACCGCAGGCTCTGGACGCGCAGGCTCAGCGGCCATGGCTCACGGGCCCAGCCGCTCCGCGGCATGTGGGATCTTCCCGGACCCGGGCACAAACCCTCGTCTCCTGCATCGGCAGGTGGACTCTCAACCACTGTGCCACCAGGGAAGCCCCGGGAAATAATTTTTAATATCCAGAGAGGAGGACACCTAGGTGACAAGAGAGGGATCACAATTGTGGCAGATGCTGTTGGAGGCTGAAGAAGATGAGGCTAGAGCAGTGACCAATGTGTGATGGCGTGGTGAAGACACTCATTTGTCAGCTGACCTGACAAAGACGGTTGGAACAGACTGCTAAATGCAGGGTTCTTTCTGCATACTAATCTCATGCAATCCCCTCACCTAGCCTTGGCATAACAGAAACTTTCTATTAGCTTGCCATACTGGAGGGGGGATGGCGCAGTTTAAGGTGCAGTAAGTTGTGTAATAAACTGTCACCATAGGGTTCTACATAAATAGTTTTTTTTAAATGGCAAAAAAAAGAAACTTGACCCTTCCCTCAAAACATATATGAAAATTAACTCAAAATGAATCATAGACCTAAATGGAACTATACAACTTCCGGAAGAAAACACAGGAGAAAATCTTTGTGATTTTGGTTTACACAATGGGGTCTCAGAAAAAGATTTCTTAGATAAGACACAAAAGCACAAACCATCTAAGAAAAATTGCTAAGGAACTTCCCTCGTGGTTAAGACTCCAAGTTTCCAAAGCAGGGAGCCCGGGTTCGATCCCTGGTCAGGGAACTAGATCCCACATGCATGCTGCAACTAAGAGTTCGCATGCCACAACTAAGAAGCCCATGAACTGCAACTAAGGAGTCCATCTGCTGCAACTAAGACCCAGCACAACCAAATAAATAAATTAAATAAATATGAAAAAAATTGCTAAATTAGAGTTCATCAAACATTTAAAACTTCTAGTCTTCAGAGACATTTTAATACAATGAAGATAAGTCATAATCTGGGAGAAGATATTTACTAAACACATCTGAGAGAAAGGACTTTTTCCATTGCTTTTTATATAAAGCACTCTTAAAACTCAATATAAATATCCAATTAAAAAATGTATTTTAACAGACACTTCATTTAAAAAGATGTTTGCACATGAATAGACACTCAACATCATCAGCTATTACAGAAATGCAAAATGTGGCACAAACCACGAGATGGAACTATACACCTACTAGAAAGGCTAAACTTTTTTAAAAAACAAATATAATGATCAGGTGACAATGTGGAGAAACTGCAACTCTCATAGACTGCTAGTGGGAAAGCAAAATGGCACAGGCACTTTAGAAAAAAGTTTAGCAGTTTCTTAAAAAGTTAAATATGCACTTAGCATACGGTGAAGCAATCCCACACTTAGGTATTTTACCCCAAAGAAATGAAAACATATGCTCGCACAATACATATGTTCACACACACATGTGCGTGTTTTCAGAGGCTTTCTTTATAATAGCCAAAAACCTACAAACAACTCAAATGTTCATCAAATAATGAATGCATAAACAAATGTGTATCCACATAACTAGAATACTACTCAGCAATAAAAAGGAATGAAATACTGACAGGTGCAACAAAACAGATGAATTTCCAAAGAGACTGGCTAAGTGAAAAAGCCAAAAACAAAAAGCTACATTCCACATGATTTCATTTATTAGATATTCTGGAAAAGGCAACATTATACAGACAAAAATCAGATTGGTGGTTGCCAAGGGGTGGTAGTGGGAGGAGGATGGATTGACTAGAAAGGGACATAAGGGGTCTTCTGAGAGTGCAGAAGTTTTCTTTACCTCAAATGCGGTGGTGGCTACAGAACTATACGTTTGTCAAAACACATCACACTGTACGTTTAAAAATAGTAAATTTTGTTAAATGAAAATTGTACATAAATAAATCTGACTTAAGAAAATAATAAAAGAAAACTAAAAAAAACGAATTGAGTGAAAATAAATGTCAGAAAAATCAACTTACTGTTTTTCCAATTCAAGGGTCATCATGAGGATGCTTTCAATTGTTGTAAGTGACACTTGTGTTGTTCCCATGTCTCTGAAGGAGAAGCCCAAACATGCTTGATATAAAACCCAAAGACAAAAATTGTAAACTTAAAAAGATACTTAACATGTGATTACTTCAATTCTGGCTTCTGACTTGCCATAGATGATAATTCCAAAGAGCTCTTATTCAAGAAATTTAAATTTGCATCATCAAATGAATGACCTTGGTGCTGAACAGCAGAATCATTTTTTATTATCCGAACTTCTCATTTTCAATTGCATCTACCTCTTTGATCACTCTTTTTAAAAAATAATGTACCCCTTATTCCTTTTGGCTTTCTGGGATAAATAATATTCCTACACGCATCTACATCTTCATAACTATATGTGTTCTTCAACACTGTCCTCATTCTCTGCTGGCTGTCTTACCCGTATATGTTCTTTCTTAATCCTTTTGTTTGCCAGTAACTCTTATTTTCAATAACCCAGTTAAAATCTAAATTATGACATTTCAGCCAAAGTACTCAGTCTTTGACGAAAGCAAAAAAGAGCACAAATTATTTCATGAGCCATGAAACTGTTGCAATACTTACAAATATTTTAATGCTGGCAATTTAAAAAGATAAGAATCTTCAACTGTGGTCAAAGGATTACGATTGAGAATTCTGAAAAATGGAATGGAATTAAAATTATCTGCATTTTCATTTACTTCCATGAAAGCTTATATTCATTTATTTTGGTATGGAACTTGAAGGTTAAAAAAATCATTTTCTGTCTTTACCTCTAAATCACCCTTAGAATCTGTAAAACACCCTTTCATTGGGAAGGACCCAGGTCTCCAGATGATAAAGTGGAAAAGAGAAACAAACAAACAAAAATTAGAAAAAAAGTGGCTAGCAAAGAAAAAATATGCCAAAGAACGTTTCAGGTTCAAAACCCTCGAAGTGACTGCTGGTAGGAAGCTCTTGCTCTGTAAAAAAGTACTATTTCTAGTGTCCTCCATAATTCAAGGGGTTTTTCTTTCATCCCTACAAATTTTTTTAAATTTCATGATTTAAACTACCCAGTTAAAGACAAAAATAGGACTAATTCCTTGGTTCTGGAGCCAAAGAAGCAGAGATAAATCCAGGAGGAACTGGTAAAAGCCATACTCCCATCACATAGTTCCACGTGTATCCTTGTACCATACCCTTTGTTACTGTGTATGTAATCACCTGTTTACTTGTCAGTCTCCTAGATTGTCAGCAACTTGAAAGCAGGGACCACACATTATTCTCATTATTATTCCTGTGCCTGACATAGTGGCTAATATTTACCAGGTATTTAATAAATGTTTGCTGAATAAATAAATAACATTTTGTTTATATATCAATAAATTAAACAAATTAATTTTGGGGAACAAAATTGTATTCCAAAATGCTGGAATACATTTTCTTCTTAGTTCTTTCTTTCTTTCTTTTTTTTTTCTTCGTAGTTCTTTACAACAAATACGGGGGGGAAAAGAAAACAGAAACAGGAAGAAAGAAAAGAATATCTGACTTTAGGTTAACATTACTCAAGAATTATTAGCATATTTGTGCACAATATTATAAAGATAATTATCAAAACTAATATATTTTGGGTTGCCAGGCATCTGTGATCAGCATTTAACAGTTAATCCTCACAGTAACCTTATGTGATAGATATATTACCCCATTGAACAAATGAGGAAACTGAGGCACAGAGAAGTTACATAACTTGTCCTAAGTCATCAAGCTAGTAAGAAGCAGAGCTGGAATTTGAACTCAGTTCTGACGCTAAAGCCTGTGTTTAACCTGAATGAAAAAAAAGGGGGGGGGTGTTAATACATCTGTTACTTGAACCTTAACTTTGAGAGCACTAAATATATAAATACCATTTCAAACTTCATCTACCCATCTGGGAAAGCCTCTATGAGAATTATATTTTCTCTTTTTATTTATTATTTCTCCTTTAATTTATTTTTTCCTTAATCATCTCCCATCATAAATATTTAATTAGCCTATGGTCATTGAGACTTTAGAGATTTTAAAAAATATTGCACTAAAATCAGTAAAAATGATGGAGGAAAGACATCAGAAAATTCATCCCTCCATAGAAGCCACAATACCAATAACAACAAAAACAACAACAAAACTGGCAAAAATCAGAATCAACTTCTGAACTCTGGAAATTTAACCAACAGGCTTGCAGCACATGGGGGAGAAATTTCTTCAAGGAAAACAAATTAATTTCGGTAAAAACAATGAGATCTGTGTTGCTTTAACTTGTTCTTGACCTTTGCTCTCCATACCAGTGGTAGCCTTGGAAAAACAGCCCACATCCCTGGTACCAGAAGGAGCAGCATGGACTGGGAGGGCTTTCAAAGCCTCATTCCCAAAGAACTGTCATTGTTTTACATGTCTGGTGGTCCCCTGGAAGACCTCACTTGCAAGGCTTTCCTTTGACCTGATGGAGAGCTGTCTGGTGAGAAAAGCCGCTCCTCAGGTGGCATTTCTGGAAAACATTTTCAAGCAAATATTTTAACATGGCGGTTGCATGAGGCAATGGATAACAGTTTGGGGCAAAAAACAGCCCAACCGAGAAGCTTAAAGAGAAAAGCTGAGGAATGAGATGTCCATGGAGACTTTGAAATGTTCCAATGTATTCCTGGGAAACTGGAAGACCACAAGACATATTCCTGGGAATCTAGGAAAATAACTGTTAGCATTCATAAATGAGTTCAGCAAGGTTGTAGGATATAAGATCAATATTATTTCTACACACCAGCAATGAGTAATCCAAAAATGAAATTAAGAAAACAATTCCATGTGTAACAGCATCAAAACAAGTAAAATACTTAGGGTAAAATTTAACCAAGTAAGGGCAAGATTCACTCTGAAATGTACAAAACTGTTGAAAGAAATTGAAGAAGATCTAAATAAATATAAAGGCATACTGGATTCATGGACTGGAAGATAACCTTATTAAAATGTCACTATTTCCCAAATCGACCTATGGTTCCATTGCAATTCCTATCAAAATCCCAGCTGACTTCTTTACAGAAACTGCCAAGCTAATTCTAAAATTCATATGGCAATTCAAGGAAACAGAATAACCAAAACAATGTTGGTAAAGAACAAGTGGGAGGACTCAAACATCCTGGTTTCAAAACTCAGTTCAAAACTACTGCAATCACAGTGTGGTACTGGAATAAGAACAGACATGTAAATCAATGGAACACAATTGGCAGTATAGAAATAAACTCTCATATGTATGGTCTATTGATTTTCAACAAGCGTGCCAAAACAATTCAATGTGGAAAGAACAGTCTTTTCAAATAATGCTGGGACAACAGTACATCCACACACAAAATAATGAAGCTGGACTCCTACACTTCACACCATATGTGAAAATCAACTGAAAATGGATCAAATATCCAAATGTAAGAGCTAAAGCTATAAAACTCTTAGAAGAAAACACAGGAGTAAATCTTTATGACCTTGAATTACACAATAGTTTCTTAGATATGATACCAGAAGCACAAACAACCAATGGAAATATAGATGAATGGGATTTTATAAAAACTGCAAAAGTTTGTCCTTCAAAGGACACTATCAGGAAAGTGAATAAACATATACAATGGGAGAAAATACTACAGGTGGGAAGAATAAGATGCAGTTGGGAGAAGAAAAGTATGGTAGTTTCTAGGTGTGACAATCTCAAAATTTTGAACTATTACAAATAAAACAGCCACCCTGAATCACGGCAAAGGGCAGACCCAAGTTATTTTTGTTTTTAATGTTTATGCCTTTCTAAATCTGAGAAGCTGCCAGGATTCTAGTACATAGCAAAAAGTGATGACAGCACACTGAAGTGTGTAAGCTTTTGTGTGTACATAGCTATCTAAAGGAAACCAATACTAGTTGTTGGGGGGAGCATTAGGGCGGCTCTGTGACCGCAGCTCAATTTGCCTTCATAGTGTGGCCACACCTCCCTCATTGATATTCTCAACAACGGGGTAAATAATTTAATAGGGATAAGGCTTTGATTTTCCTCTTATTCTCTCTTAGTGCTTATGTTCTAGGTACAATATTGATGTACCAAAGAAAAGGAAGCATGTGAATGTGCTCTGTCTGGTTAAGTTATATAGCCTTTCTACATTGTAGAGTCCTTCAGTTTCTAAAATCATGGAGCTTGTATTGTTAGAACCAATGAAGTGACTAAAAGAATTTTAAAAAATAAGTCATCAGTCGGGACCTGCATAGGTGAATGAAGGAGAAACAATTTATAGTCAGAAAAAAAAGTAAAGTTAACATTTAGGATTATCAACCACTGCTGGTTTTCCATAATATATTTCATTCCTGATTTTATCAGAAAGAGATATGATTACTACCACCATTCAAAAAGTGGTACTTTATTAATTAATAAGCTCTTGGCTCATCTTTGAGGTAGATTTCGGATTTAAAATAGACTACTATACTGCTAACTACTTCACCTGATGTTTGTCAATACCATAGAGGCTTGATTCTAGAAACCTACAGACTTATAATTACCTGAAAACTGGTGATGAATCAAGGTTTTGTGAGGCCTGAAGCTCATCTACTTTGGGAAATCCTATCTAATAAAAACATGCAAAGTTATGAATACAAAAATTGCTAGGGCCCCGCTCAATATCTTGGAAGGAACCTATGCAAGTGAGGAGCCCTGAAGCCTAAGCCTCATTGTATTCATGATAAATCCACCTCATCTGGGGCCCTTTTTCAAACTTATTTAATACAGGCAACTTATAAACACCCCAGTAATATGTCATAATAGGTAGTAAAATGACTTAACTCGAGGGTGGCATCTTCCTTTGGTGGCTTCCCTTTGGAAAGAGATGCAATAAAGTTTATATATCACTATGGCAAATATTTCCTGAAGCAAATTACCTTTGCCTATTAGAAAGAGTTAGCCCAAAACAAAGACTTACTATACTGTGACAATCTTTTGAAAGTAACTGTGAACGAGTTTTAGGAGTACAGTACTAATTTATTTCCAACACCAGATAGGTCTGATTCTTTCACTAACTTTTTCTGTCATTTAAGAGGAACACAAATTCAAAAGGAACAAGTTCCTGCCTCTTCCATTACAAATCTTTTCTAAAATACCACCCATTTTCTACTTCACCACCCCCCTCCCTCACCTTGTTACCCCACTGCATAGATGCTAGAATGGCTCTCATATACGTTTTCCCATCAACATCCATCTTTCGCCTCCCAGTATGAAAGCTTCTTGGGGACAAAGTCCCTGGAGTATGCATGTTTGTATCCGCAGCACTTAGGACAGTGCTGACACACAGTGGGCATGGCACTCAGTGAATGTTTTCTGAATGATTTCATTAATTTTTAAACTGTGATTGATTGATTGATTTTTTTATTTCCACAATGTATTTTCCCGTGTTGCCTACATAACTATAGTGAAACTGATTCTTATAAGGAAGTCTTGATGTTATAGGTGGTGAGGTTATGACGTTATATTGACGCTACTAAAACCTCCTGGTGAAGGGACCCCATCAGCCTGCTCCCCTGTGTGCTGCCAAAAGAAAAACTGACCCTTGGTACTCTCTCCCCAAGGTAGGTATCAGCAAAGTAACAAGGGAAAGGAAGGAGGGAGCTAAAGATAGGCATCTGCAGGAATTGCTAATCCAGCTCCAGACACAGCCTCAACACCTTCATTAACCCAAAATGTGTGAACTGTGTGAAACTGGATTTCTGACCCACAAGACAGGTAAGAGAGTCTTTTCCAAAGTCAGGTGTAGAAGAGCTCTTTTCCTTGAGTCTAAAATCAACTTCGGGCCATTGAAAGTACCCACTATCAATTTCCCTGTGTCAAGAGAAATCACAGAATTTTTGAAATGAAGGGGTGTAAAACCCACACTTCTTATTGAAGAGTAGGCAGCAAAGAAAGTATATTGAATTAGGCTACAGCAATGTATTTTCTTCATATTTTTCACACTATAGCTGAACACAATGTCTTTTCCCATACTACAAACGTGCCTATTGACCACAGATAATTCACTTCAGAGATATATGCTTTTTGAAAAATAATGTTCTGGGTGGCTGGAGAGAGCCTGTGGTGGGTGTTCAGGAATTCTTTCTGCTTTACCATTTAAAAGAGCTAATAATGGTTGGAGAAGCACCCACACCTTTTGCTCCCTGAAGAATTCGGTGCTATAGTTAGTTCTTTGCAGCTCTGTGTTGCATACATTTTAAGCAGTTAGGAATTTTGCAAATGAGCAGGAATCAAAGTTAAATTCAAAAGTGGAACTTCATCGACCATTCGCATATTGGAGAGGCATCAGTTGGATTCCATGACAATGCTAATTTGAGTGTTTTTGCTTGGTGCCTTTTATTGCCTGTACCAAAGATCAGTACTATGGAAAGCAGGGTGTTTCATATATATGAGTTAAACAAGTCTCTTGGCCTCTTTGTACCTTAGTTTCCTAATTTTAAAGGAAAATAAATTGCTCTCAAGACATACTTTCCAGAATTCATACTGAGCTTACACCAGCTAACCAATAACTGCATGATTTTTTCACACAGTGTTTTTTACATGCATTCATCTTCTATTTCACTTACAACTTGTATAATACCAGCATTCCATGCCAGAACTTTCCAAATCTAAGTTCTGTGAGTAAATTGCAACCAAGATTTCTACAAAAAAAGACACCAGCAAAAGAAGAAGAAAAATATGTATTCTTTCAGAATATTTTTCCTTTGGCAAATATTCTAATTTATATATGATGAAACATAACATCAGTACTCCCTCCATACACTAAAGTAGTCTCACTGTGGAAGACATTATGATTTATACTTTCATGATTATATATGGGGTGCATTAGATACAAACTAGTAAATGCTCATTAAATACTTGTGTTAAGTGATCCTTATATCTCTAGAAAGGCAGCACTATTAACATTTTGGGCTGGATAATTCTTTGCTGTCGGAGGCTTTCCTGTACACTGTTGGATGTTTGTAGTATCTCTGGCCTCTGTCCACTAGATGCCAGTAGCATATACAGTTCTGACAAGCAAAAATGTCTCCAGACACTACCAAATGTCACCTATGTGCCAAATCACCCTGGTTGAGAACCACTGCTCTATAATTATTCACTCTGATCTGTGTAATATTTCTCACACTAACCTTTGCTAGAGACAAAAAGGATTTGCTACAAAATTTTAGCAGCAATTTTAATCAAAATGAGTAACAAATTAATTTTATAAATAATTAAACTTTATAAAAATTTCAAATATAATGAAGTTATATTTGTAACTTACATAAACTGCAGAAAAGGTAGTGGTTCAAATGTACGTTGTACAATAGACGGTATTTTATTGCAGGAAAAATTTCTAGGAAATGTAAAAGGAAAATATTGCCTCAATTAGCTATTAGATATCTAATTAGTAGGAATAACTAGTAGAGGTTAGAATGATAATAATAAATAAGAAGCTTTGGTCTAAACTCCAAACCTTAAGAATTACTATTTGAATCTTCCAGAGCCCCTAACCCTGCCTTCACCTCTCTTAAGAGTCTCACCTTCAGGATCTTCATAAATTAAATATACAACTATAGATCAATAGATTTTGGAGGTAACCTTTCCTGAGAGCAGAAGCATTGATTAGATTCCACCTTTTGTGGTCTGATCAAATTCTAGATTATGAGCTCAAAGATTTTATCTCTATATATCATTATAATTTCTAATATTAAAAGGAATATTCTTATATTTACACACTTCCCAGTATAGTTCTGTTTTTCTAGCCCAATTCATTACCAAAAGAAATAAAAGATACCCTTTCACACAACTTGAAAGGAAGTTACTCCTATCATTAATATGTAAATTTAATTCAGTATTACACTTTCTATCATATGGACTTTTATTCGAAAATACCTACTCTTGACTATAGCTGACTATCTTATTTCCATTGATTCCAGCTTCGTCTCTCATTTCACCTGGATGGGTATAACTGTCTTCTGACTGATATTTCCATCTCTACCCTCTCCCTTTCTAAGCCATCCTACACGTGATCGCCAGATTAACACTCTGTAAGTGGTTCTCAAATACCAGCATCACTTGTGAATTATTGAAGATACAAATACTCAGCCCTACTCTGGACCTCTTGAATCAGTAACTACGGGGGTGGAGCTTGTGTTTTCACAAGCCCTCCAAGTGGCTAGTTCTGTTGCAGGCTAAAGGTTGTCCTAAAGCACTGCTGTGGTAACATGGTGCTTGGCATGTTATTCTTGGCTTGGCCTCCAAAACTCTAGATGATCTGGCTCTAATCTTCTACTCTTCCCACTTGTACTCTACAGGTACTCAGAGTATTTCTCCTGTGCTTTGTCTTTCTCCCACTTTCCTTTTGCAAGCTTATTCTTCCCAAGATGTCTGTCATTGATACCAAATGGCCCTTCAAGGTCCCGTTTAAACAGCATTGCTCTAGTAATATATTCCCTGGTCCAATTTGAAGAATTTTTTCCCTATTTTGTGCTCCAGTACCAACTTATAGTACTCATTGCATATATTCATTTCTTTCTTTAAATATAGCTATTTTTGCAACCCATGTCCTCTGAGCATAAACTCCTTCAAAGTATGGACTAGATCCTGCTTATGTGAATTGTATATCGTGCTTAAAGCCAACGCGTGGACATAAAGCAAACTCAAATATTTGTAAAATCAACAAATAGCTGGGGAGTGGAGAGAAGGAGGAAATGACTGTTTTAAAAGAAATGTAGTTTTATTACTTCATTGTGCCTCCATAGCATTTTGTGATTATGGTTTGAGCTTATTATATGTTTTTTTCCCTGTGAGATCATGAGTTGCTAAAAGGAGTCCTGTCTTACCCATCTTAATGTTTACAACACTAGGCATAGTGCGTATTAGCATATTCTTTCTTCGCTTTTTTATTGATTGGCATTTTTTTTAAGAATGAGAATACTTATGCTAACATGAAATAATCAGATTATAAAGTATTTCATAGTAGAAGTAATGAAGGGCTTAGTCCACTGAGCAGTTATTTTATTTGTTCTTCTCCAAACTGTGTTTCTAAGGTTTGGAGCCCAGATGGCAGAGAAGAGACTAATATAAAGGTGACTGCCCCTTAAGGCTTGGAAGGTTTGATAATTAAACGAACTATTTTTAGGGTCATGTGAGGCTCTTTATACCCATTTCCCTTAAGCCTTTTATATTTGCAAGAAGAATCTATTTGCTAAAGACGATCATTCATTCGCTTAATAAAGATTAATGACATACACAACTTTGGATGCCATGGACAAAGGACAAAAACTGAGGTTTTATAGCAAAAAACACAGTTATCTGTTTATCCCTAAATTAAAAGAAATACTAGGCAAGCATTTCCTCTTTGATAAGGAAGCTGGAGAGGGAATTCCCTGGTGATCCAGAGGTTAGGACTCGGCACTTCCACTGCTGGGGATCTGGGTTCAATGCCTGGTCAGGGAAATAAGACCCCACAAGTTGTGTGGCGTGCCCAAAAAACAAAACAAACAAACACAAAAAACAGAAATAAAAAGGCTGGAGAGATTTTTGTTAGGGGCATTTCTGAGATGCTTATTTAGTGTGAGCATTTCTAAATATACCACTTAACCATCATCTTAAACATTCTTAATATTAATATCACACTTCCTGCATTAAAATCCTTAACAAGTGTTTGTTATTTTGGTAACTTAATGTGTTCTTGACAATACTGATTTTTTTTAATGTGGACCATTTTTAAAGTCTTTATTGAATTTATTACAATATTGCTTCTTTATTTTTATGTTTTCATTTTTGGCCATGAGGCATGTGGGACCTTAGCTCCCTGACCAGGGATCGAACCCACACCCCCTGCATTGGAAGGCAAAGTCTTAACCACTACACCACCAGGAAAGTCCCTTGGCAATACAGTTTACATAATTCATCTGCTTAAATATTTAATATTTAAATGTTAATTTAATTTAGATTAAATTATCAAAGTTAGGAGTTAAGGGCATTCATATTAATCTAAGTGTTCTATATTTTGTCTTGTAGGTGACAATTTGAGGTTAACTTTAATTCCTCTCATTTCACTAAACCAACTTTTTCAAACCTTTTCCGTAAAGGCCAGATAAGTAAATATTTTAGGCTTTGCAGGCCACATACAGTCTCTGTCACGTATTTTTCTTCGTTTCTTTTTTTTTCTCATTTACAGCCCTTTAAAAATCAGTTTTAACATATGGGCTGTATAAAAACGGACTATGGGCCAGATTTGATCCATAGGTCATAAACAAAATGTAAATACAGATGGAGACTATATGAACACTTATATAACAAAGTTCATATGGGAGCCTATAATTGCTCAGACATCATTACCACTTTTCCTCTACAACTAAAGTGTATTTTTCTGTATTGTCTGTATAATTAAAAAATTAAAAATGAATAGGAGATATTTAGTGCCAGTGATGGGCTGGGGCCCTACACAGACTCACAGGATTGTAGAATTGTGCTGCTAGAAGAAATTGAAGAGATTATGTAACTTGAACCCCTTAATTACTTTATAGATAATCTACTTTATAGGTAAGAACTCATAAATAAATACGATTAACTTACAAATATCGGAGGGATAGCAAGCCTTCAAATGAGTCCTTATGTAATTCAGTCAAATCATTTTCACTGAGAATTCTGAAAAATGAAAAGGTTATTTCTGGATCAAAATGCAAAATAACTACAACTATATACTACATAGGACTAACTCCTATATGTGGAGGAAAGCTGGGTAATGGTGTCACCTAAACAAACTAATTCTTATTTGATTTAGGGATGGTGATTTCTGCTCTGTTTCCATTTAAACCTTCTTTTCACGTCTCACACACACACACACACACACACACACACACACACACACACACACCACCCACTCTTCCCACCAAATCATATAGTTAAAGCCTACTCTCTAGACCACGAAGTCTCTGTTAGAACCCAGCTCTGGGTGGCACCAACGTTGCAGAGCTGCTCTTCCCTCCTCTCTTTCCCCAAACCTTATTGGGAAGTCACCCACACAACTGTATCAGGGCAAATGAAGCCATCTGATTTTTTTCCCCCATAACAAATTTTTGAAAATTAAATGCGAATAAAATATACATAACTGTTCAATAATTCAATTGAACAACTGTTCAACTGTTAAATAATTACAATACAGATCCCCACGTAACACCATTCATGTCAAGAAAGAATCCTGCCAGCATCCCAGAAGCCCCCCATGTGCCCTTTTCCAATCACAACCCTCTCTCTTACTTCCTAGAGGGGACCACTATCTTAACTTTAAGAATAATTTCCTTGCTTTTTAAATTTACTTTTGCCTTTTCTCTATCAGCCATAAACAACATAGTTTAGTCTTCCTTCTTCTTGAACTTTATATAAGTGGAATCATATTATATGTATTGTTTTCCACATTGCTTCTTTCATTCAACATTATTTTGTAAAATTATTTTCGTTTTGCCTGTAGTATGTAGTGTTGCATGTCCAACTACATGAGGCTTCTGAGTATTTGAAAGTGGCTAATGACACTAAGGAGTTGAATTTTTAATTTAATTTCAATTATTTTAAAATTAAAATTTAAAAAACAGATATGCAATGTAATTATCGGAAAATGTTTATGTTAGCAACAATCTGCATATGTGATACTACTTTTTTGACTGTAAATTTTATGCAATCTAAGTATTGATCAAGTATTTGTAATAAAATTTAGCAACCAAATTGTGATTTCAAAGAGTTAGTATGGAAAAAAAATGTAGATTCTCTCATTAATTTTTATATTGATTAAATGTAAATATGATAATACTTTGGATATTTTTAAATCCTTAGTATGAAAAAACCATAGAATATATTATTAATAATGTATATAATGATTACAGGTTAAAATGATATTTGGGATATAAGGGTTAAGTAAAAGATATTAACATTTATTTCATCTGTTTCATTTTACTTTATTTTTAAGTGGCTACCAGAAAATTTAAGATTACTTATGTGGCTTGCATTATGTGTCTAATGAAGTCTATGACTTCTAATTATGATTATATCACACTTTATTTATTCAACGGTTGGTATATACTGAGATTTTTTCTAGTTTTTATTTATTAAAAACAATACTGCTTTGAACATTCTTATATTTGTATCCTGATACATATCTGCCTGAGTTTGTCTAGGATGTAATAGGGATACAAAATTGTTTCCAAAGAAGTTGTGCTATTTCAAGTTGGCAGATTGAAACATGTCAAGTCTCCACCCCTTCAACTTCCACCAAAATCCCTAAGAATGACAGAAAAGATATAACTTAAAAATCACAACCTTAGCTCAATGTGTGGGAGCAGCTCCCCTACCAGAAACGTCCCAGAGCTGCCTACAGGGTGATCAGTTGGAATAGTGCGGTAGGAGCAGCCGACAGCACACATCAACCCCACATCTTCCCTCCTTGATCAAGACAGCAAAAGGTGTCTTCCTCTAGGCAGGAGCAATTGGTGTTAGAAAGGGGGCAAGGTCCCAGAACCCTGAAAGAAAGGTATGCACTCCCTGACTAGCCACAAGAAGGCACCTCCCACCTCTGCCTTATTCTCAGGGGAACCCATTGGGAGTAATAAGCCCCAACAGCTCATTTCACTTCTCCCCTAAAGCTGGGAAAGAAACGCAGTAGAATCTCAACTACAAAGGTGAATTACACTCAGGAATGACCAAACAATGTGATAAAGCCAACTCCATTAAGGACAGAAAACAAAAACAAACATAAGAGCTTATAGCCAATGAATCAGAGTTAACAAAGCACAAGAGGATCTTAGGATAGCACAATTATTACCCTCAGACAGATGTAGGCAGATAGTGCCTCCATTAATCAAGAATATACAAATGAAAAGTGTTAGCAATAATAAAAAAAAACTCAGTATATGAGCAGCAGAAATGACAGTTAAAGAATAAATTAGGAAACTGAGAGATCCAGCCAAATACTTCTCCAGAATGCAGAATGAAGGGAGCAGAAACGATTCACAGTCAAGCCTGACCCCTGGGTCTGCCCGAGGAATGTTAACCCCTTTGCTTCAACTGGTCTCACAATACAGACTAGGAACATAGTGCGGGGAGGAGGGGGTGGTGTTTTGCACCCGTTTCTTAAATCTGATAAGCAGGAAGGCACATAGCCAGTGACCCAAGAGTGGAGTGAGGGAGTGGTAGAGAGAGCCAGTACAGAAGAAACTGTATAAGATGTCAAAGGTAGGTTTCTCTTGCCTGGAAGTATCCCCTTCCTTGCACGTGATATTAACAGTGGTACATCCTTCAGAAGCCTTGGGGATCTGAGCACAGGCTATGTTGCCTTGTGAAGAAGCTATTTCCACTGAGTTCTGCATTTAAACGTTCTGCTTTTCACTCACAGTGTCTCTTGGTCACATATTTATATTAGTTCCATCTCATAGCTTAATTCCAGCTCAAAAATTAATTCTTTATTCATAGCTTATGAGAATTAAAATATTACTACCTGGAAACTCTGCAACTCAGTTATTAAGGTGGTTCATATTATACAGAATATAGTCACACACATTTGTATAAGATCACTAAAACAAAAACACAAAAGACTTCAATTCCCACAAAGAACTCTTGGAGCCCTGAGCATGCTTCAAAGACCCTGACCTCAATTTGAAACTCACCATTTTAGAAGGAATCGCAGTGATTGTCAGAATACATGCTAGGGGGAAGGGTCAACAGATGGTGCTAAGATTGTTTTCTCACCTCTAAGTACTGGTTTCATATTTCCATGCAAATGATCCAAAAAGAAAAAAAACAAATCAATATGTCCAACGACATGTATGCTAACCCTTTTCATACCTTCCAAGGTAGGAAAAAACTCTACCTCCCCATATGGCGTAACAAAACTGTATGTATATACCATAAATGATATACAAACGTCACAGGAAATGATGGTATATGAAAAAAGCTACACAAAAGTGGAACTCATATATACTAACTATAACTTTGAACGTTGACAAGGATTCAGTAAGTACAGCAAAGAGATGGGGCTGATCCTCAACTCTATACGGCACTGTCTTCTCTGATTAGCTGATGCCCATATCAGACTGGTTGGAGTTTGAATATCATGGTAGGACAGGGCGTAACCAAACAGTATGTATTTCAAATTAATAGGGTTTCTTTCTGTGAAGTTGTTTGGATGACAGGATAGTAGAAATGTTAAAAATAACAACAGTAAGTTCAGCCTAGAAGTAAACTTTAGACTGAGAATGAGTCAGTCACCAGAAAATTACCCAAAAAGGAGCTTCAAATAAGCAATAACTGAATAACTGAAATAAAATACATTAATCTGTAGAACTCCAAATATCCATTTTGACTGAAGAAAAAATTTTAAAAATATGGGGAATCAGAGTTAAAGCCAGATCTAAAACTTTCTCACACCATGAAAATATCAAAACCAGGCGTGAATGAACATTTAAGAATGATCCATGTCTAACTTCTGACCAGGGTTCTGGTCTAAGGCAATCTTCTGAATTTCACATTCATTCTTGATTCTGTATTATTGACAATTATCCTTCTCTCAGCCTCTGTAACTTCTAGGAAATTGAGAGGGCTCAGGGTTTGTTTGTTTGTTTTATTGATTTAACTATATATATAATGCAAACAATAGGCCTTTCTGGGACTGATTTACTCTCCTTTCCCTGCTTTCTTTCTCTCCAAAGTACTTAGCAATGCTTGAAATTATATCTATCTATTTATTATACTTACATACTTATTTCCATATATTTGTAATTCCCCTGAGAACTGAGATACTTGGGCTGTTTCATTCTTGGGCCTGTAACTCTAGCATGTAATAGTGGTGAGAGTAGGCAACCTTGTCTTGTTCCTTATTTTAGAGGAAATGGTTTCAGTTTTTCACCATTGAGGACAATGTTGGCTGTGGGTTTGTCATATATGGCCTTTATTATGTTGAGGATAGTTCCCTCTATGCCTACTTTCTGCAGGGTTTTTATCATAAATGGGTGTTGAATTTTGTTGAAAGCTTTCTCTGCATCTATTGAGATGATCACATGGTTTTTATACTTCAATGTGTAGGCAGAACACTCTATGACATAAATCACAGCAAGATCCTTTTTGACCCACCTCCTAGAGAAATGGAAATAAAAACAAAAATAAACAAATGGGACCTCATGAAACTTAAAAGCTTTTGCACAGCAAAGGAAACCATAAACAAGACCAAAAGACAACCCTCAGAATGGCAGAAAATATTTGCAAATGGAGCAAATGACAAAGGATGAATCTCCAAAATTTACAAGCAGTTCATGCAGCTCAATAACAAAAAAACAAACAACCCAATCCAAAAATGGGCAGAAGACCTAAAGAGACACTTCTCCAAAGAAGATATACAGATTGCCAACAAACACATGAAAGAATGCTCAACATCATTAATCATTAGAGAAATGCAAATCAAAACTACAATGAGATATCATCTCATACCGGTCAGAATGGCCATCATCAAAAAATCTAGAAACAATAAATGCTGGAGAGGGTGTGGAGAAAAGGGAACACTTGCATTGCTGGTGGGAATGTAAGTTGATACAGCCACTATGGAGAACAGTATGGAGGTTCCTTCACAAACTACAGATAGGGGGGTTTCCCTGGTGGCGCAGTGGTTGAGAGTCTGCCTGCCGATGCAGGGGACACGGGTTCATGTCCCGCTGAGCCTGTGCCTCCGGAGCCTGTGCTCTGCAACGGGAGAGGCCACAACAGTGAGAGGGCCGCGTACCGCAAAAAATAAAAAACTACAAATAGAACTACGATACAACCCAGCAATCCCACTACTGGGCATATAACCTGAGCAAACCATAATTCAAAAAGAGTCATGTACCAATATATTCATTGCAGCTCTATTTACAATAGCCAGGACATGGAAGCAATCTAAGTGTCCATTGACAGATGAACGGCTAAAGAAGGTGTGGCAAATATATACAATGGAATATTACTCAGCCATAAAAAGAAACGAAATTGAGCTATTTGTAGTGAGGTGGATGGACCTAGAGTCTGTCATACAGAGTGAAGTAAGTCAGAAAGAGAAAAAGAAATACTGTATGCTAACACATATATATGGAATCCAAGAAAAAAAAAAAGTCATGAAGAACCTAGGGGTAAGATGGGAATAAAGGCACAGACCTACTAGAGAATGGACTTGAGGATATGGGGAGGGGGAAGGGTAAGCTGTGACAAAGTGACAGAGTGGCATGAACATATATACACTACCAAACGTAAAATAGATAGCTAGTGGGAAGCAGCCACGTAGCACAGGGAGATCAGCTCGGTGGTTTGTGACCACCTAGAGGGGTGGGATAGGGAAGGTGGGAGGGAGGGAGACGCAAGAGGGAAAAGATATGGGAACATATGTATATGTATAACTGATTCACTTTGTTATAAAGCAGAAACTAACACGCCATTGTAAAGCAATTATACTCCAATAAAGATGTTAAAAAAAAAAAGCTAACTGCATTATAAGATCCTTCTTGGTTCAGAATTTTGAGGTCAATACCTGTGAGAAAAGGTATTTCCCTTTCCATATCCCAAAGCAAGCTAATGATTGAAATTCTGTGTTTATTTTAAAAATCAAGTTTGGCAAGACCTCTTTAAAACCAGTAAGAGACACTTTAAACTTATTTTCTATTATATAAGTAATACATGATTATATTCTCAATATATAACAATGAAATTACAGGTATAGTGAAAACCCTCCTTGTGCCCTAATCCCCCACCCACTACTTTGAGTTTAGTATTAATCCTTCCAGATTCTTTTCCATACGTGTGAGTACATACATATTTACAGATAGCCAAATAGGTTTGTGTGCTTTTTCCTATCTTCTTTTTACATAAGTAACATCCTTGCAACTTGATCCCTTCATTTCATGATATGTCTTAGATTTCTTTCCTTCCCAGTACATAGAGGGTTACCCCATTCATTTAAACTCCTGCATAATATTCCATAGTATGAATGTATCACAGTTTAATAATGACCCTATTGAAGGATGTTTAGATTATGTCCAGTTTTCTTGTTACTTGCATTGCTGCAATGAGTATCCTTGTACATGCATTTTTGTGAGCCTGGTCATTAATTTCTATAGAATAGTTATCTAGAAATGGGATTGTTGGGGTGAAGACTATTTAGATATAAAGTTTTAATTGCCCTCAAAAAAGTTGTGCCACAGTTCTGGCAGAGAACGCGGTGAGAAGGGGATCGCGGCCTTCTAGTCTGGGGCCCTCCAGGCCCTCCGGCCTCCGGTCGTCAGGTGAACTGGGGAGCCCCCGGGACAGGCTCAGGCTGTGTCTTGCCGAGCCCCAGAGCCCTCGCCGCAGCTGCCCACGGGCAGTGCCCGAGCCCGGAAGCAGCAACGAACTGCTCCCCCACCCCCACCTCCGCGACCTAATGGCGGCGGCCCCTCGGAGCCCAGATCCCACCTACAGCCGGGTCTCTTGACCTCACGCTGCAGGGGTTAGGCGAAGCCTCCGGCAGGCCACCGAGAACCTGGCGCCTTTGGGCGTCGGGCGTGGCAGGGCGAGAAGAATGGCGGCCACTGGAATGCTGCGGAGGGACATTAGAGCCTCGAGGGCCCGGGAAGGAGGGTCTACATGTACGCCAGCTCAGCCACCCTTAGGCCTTGGAGCCCGCGCGATCTGGGACCTGAGGTGACCTCTCTGTCCCAGCTGGACAAGACCTCACCTCGTCCGGACAACGACAAAGGCCTTAACGGGCCCGGAAGGTGAGCGGAGCCGCGGTCGACGACGGGTGGAACGTTAGCGGGTCATCGGGCGGTTGGTCTTCGTTCTACTAAGACCTAGATGTTGGAAGATAGAAATGGTAGAATAACGTACCACATGTGGCCAATAGGAAGTGCCCGCCACCCTTTGGGAAGATTTACTGGCCGTTTATAGAAGGCCTGTGTATATAATATGAAAAGGCTGCTCTCAACTTTCCCCCCAACCTTTCGAAAACTTTTCGCTACATATAGGCCTTCTAGATGTGAAGAGGTTGCCGACGTATGATAGTTAAAGTCACATGTCTTGTAAATGCCCATTTGTTTCTTTAAAAAAACCGTAGAAAAGAAATGTCTTCTGGAAATGACTTTTCGAAATGGAATTGTTTGACCACCTCTAGAGGTGACATCAGGAGCCACAGAGCTCCACGTTTGTTCAGTGGGTTAGAGGACATGGAATGGAAGACGTTGAGGAGGAAGAAAAGAAGGTTCTATGCCAGACTGGTCACAGTCTGAGGTCTTCTGCCAGCGTTCAGTAGGTGTTCTGTAGGAGTTGTTCCACATGTAGATGTATTTCTGATGTATTTGTGGGGAGGAAGATCACGTGATCTCTGTGTCTTACTCTTCCGCCACTTGAAGCTCCTCCCGGCATTTTAAATATGGGCTGGTTGGAGTAGCAAATGCCCAAAGAAAAAGCAGAAACCACAGATGTTCTTTAAATATCACTCTTGGCATACTGTAAATGCTCAGTACATATTAGGTATTACTGCCTCGTTCTTTAATGTTGTTGTTGTTGCCATGATGGTTAATAATAATAAACCATCTTGTTACAAAGCTGTCAGTTACTGACAATATAAGTTCATTAACAAATATCTTCCACTGTTAGAAAAACCAAATATATCAGGGAAAAATGTCATAGATGTAAATTTAAGAGCTACCAGATTTTTTTCAATGTTAAGTTTACATTAGTCAAGCAACCAGTGGGTGTGAAGGCCTGGACTGACAATTAGTCTTCAATTTGATAAGAAAATGAAGAATGTAACCCCTTGATTAGGAGTACAGACTCTATAGCTGCTTTGAATCTCAGCCTACCCACTTCCTTATTATTTGATTCTGGGAAATTAGATTAGTCTCTCTACATTTCAGTTCTCTCATATTTAATTCATTGAGTTAACTGAAGTAGACAATCCACTTAAAGCATTCACAGAGTCCCTGACACTTAGTACATGCTCAGTAAATGTTAACTATGACTCTTATTCAGTAAGCGGCAGAAGTTCATGACTTCACTCTTTTACCTGTCTGCCCACAGCATATAAATGATAGATCTGCAAAATCAGGCATGGCCTCTACTGGACATTTTGATAAACAAAAATAGCCAAACAATTATGAAAACCCTGCATGCTGAGGATAAAGACTTAATCTGGCAAATATTTTTCTGAGGAAAAAAAAAGATTTACTAAGATTTTAAATTTGCTTGTATAGAAAAAAAAAGTCCACTTAAAAAGAGATTTAATTATTTGGCAATAAAATTATCTTTTATTGTGATTTCAGTGTGCAATTTAACCACACTTTTTGAGCTCATGTGTGTGTACATTGTAATAATCATTCAACTGTCTTAATTTAGCTATTTGTCTCCTTTGTCTTATAAATTGCTTTATATTTGCACTGAAACAAGCTTTTTAAAATTATCACAAATATTTGTTTTACATAACCACTGTTGAGGAAAAAAGAAAAGCTTGCTGGGACTTCACTCGTGGTGCAGTGGTTAGGAGTCTGCCTGCCAATGCAGGGGACATGGGTTCAAGCCCTCATCTGGGAAGATCCCACATGCCGTGAAGCAACTAAGCCTGTGCGCCACAACTACTGAGCCTGTGCTCTAGAACCCACGAGCCACAACTACTGAGCCCACGTGCTACAACTACCAAAGCCCGCGTGCCTTCAGCCCGTGCTCCGCAACAAGAGAAGCCCCAGCTCAATGCAGCTAGAGAGAGTCCACACACAGCAATGAAGACCCAATGTAGCCAAAAATAAAATAAATAAATAAATATATAAACAAATTTATAAAAAAAAGAAACAAAGATGTTGTTGATTTCCATGTAATTCTAAAGGATACAGAAAATGATACTTTCTTACTCCCTGCATTATCAGGCTATAGTTATGTAAATGGGATCTGTGACCAAGTATTTACTGCACTTGCATTCACTGAACACTGCAGCTGAGCAGGACCCAGGAATTATAAAACGTGTAAATTTACTGATCTATAGCATCTCTTCCTTGTTTAATCTATGGCTTTTTAAAGATGCAGAAGAATCTAACTAGGGGTTTACCAAAATGTTAGTTCCATAATAGCTGCTGACCTCAATGGCTGGGCATGACTTTTAAAGAAAAGGGGGAAAAAAATCATCATTTTCACATCTCTCACTAGTGGGTTTTTGCTTTGGAAGTCCCCATTCTTATGGACGTGAATCCAGACAAACCTAGGCCCGAGCTCTCTCTTTGCCATTTACTCCTTATGTAACTTCATATTTCAGTTAACTTTGCTGAGCCCTGGTTCCTAGGAATCCTGGTCTCTATTTTATTGGGTCTGTGGAAGAATCAGAATAATATTTCTGAGTTTGTATTTGTGGTCCCAATTATATCAGAATGGTCCTCCCTCTCAGAGGTGACATCATTCTTCACAATGACCTTGGTTTGCCTATTCCTCAATCTTGATAATCCTGACCAAAGAATTAGATTCCCAGAACAAATTCCTGTTCTGCTTTTCTTTCTGCCTCTTTACTCTTTTGTCCGCATCGGCATCTCTTCTTCTTCCTACTATTCCACACATGGAGAGCCCCATAACACAACTGAGTCCTTGGCCTCATGTTCCCTTATACCTTCATTCCTAGAAACTTTAAAAAATTCTTATTCCGCTAATAATTAGCATCAACTAGTAATGGCACGTATCCTAATTCTTGCAACAATTCTACAAGTTGCTTCTAATATTTGCCACTTTTACACATTGGTTTTATTCCTAGCCTTCAAAAGAAAACTTAAAACCAGATTTGCCTGACCCAAATGATCATACTCTTTCAGATATACACGCTACTTCTTTATTTACACCTTGGCTCTAGACCTGGCCACCTGAGTCCTTGGCTTATATATACAGCTAATTAGGTCTGAGTGTTTTTAACTGGAGGGTAATCAATGTCCCATAGGCATACTCCTCTATGCCCATCCCAGTTTCTGTCCATTAGAATTAGCACTATCCTCATAGTTTCCTCAATGGCTGGGATCTTATAGTATCTACATCAAAGGGTCAGTTGTAAGGACAAAATATATGAATAGGTATAGATGGGGTAGTATCTGGCACATGATCCATTCTCAATAAGTTGTTGTTCTTATTATTACTAATACTAATACTACTACTTCAAAAATGCTTTAAAAGCTTAAGATCTAGAAAATGAGTAGATACATAGGGAGTAACAACTGAGTCAGTTAAGTGCTCTGATAGATATTTGTATAAGATGCTCTATGATCACAGCAGAGAGTGTCTAAATGTACAATGCCTGCACTTTTTAATATTTAGTCACTAAACACACACAGACACACAAGCACACACACTGACTATATGTGCACCCCATATTTTGGAGAAGGAAAGTATATTGGTAAGATTCCTCTGGACTATCCCCCATGGAATGAAATTCTTAGTGAATGCCACTCTGAAGTGAGACTTTCTATCTTCAGTTACCAGATTGTCTCCTGAAGTAATTGAAACTCGTGAGCCTTGAATATAAAGCTGCTCAGTGCCACTGATCATAATAGAGCAATGCGAGCTGAGCTGACAATACTGTTTTTGAAATGGGAGGGTTAGCTTAGCCAATATAAAATATATAAACATATATTTATTTAAATACATAATTTTTAAAGGATTTGTGCCTGAGTGGTGCAGCTCCTAAATCTCTAATTACATTTAATATAGTAAGGAAGCCTAGTCATTGCTTCCTGGCCCTTCCAACGAGAGTCAGAATAACATCCAGGGAACTTCATGAAGCAAAAGCCCAATGACCTTCTCTCTCTTTGGAGAATCCTAAAGCAACAGAGCCTGGATGGTCAATGCTACTACTGATAGGACAGTTTCTTGCTAGCCATTACCTGAAGGGATGAGAAAGTAACCATTAAATTCCTACATCTCTTAACTTATTGAGATCTGAAGAGGAAAAGGACAGGAGATGGCATTAAAGCTTAGTTCCACTTACTTCTACTTTTGCCTCTGTGAAAATTAGAAAATTAGTCCTTACTTGGACTAAGTCAGAGGAGGAAGTTAGATGGGTAGAAAAGGAACCACATGCTTCTTAATAACCTCACTGTCACTAATGCACCCTGAGGAAGGCACCAGTGCCCGGCAGTCATGTGAGAAGCAGGGGAGATAGTTGTTTTATTCAGAAGCACAGTGACTGAGTAGGGTGGTGTTCCAAAGAAAGACAAATGGAGGAACTCTTGAAACAGAATTGCTCATGTTTAAATCCTGTATCATATTTGCCAGCTGTGTGACTTTGGGCAAATGATTCTAATCCTCTGAATTCCAGTCGCCTCATTTGTATAATGGGGACAAAACTTACGTTAAAAACCCGTTGATAGAATTTAAGATGATGCAGGTAAATGGTGTAGCATGTAATAAATATCCAATCAATTATGGTTTCCTTCTTTGTTTTGCCTACCAATTCTATTTCCTCCAATACCACATTTAAGAGCAGTACATCAATTGATATAAAAGTCAGATCATTAAGAAAATTTAAATTATTTTCTGATTAAAAAGAGGAAAGAAGTTGGGAAAATCTTTTTGAAATTTGTGTTGAAAAATATTCTGAGGTCAAGTTAGGACCTAAGTGGGTAGAGTGTTCTGATTGGTTAACTATCTACACAGACAGAGGAGGGGACAGTAGTTACTTGCATACCATATAGTTATGATCACTCGGCTAACATGTCTTAGAGATATTTGCAGCATTTGAATCACAAAGTCCTAAATATCCAACTACATAGAAACTAAATTATGACTGACTTTTGCCTCTTATTAAATTTTATTGGGAGTATAAAGAGGG